TACTACTCTTAAGGGTTAGGAGGTATACTCTACTAGTATACTATCTTAGATTCTAGTTAACTAATATAGTATAATACCTACTCTAGTATATTTATAATACCTATAGCTAGGTCTATATTTCCTTCTATATTAGTATTTATTATATGCTCTTATTAGGTTCTAATACTACTTATTAATTCTAATATTACTTTGCTGTTTCTAATATTCTAATATTCTAATATATTTATCTATTCTAATATGCACTATATAGTCATCAGGTACATCTAGTAATCTAATGTATCTACTAATATATATTTCTAATAATTCTAATATGCTTAGTAAGATGATGAGCAAGTTCTAATATTATGGGCTAGGCCATAGAGAAACCTATGATTAGGTATATATAAGAAGAACTTACTAAAGAACTAGAATAGGGGGTCTACAGGCCTGGATAGAAATATCCAATTATGCATTACAGCTAGCAAGAGGTCACGTGACCTGGGCCGTTAGTTCATAAGTTACTTCATATCGCGAGTGCTAGGCAGCACGACCATATCGCGGGCCTTGCTCGCAACACCTATAGCATCCTAAGATACTAATATATAGTAGGACCCTTCTCTATTTAAAATTATTCTTTTATAGGAAGCAGTAAGTAATAATTATAGAAGAGGTAGCTAGAGAGATAGGAGGTAAGATAGATGTTCTATAGTATTAAATAGTTAGTAATCTAGTATAGGTAATTAGTAGAAGGGAACTTAGGCTTAGTAAGGTGGCCAGTAAGGTAGCTAGTAAGGTAGTTATAGCTATAGTTAAGGTATTAGTTATTAGTAGCTTACAGATAATAAGTATAAAGGTATTCTAGCAGGAATAATAGGTATGATTAAGTTCTAAATATTAGATTCTGATTAGTTATATAAGTAAATGAATATTTTAATAAGAAATAAGCACTTTTAAAGCCTATCTTATAGTTTTCCTATCTCTTATTTTTATATGGTAAATTAGAAACTTAGGATTATAGTGACTGGCGTGAGTTATATAACATTAATTCTAGCTAATTACAGAAGGGGGGTGTGCCCCTAAGTTGGGGGGTGTGTCCCTAACAATTACCTTAGAATATATATAACTTTTAGTCTTATTACTCCTTATATAGAAAACTATATATATTTATAGACATAGCATGAATATATCCCGGTTTAACCTCTACATGCTCAGATTACTAGCATAATTATATTACCATATTATGTGCAATCTGACAAGAGTTATAGCTGGCAAGATGCGTCCATCTGTAGGTCACGTGACAGGCTTAGCAGAGCTGGGTAGAAATATCTGTTTGTGCGCGAGTCTCTGTCACCTCCCTCACTGCTGCTATTGACTGGATTGCTATCAAGCATCCACAAATGGAGATCTGTGACCTCAAGCTCAGCAGCCAAGTCAGCTACACGACAGGCAGCTCCAGTATGGACCTCCAGGTTGCTAAAGCCCCGCAGAGTGCGCGTTCATAATGGTCTTACTTGACGGGCCATGAAGAAGCCAATGCCAGCTGCGCCACTACTGGATAAGACTGAGGAGGAGAAGCAGTTCTTTAAGAGAAGGATAGGAGAACTACAAAGGCAAGAAGGCACTGCAGACGCGTTGTCTGCTTAAGTAGGCGCTAGACTAGGAGGAAAGTAATTTAATCCACTCCATGTGGAGGAAGGAGATGTCATATCCGAGGGGGTTTATCCCTTGGATTAGATAATTCCTTGTCAAGACTCAAGTCCATTAGAAGGTTGATTTGTATATAGCGTCGGCGGTCATTGCAGAGGCAGTAGGGAAGTAGGATTGCCGAGTTGATCGTTGCTTCCGGTGCCATGTGTATAGATCAAGGGTTAGCTTTTATTGCATACCGTCGATAGGATGATACATGATCATCAGCAAAGGATTTAGCCTTGAGATCTTACATAACGGCCTACGCCTGCTACACGCATGAGATGTGATATGTTACAATTGAGACAACTTGGTCTGTATGGGCTCTATTGACGGTGATGATGTCCACCTCAAAGCACACCAAGGGGCGACCTCTCAACACGCCCCTCTCTCGCCATCACAGCCTCAACCATTTTCTCCCTTGGCGGCTCCAGCCCCGTCCACAGCCGGAACTGATCAAACGCCTGGGCCAAGAGCACCTCCACCCCAGTTACACTCACCCACCCCTCATGCCGCTGAGCCACCGTCAGCAGCGGCGTCTGCCTTGGCTTATACGACATATCAATGCAAAGCCCCCTATCTCCGAACAGACAAGCGAACTGCTCCTCAGTCGTCGTCTCTGCCGGAACGGTGCCCACAATCACGTCAGGGGTGTGCGGGAACTCTCCCAGACTAGGCACGACAATTACCTCGAACAGCCCCGAGAAATCATTTCTGACTTTTTCCGCGACCGCAGGCGTCCGGTTGACAAGGTAGATACGCCGCACGCCGGCTTTGTGAAGCGCGAAGAGTGCCGCGCGGGATGCGCCCCCGGCCCCGATGACCAGACCGGCTTGCAGCTGGTGCTGTGTTCTCGAAGTGTACTCGGTAATCAGTGTATGCAGACCAGACCAATCCGTGTTGTCCCCGGTAATGAGTCGCTGCGCGCCAGCATCCGTGACGAGAAGCGTGTTGATCGCGCCGATTAGCCGTGCCGTCTCGGTCTGGGTGTCGCAGAATCGGTGCACGGTGAGCTTGTGAGGCATCGTCACGCTACCGCCGCCGAAGGTGTCGTCGGCAATTAGAGTGGCCACATCGTCGATGGACTTTGACTCGCAGATTTGGTATGTGTGCGGGAGGTTGTGGTGAGAGAATCCGGCGTGGTGGATAGTGGGCGAGATACTGAAGGAGATGCCGCTGCCGAAGATGTAGAAGTTTTTGGGTGCAGGTGCCATCTTTGGTATGTAAGACTTGGTCTAGAGGATTATCTAGGTTGTTTGGTCGAGGTGATGTGAGTCAAGTTGCTCTACCTATAACTACCTATGGCCGCTCGATAACCGACATGGTCATGGATATATCCGCCGCGGAAAGTCTTTAACCGATCACATCATATACAGCCATCCAACCCAGCACACAATTCCACAGCCTTCCTACCATTTCATCAACCAAACAAAGCATCATGGTGCAATCCTCTGAACAAATAACCCTCCACCTCGTCGGTGTGGGCGTCACCCACTCCATCGCCCCAGGCATGCACACCCACATCGCCAGATCCCTCCACCTTCCCTGGACATTCCACGCAACAGAATGTCCCACCCTCGCCGATGTTCTGGCACTAGCAGAATCCCCTACAACAGCCGGCCTCGTGGTCACAATGCCGTACAAAAACAGCATCATACCGCACCTGGACGAGCTGGATGATCTGGCCGCCATGATCGGCGCATGCAATCACGTCTACTACCGCACGAACGGGGCTCACCGTCGCCTCTGCGGCACAAATACCGATTGGCGGGGTATCAAGGGCTGTCTCCTGGAAAAGGATGGGCCGGGCCCGCGGCCGTCCGCTACCTCTCCAGGGTGCGCGCTGATTATCGGAGCAGGGGGCGCGAGCCGTGCGGCAGTCTATGCGCTGGCGGTGCATTTGCATTGTCCGACTATCTACATTCTGAACCGGGATGAGGGGGAGGTGGATGCTCTCGTCGCGGATGCGCAGAGATTACCTGTTACCCCGACCATCACCCATGTCAAGAGTATTGAGCAGGCGGGTGCGTTGGCTAGTCCGTACTATGTTGTCGGGACGGTGCCGGATCTCGAGCCGAAGACTGAGTCTGAGCGTGCTGTGGCCGAGATACTCGAATCGTTCCTGGTTCGGGGAGAGAAGGGGGTGCTATTGGATATGTGTTTCAAGCCGCGCAGGACTAGGACGATTCGACTGGCTGAGAGGCTGGGATGGCCGTGTGTGGAGGGGACGCATGTAATCGGTTTCCAGATTGAGGAGCAGTGGCGGTTGTGGGCTGGAGAGGAGAATGTAGTGGCTTTAGATCGAAAGGGGGCATGGGACGTGCTGTTGAAGGCTGCCGAGGAGAGTACAGCGATCAATTAGCTCCACAAGTTGTATATGGACTGTCTATGCACATCTTTTTTTGCTTACCTCGACAATAGCAGCCGTTACCGAATGTGGAAGAATGGCTGTGGCTAACTCGGCAATGATCTTAGCCGGATGCACCAAACAAATACCCCGCAAAGCACCATCATGAATAATATTTATACGCAGCAGCGCTATACCAGTAAGAAGAACAGTTCAAGAAGAAACCAAAAATGCCCGATCTACACTCTCTCCCCGAAGGCACCTGGCCCTCGCACGCCATCCGCAACAACGGTCCAGACAATCTGGTCCTAGAGCGCGCAAAGCTCCGCGAACTCGCCGAAGGCTGGCCTTGTTACCGGTACGCCCTCGCCTACTGACTTACTTACTTACTGACTAACATGTTTAGCGACGCCTGCGAATGGGAGAACTTCTCCTCCATATTCCACGCCGACGCACATGTCTACACGACCTGGTCCGGCCGCGTGCACTACGCGGATTTCATCGCCGCCTCGCAGGCCGGCATGGACAAGGGCGCCTTCATCATGCACCGGTGCCACGGTGTAACCAGCGACATTACCCCTGATGCGCTGCGTGCAGTAACCAAGATGAAAGCAACCATTACGCAGCGGTTTACCATTGATGGGTGCGAAGTCGACGCTGAGGCCGATTGCCGGTTTTGTTTCTTCTTTGAGAAGGTGGATGGGCGGTGGGGGGCGCGGCTTGTGCGGCATTGGTATGAGAAGGATAGGCTGGTTCCTGTCGTTCCGGGGCGGTTTCCAAGGCTGGACGAGGAGAAGCTGAATGGCTATCCCGACGGGTATAAGTGTCTGGCGTACTGTCAGGAGTTGACGATGGGGGTGGCGGTGTTGAGGGATATGCCGGGGCATAGACGGCACCATGGAGTTTGTGGTGAAAAGCATGATTTGTTGTATAGACTGGCGAAGGATTGGCTGGGCGGGAAGGACATTGAGATTTAGCTTGCCTATGTTTATGTTTTGTTCTTGACTATAGAACGCAACTGCAACCTCTCCTTCGGCCTCTCCCAAGCCTTGATCCCCCTCCGCGCATGCTCAACAGGAACAAGGCTTCCCTCCTCCATCATCGTCCTCGAAAATAACTCCATGGACACGAACCCTTGATACCCCATTCCCTGAATAATCGCCCTGGCGACCTCCTCGCACGGCAGATACCCCCCCTGCTCATCCTCATACATAAATGTCCTCGCATTCCGCGACCAACTCATCCTCGCCGGCTGCCCATCCACATAAAACGGATGGCCAGCCACCAGCGGTGTACGCATCCGCTCCGCATCCACAACCTGTATATAAAACACACTTTCCACATCAGCCTCCCTCACCATCCACTCCAGCGTTTTCCGTAGTTCCTGATCCGCATTCTCCGTTCGCCCTGTCGGCGTAACCGGATCCCCCCACACCCGGCCGGCAATGTTGAACGTATCCAGGCAAACCCCGAAATTGGGACGGTCGACCCGGCGCACCACGTCCCAGGCTTTCTCGATAGTGTCGATATGCGTGCTCCAGCAGAGGGGCTCATACGCGAATCGGATGGCAGGTGTTTGTGTGGCGCCTAGGTCGGCCAATAGTCTCAAATCGGACGCGATGATCTCTCTGTCACCGATGAGTTGCTCCGCGGGGAGGAAGTTGGCGGGGATGGATGGTGTTTGTGTGGAGGCTTTTGGCGAGTTGGAGCCACAGCTCCATCTTTTCCAAGAGATGTGCGTGTTGTGTCCGGTCCTTGAGGCCCTCGTAGAAGAGGAAGGGTTGCAGGCCGATGATGATGATGCCGCGGGTGGTGCACATGCCGTGGATGTGCGCTGCTGCTGCAAGTAGGTGGGTAGTTGTTGGGTTATCCGTGCCGGACAGCTTGCGTGCTTCGTACTCGAGATCCTCGTAGAAGATTTCGAGACCTTTGAAGCCTGCTTCGGCGGCTTGGTGGATTTTGTAGGACAGGTCGTGCAGCCAGGCGCGGCCGAGTGAGGCGCTCATGATGGCGGGTTGGTAGGTCATTTTGTCGGGTTGATATTGAATGCGTGATGAGCACTGAGAATCGATATGGATGTAGATGAAATCTTCTTTCTGTTCTGAGGTTTTATTTAATGGTCAGCTAGGGCTGCCTTGTGGGCAGGTAAACTCCCCCTTCATGTTTATCTCGGGGTTTTTCTTAGCCGATGGTTAGAACAGAGTCATCGATCATATCAGACGCAGTTTTAAATCATATGTACGTACTACATTGAAAAGGCTTCACAGGTGATTCTATAGTATGATCTCCGGATCGAGTAAAATGGGCTACATTATTCATACTAATTCCTACCGATGAAGATACCCATACTCCTTCGACAGCTCATATATCATTTTCCGCATGACATGAACCGGCGCAGGCCGTTTAGTAAAAATCTCGTACTGAGCAATACCCTGCTCAACCAGCAGACTCAGTCCATCCACCACCACCCATCCTTTCGTTGCAAAAGGAAGCATCTGTTCCATCAGCGGGGTTTTGGACGGGCCGTACGCAACCTACTCAGTCAGCCGAATTCGACTTTGTTGAAAAATAAAAAGTCATACCTCGAGAAATACCCCTCCTGTGGTACTCTGCAGCCACTGCTCAGATATCCGCACATCGACCATCTCCTCACTCCCCACCTGCTGGCCAGGGAGACAAGAGATGACAATAGTCGGTTGGCGGAGACGTGTAGGCCACTGCTCTTCTACCGAATGAATGACTTCAAGCTCAAGGTTGGTGCCAGACTGCTGAGTCCAACGATGGAAATACTCTGCTAACTTCCTAGCGTTCTCAAGCGTACGGTTGTAAATGCAGAATTGCCGGGCACCCAGCTTGTGGCAGGCATAGATAGCCGCATGCGCCATGCCACCCGCCCCAATAATTAAAACTGTTGTTCCATCTCGGATGGCATTCGCTGGGGAAAGATGCTTGTGGATGCAATTCCTCACTCCAATGTAGTCAGTATTATACCCTTTTCGCGTGGTGACCATTTGTCCATCTTGACGGTGCCGCTCGATAACTACTGTGTTGACGGCATTGATGTCCCTTGCATCGGAACTGATTTCGTCCAACATTGGTAGGATGGCTGTTTTGTAGGGGATGGATATCGCTACGCCGCCGTGGCTTTCATCGTCGAGGAGCGTGCGTATTTCGGAGAGCGTCGCTGCTTGCACAGCTTCGTAGCTATGTGGAAGCCCGCAGGCTGTGTACGCTGCGTTGTGCATTGCGGGGGAGAGGGTATGTTCTAGTGCTTGGCCGACCAGGGTAAACCGCTTCTTGGTAGCCAGGAAGCAGGAGGTGAGGGCTTTTTGCGCGTCTAAGATCGTGATGCCTGTGGCGTCCATGGAAGTGGGGACCACCGGTGACAGAGTAGGGTTCAGGCATATGGACGCTCGGCCGGAGATTCCAGTGTTATAAGCAATCACTGGGATGGTTGATCCCTGTATCAGTCTTTGACGAAAGGCAACGCAGGCGAGGTTGTCTTCGATGGAACAAGACTCGCCAGTTATGCGGATGCAGTCAAACCCAAGTTGGTTTGCTTTCTCGACGGGGCTGTGAGCATTTTGAGACGCATCTCTGCCCAACGGTGTCGATTGATGGCATGTCGCAATCGTTTTGATGCTTCCCTTTGTAGCATTCAACCTCTGGATGATTTCATTCGGGCAGGAGAGAGAGCAGGTCACGGCGTCTGGAACAAGTCGAAGAAGCATTTCCAGCACCAAACGATAAGTGTCTAGTTTTGTAGTTGAGAGCCTTACATCCGCGACTACAGGGACACGAGAGTGCAATCTCAAAGTCGCCATGTGTCGTGCTAGGTGACTCTGCAGTCGGTCCTGGTCTTTGCCGTCGACGTCGATGAGCAAGGTTATAGCATCAGCTCCAGCATCCAGTATTTCAAAGTTCCCACACGAATCCAGCCAGGCCAGTGGTACCTGTAAAGCGAACGTGTGCACCTCAGGAAACAGCTCAGATGAGAAAGGAGACCGGGGCGAGGGTCCGTAAATGCGCTGAACAAACCCGACGAACAGCCGTTCTGTCTCTTTGAGCTTCAGACTCGAAGGAAGCTGACGTCCAAATTCCTGACTATCGGTATGAGTCTGGTTGTAAAACTCGAAATTGGAACAGGTTTCAAAGAACGTATTGCCCACCCGCCAGAACCGTTCGAACTTGTCCTGGCTGGTACCCACGAACTGTCGCAATTCCGATTCAGCTCTCCTCACGTAAACCATAGGATGCTCCCGTGCGAAATCTTTCAACAAGACTTGCTGCTGGTTGCTTGCCACAGCTCCAAGACCGACAATCACGCAGCCCTTGCTGCATTTTGTGAGCAGCTCTCGGGTCAGATCTCCCTCGACCGAGCGATACTGTGCCAATCCATGCGCTGCAATATAGGCCTGCGGCGACGAATTGACCTGCTCCCGGAAGAAAGCATCGAAATCGATGAAACGGCGGTGCAATGCTACCGAGGCGATGATCCCAAGGGTCTTCTTTCCCGCCCCGAAGAATCCAATAAGCAAGAGCGTGGCATCGGGAAGGTATTTTCGGGAGTAAATTGTTGAAGATTCGGGTGTTCTGGTCGATGCACGAGTATGCATATCGCCCCATCGCTATGGAATTATCTCATGGACTTTGCGTTTCTCTGAATTGATTTGACCTTTGGTTGATTGCATGTCGTCGTCGACAACCTCAGAGCCATCGGCTAAATACATTGCCTGTCACGTGCCTCGACTGCCACCCCTTCCAGACAACACTCCACCCTCCCTTGGATTGTTGTCATGGTGTAAATTGTCATTGTTATTTTCCCCCTAATCATGTCGAGTTCTCGACCATTCAAGAGGCAGCGTATTTGTCGCGCTTGCGACCAATGTCGCCGGCGCAAGTCCAAATGCGATGGGACACAACCGGTCTGTGAGATCTGCCGCTCGGCGGGTCGAACATGCACATACGAGGCTGGTGGTGGCCGACGAGGATTGCCGTCTGGTTACGTCAGAGGGCTTGAAACCGCTCTTGGTCTGATATTCAAAAACATTCCCAACAGCGAGAATATCTTGCGCGGTCTACTAGCCGAGTGCGGTGCTGCCAAAGCCAGGAATCGGGCCGTCGCAGCATGGCGCAAGTCCCAGGTGAACCGTGGTATATCACAGATGCTCGTTCCAGGTTCGAAGGAGACGTCGATGGAAGACTCTATTGATGATGAGGCTGAGGGGGAAGAACTGGAGAATCGTGATGTTATACCCACTATAGAGAGCATTGAGCCCTTCATCCCGCCGAAAGAGATATCCCCACAGGCCCCACCGATTATATCTCTTGAACCAAAGGAAGTGGTTGACTTGCCGATTCCAGACAACACGGCTGGCCTACTGGAGCTGTACTTCACTCATACCCACTGCTGGTTTCCCATCTTGGAGCGCCGAGACCTCCTTCGGGCGATGCATACGTATCCCCACCGATCCACGCCTCGGGATGCGACATGCCATCTCATGTTGTGGGCCGTCATTGCCTACTCGTCCGTTACAAATCCCCACCACAATCACGGCCAACCCAACTCTACTCAAATCCTTCATTCCATTCAACGCCGGATCCTGTCGCACTCGGACAAACTGGAGTTAGGCCACATCCAGGCGCTCCTAATTCTTGTTCTACTGCATCTTCAGGTCGGGGATATCAATCGCGCCTGGGTCCTTGTTGGTCAGGCCACAAGGTTAGTGACCGTGCTGCCGATGTTGTCGAAGTCCCGATTCCTCCATACCGTTCATGCATGTATCCTACTCGACAGTATAGCCTCAGCCCTTCTGAACAGATCGCCCTGTTTATCCCTCGAAGAGCAGCTGGTGTATGGACCCGTGGAGGAAGACGATGTAGACGAGTGGGATCATTGGACTGCACGGAATGGGCTCACATCAAAAGGACCATTACGGGCCTTGAGCACGTTTAACGCTGTGAGACAGCTTATGCAGCTCCTCACCCGGGTATCGTACTGTCCAGTTGACCTGGCTCAATTGCACAGCCTCCTGCTCGAGATACAGGAGCAACAGGCAATTCTTCTAGCGCACTACTCAGATCCCAGATCCGACTCTGCTACACCTCCTCTTCTTACCTTGCATCTGACAGCCGGCTTCGTGATTCTCTCACTTATCCGCCGCTGTAGGCCACCTAGTGCCAATATGATCGATCTGACCATCAAAACCTCGCACCGTATGTTTGATCTGTTCGATAGTTATGTCAAATTGACTGGACATGTCACATCACCTCTTCTCCGTTGCTTCCTTCTACAGTGCCGGCGGTGCTTAGAGAGTTATCTTTCAGCTGCGGATGGCACTGAGATTGACGTCTTGAAAAGTCGACTTTCAACATATTCGCAAGAGTTTCAGTTGGATGAGAATTCTAGTCACAAAAATCGCTCGGCAGCTATCCAAACTACGCGTGAATGGCGGAGCCCCTTACAGCAAATGACCGATTTCAGAGCCGGCCAGTCCTTCCAAATTGGGAATCTAAACCCCCTACAGAGTCACTACACAAGACCTGTATCGGCCTGTCCAGCTCTTTTCCCCGCAGAACATCCGACACCATCACCCGCTCTACCAGGCGAGGCTGATGGTTTCGATGCGTTGTTCGAGGAGATGGTGACCTTGATCCCTAGTACAAGGTACGAATCATGCCGTCTTCTTCTCTTCTTTGTACTGATTCTATGCAGACCTGAACCTGCATTCGCACATAATCTAGGCTTTTGCGCTGGAGACCTAGACACAGACTTCCTAATTCAACTCCAACAGCCGCCATAGGGATGAACTGCTCGCCGTGATCAACGGATATACATATCCGTCGGCTAAGCCTTTCACCGCGAGTCTGCATATAAGCGATGACCCAGCTTGAACAAATTAACGCTTCAACCCGGACCATCACCAATAACAGCCGCAATGCCCTCCATCCTCCTCATCAACGGGCCCAACCTCAACCTCCTCGGCACCCGAGAACCACACCTCTACGGCTTCACCACCTTCCCCAACTCGAAGACAGTGCAAAGGCCCTGGCTGCATGCAAAGGTGCGCAACTGGAATCTTTCCAATCCAACCACGAGGGCCAAATCATCTACCGCATCCATGAAGTCCGTGGTCACACCGACGCCATCATCACCAATTCCAGCGCGTTCGCACTGTACTAGATTTCTGTGCTCTAGATAATCTAACCCCTGACCCCTGACCCCTAACCCCTAATATCTGTATATAAATATTATTAGATTAGCTATATCCAGTAGTATAAAAGGCACATCAGATAGTCAGTAGTTAGAAAGAATCAGATCTTCATTGCTTTCTCACTTGTATATAAAATACTCGTGATTTCCAAACCAGTGACGGTAAAGCAGTTTCCAACATAAGAGCACCTTGGTGGATATTTTGCTCCCAGGGTCCTTGTGGCGCACGCGTTCCCCGCAATCAGCATTGGATTTAGATCTTAACCTGCCACGTTTCTCTATTGTGCCGTATCTAATGTCGAGATGTCAGAGCACCTTGGTGGATATTTTGCTCATTCTCCCGCAAGTGCCGGAGTTAACCCCTTCTTTGCTATCTTACTCTATTGTGCTGCAATGATAAATAAATCAACTTTTGCCTTTCTCTGTGAGGCTCTTCAAAATAAACAGAATAATCTCAACAAGGGCTGATATTGACTCTCACTTTCTCCCCCGAATCGAGCAGCCATGTCTTTCTCCTCTGACCCTCCCGCTGCAGGTACCGCGGCAGAACATTTTGACAAAGCCAGCACCTCATACGAACGTATCACTGGCGGTTGTACCCGTGAGGTTGCGCGATTTCTGCTCACTTTTCAACCAACCAAGGACACCTCATCGGTTGTGCTCGACAATGCCTGCGGTACTGGGATTATTACCGAAGAGATTCTTGAACGCTTTCCCACGTCCTCCAAGGCAAAGGTCTATGCGGCTGACCTCGCGCCTTCTATGGTCTCAAGCCTGGCCACCAAGGCAGCGAGTAAAGGCTGGGTGAATGGCAAAGACGGTCTCTTGGAAGCGTCAATCATGGATGCCGAGGAACTGACCTTCCCCGACAACATGTTCACCCACTCGTACACGAACCTGGGTATTCTCTTCTTTAAAAACCCGGAGAAGGCGGCCTCGCATATCTACCGCACTCTGCGGCCTGGCGGGAGAGCGTTTGTAACGACCTGGTCGAAACTGGGGTACTTGTCGCCTGTGCACAGGACGCAGAAGGCTATCCGCCCCAACAGCACTCCTTGGGAATTGCCGATAAATAAGGCTTGGTTTACTGAAGAGAAGCTTCGACAAGTCCTGGAATCTGGCGGCTTTGAGGCCGGAAACATTCAAATTCAGTCCCTGACAGTCTCATATAGAGGGAACGACCTGGATGACTTGGTAGATATCATGGAAACCGCATTCTCATCGGCGGTAACAGAAGGTTGGAGCGAAGAAGAGCGAGAAAAGTGGCCTGTTGCGCTCCGTGAAAGCTTGAGCGATGTTGAGAAGGCAAATGCAAGCATCGAGATGGTGGCTTATGTCGCGGTCGCCAGAAAATAAGATCATGCGGAGGTATTGAAGTAGTTATCGACAGATGTAATTGAGACTTTGATGCTGATGGCTCTGTCAAATGGCATTCGATGGGTTGCATTTTCGGTGACAGAGGTTGTAGTTTGATTTCTTTGTGGAAATTGCAAGTGAAGGATAGAATCCCACAATAATATAATATCATGACAGCTGCTCATAGCATTGCCTCCCCCGAAGATGGCTACGGCAAACACTTTCTGTATGAAAAGTCTCCTGTGGTCACCCACATTGAAGCAACCTCCCAAACCTTACTCATATCACACAGGCTGTAAGCTTCGTTAACACCTTCATTGTCGGCTACGCTTTTGGTCTGGACGCTTTTCTCCACGGTGTCTAGCAGGCATATGCCACAGCAAGCTATGACAATTACTCTACTGTCAACGGTAAATGTCTAACGCACGGCCTTTGCCGCCGCCACCGGATCAAAGATGCTTTTGGTCGCACCGAAGTCATCTGTCTGTCGGTCATCATCTATGTAACAGGGGCTATCACGATGGCAGCCCCAAAGGACGATCCTCCCAGCGAACCCCCTGGCACCGCTCCCCAGTTCTTGAATGAGAGCGGAGAATGGGGATTGATTGAGGCCTGGTGGTTATTATACCGAAGTTCTGGGTAGCATGGGGAGTCATTCTAGATTCCTGGTAACTTCAATCTGGATCGTAAGCCTGAATAGAAAGGAACAACCAGTTCTTCAGCTCCTCCTCCACCTAGTCCGATTCCATCGCATTCCAGTTCATGAACCCCAGTGCCGCCTTCATCTGCTCCATCAACGCAATGTCTGCCTCCTGTTTCTCCTTCTCCTCCTCTAGATCCTCCCTTGTCTCCACTTCCTCCAGAACCTTTGTCTCAAAACTCTTAATTGATTTCTCCCTATCATCAAATATCCTCTTCAAAATCTCATCCAGAGTCGTTAGCTTGACGATCTCGAGAATAGACCAGGCTATATCATCTGTGAAGTAGTACCGCCCCCCAGCTGATATCAAACCATAGTGTTCCCCTGAATCTGGGGTGGTGCACATGATGGCCACAGGATTTCTAAGGCCACAGCGCTTTGTAATCTTCGCCCATTCTCCTTTGATGAAATATGACATAAAGCCATAGTCGGTAGCCCATCCTTCAGGGACTTGTCGGAGCTAGATCCTATTAGACTAGATAGCATAGACCTAGGAAAATTAAGTCTTAACTTACAGTTACAGTTGGAGAGCTGCTCATGATTATGAGGTAATAGTAAGACAATTTTAGTCATTTGAGATAGAGGCGAAGAAGATATATGGTTTGTGATGGGTTGACAGAAAGAGGGAAACAATCAAGAGTGATGAAATATAGACAGGTGACGTGGTGCTAATGTAAGCACTCCAGTTACATGACGCCCATATCATACCCTGGGCCTCGCACTTCACCCAATATAGTTTATTATTTGCGATGGTCGAGCACGCAGGGGGATACGCAAGAAATAGTGCAGTTTCTTGGAGGTATGGTCGACGAAGCTTCTCTAGCGTCAAGAAATTTATCCTCTCAATACTCCGTCAGTAGGCAGCTTTTTGAAGGGTCTCTGCCATCCTGAACCTTATGGTTATGAATGGCCTGGCGAGGCTCGCCAAGTGCCACGGATGGATAAGTCTACAGGAAGTCCTTATATCTTTCATTCAAGTAGGATTGAAGAGTATAACTATCAGTTTCCATTTTGTGTGAACAGTAAAGGTAATGTAGGATAGAGTAGGGCACGACAGACAGACCATCCACTTCTTTGAACTATGCATCTTCATTCCGCTGATTTTCGAGAAGTCTTTCATCAGCATGATCTGATTCTGACTTTAGCCTTGTATGAGGCACTGCAGCACTTTCTCTTTCTGTTGCATGCGTCAGTCCCAATTAAACCCTTAGCGAAAAGCTCCTGCAATATCCACCACGACCACAACACCAGATATGGCCCGCATGGGGTTTATTGGACATGGAAGGGGGTAGCAATGCCATTGTTGAAACTCACCTGGTATCGATTCTCGGAGTAGATCCCGTACCTTCTCTCCCTTTTTCCCAAGGTTTTCAGCCAGCGACATTGGGCTACCCCCTCTGCTATCCACTATCTCGACGGCAGCACCCCCACCAAGGAGTAGTTTTACCATTTCACGATCATTGTTCTTCACTGCCATAAAAAGAGATGTTTGGCCAATATTGTCTTTCGCGTCAATTTTCGCACCAGATCCTAGAGGAATCTGTGCCGCCTTGTGATGTCCATTGCTCACGGTTAGCATCAATGGTGTCCGACCATTTGCAGATCGAGAGTTTATCCGCGCACCATGAGTGAGGAGCAACTGGACCACGTTGCAAGACCCAGCCGCAGCAGCTTTTGACAGAGCTGTGCTCCCACTATGGTCCCTAGCCTCAATAGCCGTTGTGTTCCGCAGTAGAAGTTGCACTAGTGCCTCATGTCCATGGCCAGCTGCCAGTATTAATGGTGTCTGACCTGCCTGGTTTTTGATTTCTAAAATATTTGTCATGCCGCTGGCAAGGATCTCTTTGGCTGCCGCCTCGTGGCCATTCTTGCAAGCCCACGAAAGGGCGGTCATACCAGTCTTGTCTTGGCTTTCGAGAAGTGCAACTGTGCACCTTTCAAGGAAGAGTCGTACGATGTCTGCATGCCCATTTTGAGCGGCTTTAATCAAAGATGTTTGACCCTCCGTATCCCTCTCCTTCAGCAGGGTGTCCGTCACTTTTGGCAGGAGATGCTGCACAATTTCTCTGTGACCATTGCCAGCAGCCCATGACAGCGCGTTTCGGCCCTCCTTGTCCTTTCTTGCTAAAGAGGCGCCCTGCAAGAGAAGGAACTGGACCATGGACAGGGACCCATTCCTCACAGCCCATGATAATGCAGTTTGGCCATTGCGATCAGTGTCCTCCAAGTGTATGCTGTTTGTGGACAGCAGCCACTGTACAGTAGCTCGATGTCCGTTGGCGGAGGCATGTAAAAGAGCTGTCATACCATCCTTGTTCCTAATCTTCAGGTCGGCACCATTTTCAGATAGTAACTGAACTATTGCCTTTTGACCGTTTGCAGCAGCCAGCAACACAGCTGTGGCACCGTCCTTATCTTTTGTTTCTAAAGATGCCCCTTCGCGCAACAATGCCCGAACAATGGCATAGTGTCCATTTAACGAAGCCCACCACAAGGCTGTCCTCTCATTCTTGTCTGCTACCTCCACTTGAGCATTTTTGAGAAGCAGCCATTGCACTGCAGCTGCATGACCATTTCCAGCAGCCCATGAGAGCGCCGTCCGACCCTCGCGATCTTTCTCGTCTGGATGAGCGCCAGCTTCAATTAACATCTCCATCACCGGTAGGTAGCCGTTGCATGAAGCCCTTATTAATGGTGCGCTGCTCATTGTTTCATCGACAACATCTTGATGAGCTTTGGGTTGGAAGATCCACTTCAGAGATGCAAAGAATCCTTTAGCGGGCAGTTCCTTCAAAAGTTCCAAAACAGCGCCCTGAGCCAAGAGATGTTTCACCACTTCTTGATGTCCATGTGCGGCCGCCCATGACAGCGGACTCCGACCAGCTCGGTCTTGTGAGTGAATATATGCTCCCTTTGCAAGAAGCTGCTCAACTACTTCAATATGTCCCCCTCGAGCGGCCCATGTTAGCGGGGTTCGACCGTTGGAATCTTGACCTTCCACATGTGCGCCTTTTTCCAAAAGCATGCCCACTATCTTTGAGTGTCCCTTCTCAGCAGCGAAAGACAGTGGTGTTCTTCCAAACGCGTCTCGCGTATCCAGCGGTGAGCTTGAAAACCAGGATCTTCGGATAGGGCCCAGCTTCTGAAGCAAGACTTCCATTATCACCACCATACCGAAGTATGCCGCAAGATGGAACTTTGTTATTCCAGTTGTTGTCGCTTGGCGACGTTCCGGATACTCGCCGGATGAGACGATTGCCCGACCAAACTCAAGCACCGCGTTTTCGTCCTCAAGGAGGCTAAGGATGCTCTCTCCTCCATCACTTGCTGAGCGAACCACGTGATAACCCCAGTACTGTGTGGCATAACTCAAGAGATTATTGTTGAATCGTCGTGTAGAAACATTCTTTGGTATCGAAATGTACCAAGAGATATACTTGGCACAGATGCTGGCCACCTTGTCTTCGCCGTCTGGAAACAAACGTAACCTGTTCTGGACAAAGTAAGCCCGTGTTGTCGCATGGATGAAGTCCACGATCTTGCGCTCTGCATCGACTTTGACCAGTCCGCCGCATGATGATATTACACGGTTCGGGTCAACCAAAGAACAGAGGTTGAATCGTTCGAAATCCTTGGAAGTCGACATATACAGGAGAGCATTCAGGCCCTTCAGGCTCTGAGGGTTTTTGCCATATATGGGCAACATAAACACGAGGTCTTCCAGGTGGAGAGGCGACCTGGCATATGTGAGCCACCGAAACACCACATCCGATATTGTTTTTCTTTTCTGCCTTGAGGGCTTGAAGATCATTTCATAGGCATGGTCATATCTTAGAGTCCGCCAGGCAGTGATGTCCGACTGATCTTGCACAATGTTCGAAGATGTCGCCTTGCATAAAAATTTCATGTAGAGGTATGCCATTAAGAACCTGCGACTGTTATTTCTCTTCAACTCAGACGGTATATACTGTCGATAGTACGTACTGACCGCCAGCAACCTGTATCATTGTAGACTTGATGTGCTGTTGTAACGAAGTATCATCTCTTACAGGAGATGGAAGTTTTGATCGGTTCTTGTCGAAATAGCCCTCAATGGCATCATCCGCGCAATGGATGTCAACGGATAGAACGCTGTCGGGGATGTTCTCAATTTGCCAATCCAGGTGCCCTGTGATCAATATGTTGACGTCCGCGCCTGCCTGTAGACTGAAAAGAGTCTTCAGAAACCTGTGCTGATCACTCTCGGACAGGTCGCTTTCTTCCAATCCATCGATGATAATAAAAATTCTCACATATTCAGCCACAACTGCAGATAGCAGTTGAAACACTTCGCTATATGCTGGGGTAATCCCACTACACTTGCGAGATTGATAGAGCCTTTTCACATTCTCCGGAACATGATCATGCTTTGCAACCAGCTGCTTCAGTAGGTTTAGCAATAGGTGAAGAGACCTCGACTCCCACTGCCGTTCATAACCGCAGTAGACGAACGCAAGACCCACTTGTGGATCGTCTGCGAACTGAGCCTGAAGATGATGAATAACAGTGGACATTGTTGTTGATTTGCCCACTCCTGGATTACCAGAGAAATGCAGGGTTCGTTTTGGTTGGTTTACCCATTCCCTCATCTCGCTGCAGCTAAGAAACGAGTCTCCTCCGTCCTGGACAGAGTCTTTGAGGTATCGTTGCTGCAGACCGTAATCAGCAGGACTTAGCCAGGTCGCTATTTCCTGGCTAATTTGATGATTTCCATTTTCTGAATGGCCGCACCTGGCACTTGTCAGCTACCTAGCTTTTCGCAACGCGTGGCCAAACCCACCTAGTTACTTCGTATGTCGGCATATTGAAGAATATCTCTCGGGCATACGCAGCTGCAGTTGCAGCGGCATAACCGTGCCATTTGTTGTTCTTATGAGAGTCACAGTAGTCGGAAATCCCTCGGATGACAATACAACCCAGCTCCGCAAGAGCACCAGCAGCCTCAGTCTCAAAACAGTAAGCACCAAATTTGCCGGCCAGCTGATCTCTTGTCAAAGCGTCCTTCACCACCACGTCGCCGGATGCAATGGTGCCGCGATGAATCGTCACATAGCCATCGTCGTTTTCTGTCTCGATTTGTGCTTTATTGACTAGCTGGGTCGAATCGCAGCCGCACTCCGCACACGAGACTCCCGGTTCCAGGTGAATATAATCTGGAGGGAAAAGAAGATCATTGTCTCGACCTGGAAACCGAAAATGCTAAAATGGCTGAATCGACATGTCAATCCGCCTGAGATTCGCGGCTATAGGATCTTGAAGCTCGTCTCGTTTGGCCTCCAAGAGCTGAGCAGCACTCAAAAGCACGGGCGGCGGAGGAGGAAGGGCCCCGGTGGGTTTGAAGTAGTCCCTTTCCTGTTTGCCATGGCCGTATTGTACAACGCCCGGGTACTGGTCGGTGGGCTTGCTAACGACAATGTCACCCAGACGAATCATGCCAGCATCTGTCATTCTCGGCACTCCTCCACCAATACCAACGACAAGGCCAAAGGACAGATTTGGGAAGGTCATTTTCATCCAGGACACCGTCCTCACTGTCGGGATATTGCCGGGGGAGGCCAAGCCAGTGACAATGACGTTATGCCCTGCAATATCACCAAGAGTGTACACGTTCTGATCGAGCGTAGGCTGTAGGTCTAAAGGCTGATGGACGTTGTCGAGCATCTTCAGCGCCGTGGTCTGCTCCACCCCAAGTGGACAAATCCAGGCGAGGCGATAGTCCTCGGGGGTAAGTTTTTTTGTCATTTTGAAGGTGTGGTTGCAGCAACATCTGGAACTCGGAACCCTCAAGGAGCAATATTTAAAGGTGAGATAGGTCAGCAAGCTTGGGGAAGGACGGAGGCAGTGCGAAGTTGCCTGGATAAATAAGCAAATAGCTAATTCAGGCACAAGGCTGAATCGACTAGAGAGAGTCCAGGGGTGGCACTATCAATCTGCCAATTAGATCATCTCAGACTCATGCAGGAAACGTCCAGAAGCTCACTATTAAGTATCACGCGGTATTCTGTGTAGCACAGTAATTCAATACATCACCCAGGCTATTCACAATGCATATTGGCATGGATAAGGTTGCAACTCTGGGCTCCCGCCCTGATTCAGTAATAGTGAATAGTAATTTTAAACAAACTATGGATGTTAAAGGAGAGCGAAGAGGTGACCATAGTAAATTCTATTCTGTACTAATGGGGAAGCATTACTAAGGGGTGAGATCCCATCTAATGGCCTTTCTCAGGACATGCTGCGTCCCTTGGTAGCTCTAATATATCCATAACTAGTGAATGCATGTTTAATAATTCTGGATGCAACTAAGATATATATAAGTAGCCATTTAATGCTCGCTCCATTAATGCACCTGGCTTAGCTGTATTGAAATGAACACTATAGATCTAGAGGTTCTTCATTTACCAGGCATTAAACAGAGGATATCCTGAACTGATCAGTGCAATTTATGGTCATTAACCTCAACATATCCCAGCTATCCACAGAGCCCTGCCTAGAATCATCTGTTACCATACACCACTCTCTCAGGCTGATCAAGATTAATAAGAGTACCCACGCTAGCAATGTCAGTATCTTGGAAAATATCTTTCAGCAACAGCATAGGCTCGCGTCAGAGGAGCTTTCTTAGAGTTGCCTGTGTTTAACGTGGAGACTAGAAAACAATATCTAGGCTCTGGTCTATTAAGTCTCGACATGCTGATGAAGAGAGTCTGGATGAGTCTCTATTGCGCTCACTTCATCATCAGACAGGAGGTGCGTGGTACAAGCTTCGCACCAGGAACTCTTCGAAATCCTTTGGGTCTCGGCGGATGTGACTACGGAGGAACCCAATCAGCAAACTATGGTGGACTGGCTCTGTAATGTCGGGGGCAACGCACTACCATGTGAACTGGGGCGCGAGCCCCACCTATGAGGGACCTAGGCGATAGCGCGCAACCCTGGTATCATTGAAGGACCGAGAATAGGAGAATGACGCGGCCACAGTACAATCAAAAAGATGAAAAAGGAAAAAACATACAACAGCGGGGATTCGCTGGTGGTCACCCACCCAACTACTAACCGGCCGGCGTGTGGCTTAAGTACGGCTGAGCGGACGGGAAGCCCTGTTTTCCACACCCTATGGTCGTATGTGCTCATCTAGCAGAAGTTGTAAAATATAATTCAAGTCAAAACATGACAGGGACTTTTGATTGCTCATCCTCGATGGTTAATATCCATAGCTTAGGTGTCAAAGGTACGTGGTATCGCTCAGTAATTGCTCAGACTTCATGTTTCACAGGCTTCCGTCATCATCGACATAAATAACTGAATTTGGTTGCATGGCCTGAGTGTACGTGAAAGAAAAGAAATCATTAGATATCAGCTCATCATCTGATCACATTGCAAGTTAGGTCTACCAAGAAGAGCTAACAAGGAACAACTGCCAGAATACTAAAGGCACTGTGCAATCAAGAGCAAATTCTCTCACTATCAGCTCTCCAGACGCCTAACCCAGTAAAGCAGCCACTAATAGCATATATATGAAATTTTAGAAGTTAGTTAGGAGTAATACTCTGTATAAGCTAAGAATAAGACCTAGTGGGATTAAAAAGGCAACCTCTGTCAGCAGAAATAATGATAAAAATAATAGTAATAATAGTGATTAGTGGTATCACTGTATCAATCAATCTCTATATAAAAGAGTAGTAGAATTTGCAATATATAGTGGCTGAATCTGTGAGTTTCTACCCCTCAGCCAGCCTCATGATGATTAGTGCATAACATGTAGGCAGTAGTAGGCTATTAGCCACATAATATGCAGTTAACCTGAAGAGGACACCCGCCAAACAAGGTTTATACAGGGTTGCAATATTCAGGTTCAGGTGGACTTACAAGCTGAGGTAATCGAATCAATCAACTCGAGGACTTCTGCTAGGCTTTCATCAAAATTGTCTTTGATGAACATCACATTCACCATGCCTATATCATCTCGCTTCTTGATCAGAACACAGACGGCTCTTCTGAAGTCGGCTAGAGAGACTAGGTTGCATTTTTCAAGTCGAAGTTGTTCTCGTCGATTTCCGGAAGGCCCGATGGCTACTATTGTCGGGAATCCGCGTGATTTCTTTAATTATACAAGTGGACGGTGGATCTGGGATGAAGAGGAGCAGCTGCGGGAACGATATCGAGAATTCGATATACTTGAACTGCAGAAAGTCGCTATGGAAGCCGCGTCTGGCGCGTCTTATGTCAGGATGGAAAAACTCGGGGAAGGGTCATACAACAAGTCTTTCCGACTCACTATGGCCAACGGGACGGCGGTTATTGCTCGAATTCCGAATCCAAATGCTGGACCAGCTTTCTTGACGACAGCATCAGAGGTCGCGACGATGGATTTCGTGAGTTGCCTATTGGCTATGCACATTGGCGCTCATCCCATACTGGCATTTAACACGACCTCTAGTTAAGAACAATACTCCACGTTCCAGTTCCCAAAGTCCTTGCTTGGAATGCCACAGTGGACTCTGCGAACCGTGTAGGGGCGGAGTACATTATCATGGAGCATGCTCCCGGTAAAAATCTCGCAGATCATTGGGCTGATATGGACCTTGAGCATAAGGTACAAACGATGAAAGATATTGTAACTATCCAACAGAAGTTGTTATCAGTGAGATTTCCTGCGTAAGTACATTTACGGGTCAATAACCCAAAATTCTATGCTCCTTTCTAACTCAAGCAGATATGGGTGCCTTTTTTTCAGTAATGACGCGCCACCAGATTCTCATCCTGCAACAGTCAAAGGGGACAAATTATCACAAGAACTTAGAGAAAATATTGCTGAACAATTTTCTATCGGACCAGTGGTCGACACGGAGTTCTGGCGTAATGAGCGAGGTGATATGGATATTGATCGCGGACCATGTATGCATGTCTGGCCATTTTCTGAACTGACTTGGAACTAATTATATATGTATCAAGGGGCGTCTGCAGTGGACTACTTAAAGTCTCTTGCGCTTCGAGAGATAGCTTGGATCCAGAAACATGCAACTCCACGCTCTTCCAATGATCCATTGTTCGTTTCACCCAGCCAGAACAACCCCACTGAACATATTTCTCTTCTCCACAGATATCTATCTGTTGTTCCTCATTTGCTTCCAAAGGATGAAGACCTTTTGGGTTCGTTCTTGTGGCATACGGACCTTCGAACACCTAACATTTTCGTCAATGACAACGGCAATATCACCAGCATTATCGACTGGCAGAGTACATGGGCAGGTCCCTTGTTCCTGGAGGGCCGTCATCCCCATTTTCTCGACTACAACGGTGAACTCATACTAGAACTGCCTGAGAATTTCAAGCAGCTCGACGAGAATACACAAAATACTGTCAAGGACCAAGTCACCAAGTCCATATTATTATACCTGTACGAAAAATATACTGCAGAGAGGAACCCAGTATTGAGCAGAGTTCTCCGGTATCCAAACGGCAAGACAATGACCGACCCAGTTCGGTTTGTTGGGAACACATGGGATGGAGACATCCTACCATTACGGGAGTCATTAATCAGGGTACAAAAGTGAGTCAAGCGGCTAACCCTCTTGTATTTTGATCGACTATGCTGAAATATACTTGAAGAAAGTGGGATCTGTTAGATCATACTGTTAAGTGCCCGATCAGCTTCTCTCCGGAAGAAATTCGCAGACATTACGAAGATGGGGAAGGTTGGAATGAAGTACAGGATTTTTGGGACGCCATATCAGGAATCATGGGCAGAGATGGCTGGACGTCACATGAGACATACGATCAGGCCATGGCCATCTATGCCGAAATCCAGGCAAAAGCAGCTTCCCATTCAGATCACGATGGGTAAAGATCACTACTCACACCAACTCACAGTGAGTATACGGCCAATATCATTGATACAAGACAGAGGATCATTGGGGACCGTGTGATAGCCACAGAAGATCGTGGAGAATCAGAGTCATGAATAGAACACACAACCTCATCCCTACGGGAAGACTATCTGGACGGACTGATGCCCAAGTACCCCATGATCATTGATACCCACATAGTAATATGAGGCCTAAGTACCATCTCCATCAGACATAGCGGGGGCCTCTGATCTCTCAGTCTCAATGGCTGATATACAAAGCTTGGGGTGCAAGGTATGCGGTATCACTCAGTAGTCTTCTCATTTTTCTCATTAGCAAAACTTCAAGTGCTCGGACTTTCATAATTCACAGGATTCTGTAAGCATGGAAGATATATAATCGAATGCGTTGGCGCATCCTAGCTTAGATGGAGAGGAAAAATAATCGGATATCAGGGTATCATCTGATCAGTTCTCAAGCCATGTATACCAATGAGCTAACGGGGAACAATCGCTGGAATACTAAAGGCACCGTGGAATCGAGAGCAAATTCTCTCGCTATCAGCTCTCCAGACGCCCAACCCAGCAAAGCACCCACCAATGGCATGATATGTCCCCGTCATCTGGCATTGTTGCGGCTCGCTATCATCATACAGCCTCAAACCGAATAGTGCCTGCTCAATAAAAGGCTGCACAACATATCTCCTGTCAGCAGGCAGTAACGGGTCCGCCAGCTCCTCGAGGAGACCCTCAAACTCCTCCTGCCCCAAGTCTTTCCCAAGCAATATTCCCATTCCCCGGTGTCCACGGGCAGGTTTGAGAAGATAGCTATCCTTGGATACGGAGCCCTCGCGAGTCTGCCGCAAGAGGCGTTCCATATCCTCGGAGCCGGGCAAAATGGTATGTACGATGCCCTGTCGGAGGATCTCGGCCTGCTCAGCCGTGAGGACGTGGTGCTTGTGCACGAGAGAGTCCAGCTCTTGCCAGATTACGCCGAGCATGCGTTTATCGCTGACCAGGAAGATGTTGCGTAGGTCGCAGATTCCGTCCACGGCGAGCTGCTGCAGCACTTCCGAAGAGAGCTCACTGTAATCCCGATGGGACATCTGGAGTCCGACCTGGTAGATACGTTCCAGGGGTTCGCCTGTCTCGGATACAATTGCCTGGCCGTTAGAATGGTCTGCGGACGCGGCGGAGGCAACGCAGCACAGAATCCGACCCGTCGGGGATGAGGAATCCGGCGCGAGACGCAGGTCTGTCGCGCGAATTACTCGCGGTATCTTGCCTGTTCGCTTTTTGTAGAAGGAACTGAACGCATCGATGGGGTCAGTGATACCCTCATGCCAAATAACATGAAGAGGGAGGTCCGGATTGAACAGCGAGACCAGACTATCCACCAGGCTATCCGCAGTCGAAGCGAGTTCTAACCCGTCGGGGAGGGCTGTTTTGCTTGCGGCCGCTGCCTGAAACATACAGATGCTCTTAATCATTGAGTTGAAGGGGGAACGAGCGTTGATCTCGCAAATTTTGAAAGGTAGGTTGGTGTTTGGATCGCCGGCTGCTGGGAGGAGCATGTCCGGCCTCCAGTGTAGCGGGCGCTCATTGTAATGCTGCATCAGGCCTTGTTTTGACCTTTCATGTACCCACAATACATCGGTTATTGTAAGACTCGCGGCACAATGAACATAAGAGGGTGCCCACCTTCAATACGCTCTCCTCGTGAGGTTCCAATGGCATGCGACGGGGAAAGTCGGCTTCCCTGTCCTCCCACCATCGATCCAGGATGTTTGATACAGCAACAAATAGCAGATCTTGGAAATTCTTCAGGTCCTCAAGGAAGCTTCTCGGCATGAGAATGGGGTATGGTGACGTCTTCTCCGCGTACATTGAGGACAGTTCCATGTCGCTGATGAAGCGCAGCATCGCGGTGTCGTATGAATCGCGCTCTACTTGACGGTCGTCGTGAGATGCGTCGGTTGAAGAGGTGGGTTCTGCAGCGCTCTTCGTCGCCTTTAGAGAAATTTGATACATAGTAGAGGTTGAGGTAGTTGTTTCGAGGTAGATCAGGTCTAAAGGAGAGGTCAACAGGGAATCCAGAAGAAGGCAAACTGATTCCGCTTCACATGGACAATATATCCCTCATTACGCATGGATGTTTAACGGTACAGTTCCTTTCCATCAAAGCCATCGCAGGCCTGACTTGAAAACAATAGTGGGTAATGAATCTTGGGTGGTGGTAATGGAGAGATTCCATCTGTGGGGCATCCTGGATCAACACTGTGATTGAAAAAGAGGTTTTTTGCAATTGAGAACACGACCGCATGTAAGGTACGGAGTAAGTTGTACGGAAACGATATGAAAATTGGCATGCAAGCCACCGCTCTTTCAGCTACGCCGTGTATGCAACCGGAAAACTACGGAGTACAAGCTGATAGGTCATAATCATCTTTTGCTTATTATTTCAATGTCTCAAATCTCAGCAAATTATTAGGTTTGCGACTTGATTTTGATCAAAGTAACCCCATTGAAGATGGGAAGCAAGAGGACGTCGAGCTGCGGATGCTAGTGGCCTGGTTAGCATTGTTGTTGGATATCTTCTCAACATAATTGAAACTGCGTGTACCTTGACTGCCCATTCATTGAATTTATACACATTATCGGCATGCTGAAGGCTGTATTCGATGTCCTCCCGCGCCGAATGGGGGTTCGTGGAAGATCTGTCTGCCACCAGCCCGAGATGGATCGCTGCCATTTCCGTTACTCCCTGACCTGAGAATAGTGACAAAGGCGATACATACTGTCGTCCGCAAGGATAATTCCATTCTCTGCCAGCAGGTGCCTCTCAAGAATAATCTCCACGTACTCGATATACTCCGCCTTCCGAGCGTCGACGTAGATGATATCGAATGGCCCAGCGTTGATCTCTCGCAACCTACACCGCACCTTTAGCTGCATTTATCCTGGATTGCACCGTTCACTCACGTCTGTAGCGCAGGCCCCTCGACCAGATGAATCTTTCCCTCTGGATCATACTTCGCGAACGCTTCTTTGCTGGCCGCAATCGCCCGCGGACCGGCCTCACACGTCCACACCTCCCCGCCTACTGCCTTCATCCCCTCCTTCCACGCCAGCGCGCTGTATCCCGTGAAAGTCCCGATCTCCAGCACCCGTCTAGCGCGGCGGTCGCTTGCAAGGAAGACACACATCTGTGCCTGGAGCGGACAGCACATCATATACGAGGTCTGGAACTTGTCGACAGTCCATGCTGCGTGATCGGCGAAGAGAGGTGGGAGGCTTGTGGAATGGGAGCAGCAGTACTTGTCGACTGTGCTTGCTGTTTCATCGGGGAAGGGAATGATGCTTTCGTACATTCTGTGAGGATGGGGCGATGTGTTCTGTGGGAGTTGGGGAGTTCGACAGCGGCCAGGATGTGTTTCTGCTGAGCTTGTATAAAGTGATGACGGTACTGAACAATTCAATAGACCAGTCATTGTGTATTCTTCCGAACGTACAAGCAGAGGCATAGAATTTTACTTACACTGCTTGAGGATGGACCGCCAGCGGGTCTGTTCTACAATAGCCCTGGTCACTTTACAGCCACCTGGGCCTCGGGGACTTGATCTGCAATATGTGCACTCGATACGGAGTATTCTCCGCTAAATTGGATTTCTGGGACAGGCCCACTCTTGGATCTCAATGATCTAGAAGGCTACGTATTGCCGTCTTGAGTATAATCTGCGTTCGTCCCGCATTTGTATGAAGCTGAGGCTGGCTAACAGGTGGAATCAAGCAGTATTCTTGTTTCTATGGATGCGTACCCACACCTGAACCCAATGAACAACCATAGATCGGTTGAGGATCGGCCCGTCACAACCTGCAAAGAGGTCTCGATCTTTTGCAAGCCGGCGCTATTGATTTTGATGTGTATTTTACTGCCACTTAAAAAATACCCGTGGGTCAAACTCCGCTAATGAGCAAGTATGGATGACTTCACCCTTGCCGATCTCCAAGTAACTTTGAGATGGCTATGCGTGCTTTTTGGCCTCGAAAATCGGCTGCAGATAGCCTGTCAATCCTTGAACATCCTCCACCTCCCCACACCATCCCACATACTGATCTGGGCGAACCAGCACCACCGCGCCCTGTTCGCCGATCCCAGCCTCCTCATAGCTCGTCTCCATGTCGCAATAGACCCGGTTGTAGTCTCGTCCCGTTGTCTCATCAACAGGGAAGAAAATGTCCGCCAAGCTCGCAAGCTCGATCGCTGTCTTGCGGGCCCGGTGTACGGCAATAACATTGAACTTTCCCATGGAGGCCGGCAGGATCTGTTCCTCGATTTGCTGCAGCGCGGTGCCACAGGTATTGAACCTGTTCAGCTCCAGTGGCTGGGAGAGGTCTCCCGCAAAAACAATGACGTGAAATTTTCCTTTGCTTTTGAGCAGTGATTGTATCGAATAGACTTTCCCCGTTGCGTGATTCGACACGTTCAGCTGCGGGAAGCGCTTCCCCGGTATCACAGCGTCGGGTCTACATTCTTTCTCCGTAGCAACGGTAAGGAGCGGGTCTTGGTAGTGGACAGCAAACCCTTGCATGGAAGGCTGCAAGGCCTCCTCGCGCTCCAGCATCCAGGCCGGTTCCGAGCCTGTCACGGTGGCCGTGTCAAAGAGCTGGAGATGAAAGCGATCAGTTTCAATCAACTCTGCGGCAACAGGGCGTCGCTCGGTCTCGTAGGTTGATAAGATACTGGGGTTCAGTTCCTTTTTGAGCACTCCGGCAAGTTTCCATCCGAGGTTGTAGGAGTCTCTGGTTGTAGCGTTAGTATGGAAGCTGCAAGACGTCGATTTATGAAAAGAGGGGCATACTGCATGCTGATGTTCATGCCTAGACCAACCAGTGGTGAGTGGTTGTGCACAGCATCGCCGACGAGGAAGACACGATCATGCTTGGTCATGCCATCACTGAGATAGTGAGCTACAGTATAGCTCGACCACCTGAACAATCTGGTGGTTAGTAGAAGTCAACAGCGACATTACGAGCTTGGAACCCACCATTCACAACGCTTGACAGTCAACTACAACCGTCATGATTAGCACATTTCTGGCATCTTACTCGGATCACTCACTGTATAAGGCCTCAGCAGTCTCTGTAGTCTTTCAATGATGAGTTCTTGCGTAATTGACGCAGCAGGAAACTCCACCTCATCGGCGCGATTGAGCTGGACATAGAAACGGGTCAGGCCGCGCTCTCGCCGGAGGAAGAAGAGTCCTCCTTCACCGTAGCTGTTGATTGTAGTGCATAACCGGATGCTAGGATGTACATCAGCGACCTCCCGCAAGAATATTCATATTGGATTTGCAATCAACGTACTCCGGAAAGTCCGACACAACGACTAGATCCGTTACAGCCCAGACAGACCGAGTCCGGGTCCCCTCCATCTTGAATCCCAGTTGCTTCCTGGTCCACGAGCGTGCTCCATCAGCCCCGATGACATATTTCGCCCGGACGAGTTCCTCGGATCCACCAGCACTGTCATCATGGCGCAAAGTAATCACACATGGATGACTATCCGGCTTGTCCAGCGCATCTTCCATGATAACAAGTGAGGCAGACACAGTTTCATGCTCGATCCGAACAGAAGGTTGCTCCGAGATATGCTCCTTGATGATCCGTTCAATGATGCCCTGTTGTAGAAGTCCCGGACCCCATCTGTGTGCATTATGAGATATCCGCTCACCAAGTTCGGATAAGGAACTTACCTGCAGCGCACTGGCGTAGGATTATCCATCCGATCGGATCTAGCGAGAGTTCCCTCGGCGTTTCGACACCAAAGTGCCCACCCCGTGATGGGCTCCCATACCTGCGTGATCTCCTGATCAATGCCGAAACTCTCGAACATCTCCATTGAGCGCGGGTGGATCCTATGCCTCGAGTTGAGCTGTGTCCGATGATAGTTGAGCATAGGCTTACCCATCTGCACCACCGACCCGAAGTTGATATGGCCGTTGCTCGACAACGCGAGTAGTGATGCCGCATTTTGCCATCCACATGGCGGCGATTAAGCTGGGAACCATCAGTACTGATCTGTCATGGCTTCTATGTCCCATGAAGAGATTTATGCAGAGAGCCTTACCCTGCCGGGCCCTGAGACAGTAAGTATCAATATAAACGCGCATGTATGGGAGCAACTTACCGCTCCTATAATCAACACATCAACCGCAGACTCTTTCTTGGTCATCTTGGTATATGGTTAAGCGATCTCCGACATAGATGTTTGGATTACTTTGCTGGCTCTGTTAGACTTTGATGAAAGTCGTGAGCCTGCGTATAATCACAACTACTATAGGTAAGACTAAGCAACAGGCCGGGGTACCTTGATCGTGAGGCCAAGGGTGCTTCGTACCTGGATGTACCTCATTGGGGACAAGTCATATTCCACAGCAATGGGTACATCGTTTCGTGGATCCACTTGTGGCAATACAGGAACGGACACTGCATTTTAATGTAGTACAGAGAACTCACACTCCCTTAGTATCCAATTGAATGGCTGGGGCTAGACACGTCTTTCCATTTACAGGACTGATTTTCAATTGACGTGATCGTTGTGATTTAATACAGTAAGCGGATGCTCAGGATTTGAAAATACAGGCTCGGATTTACGACTGAAAACAGTGTAATGTACCATACTCGATGTTGTATGTTTGATTCCTTTCCTCAGGTACTCCTTAGGTCCACTCCATAATGCCACAGTATATGGCTGCAACAACATCTCTATCCCATCTTCTCTCTCAGTTCCACCTCCCGCAATGCCCGGTTCACCCGCTCAGACAAATCGCCATAATCCTCCAACCCAACGCTCAGACGCACAATATGCTTCGGGACCCCATGCGACGCCGCCCAGTCCTGCTCCTTCGCATGCGCCAGCGCCGAATACGGGATGGAAATCGAGAAATTGGTGCCGACAGTGGGCCCCTTCCACACATCCAGCTTGTCGTAGAAGAGCACGGCGCTCTCGGGCTCGCGGAAGATGACGCTGAGGAGGAATCCATATCCGCCGTCGGGGCGGCGGTAGCGCTCGTATAGAGGTGCAGTCGGGACCATGGTGGGATAGTTGACGGATTCGACGGATGCATGCGAGTTGAGCAAATTTGCGATCTGCAGAGCGCTCTTGTTGCATTTGTGGACGCGGGCTGCGAAGTCGGAGGAGTTGCGCGCAATTGTCTTTGCGTCGAGGGGGAAGTAAAGGTCCTCGTAGGTTGTTGTCAGAAGGGCGCGGAGAGTACTGTAGTGGCCAGAGTTGGGGTTAATCATGAGGCTGTAGAGGTCAGTAAGTATGAACGAGCTGGGAGTGCTGAACAGCCGAAACGCATACCTTCCTCCCATGACATTGCCTGCACCGCTGAAGATCTTGGTCAAGCTGGTGATGATGACATCGACATATGGCAGGATATCCACGTTGACGGATGTGCCGAGTGTATCGTCACACACGACGATGAAGCCAAACCGGTCGGCGAGATCTCGGATGCGATGCAGATCCGGCGTGGACAGCTGAGGATTGGACGTGATCTCGCAGAACAGCACCGTGAATCGAGTTTCTGAAACCAGCAAGGTCTCGAGCGAATCGAGATCCGCCTTCGAGCCGTGACCGTACATGGTGTAGCGCTTGAATCCACAGCCTTGCACGCAATGAGGGGTGCCGGAGTACGGCCATCTTATCATTTTGTCAGCTTGATACCTTTGCAACATGATTCATTGAGTGCAACTCACCCGTACACCACAGCGCCAGAGTCGTCTGATGTCCGAGCGAGCGCGCGGGCAATGGCGCTGATTGCAGCCATTCCAGTGGCATAGAGGAGTACATCATCATTCCCCATGGGCTTCAAGGCTGGATCTGCTGATGTTGCTGAGCTGGCAAGCCGAGACTTGATATCCATTTTGTCTTTGGTAGAGGAGTCAATCCACTCTGGAAGGTTCATCGCACTCAGATCATGGGAATCTTGGCCCACAGTCTGATATTCAGGCTGATCCGAACCAGTATTCAGGAAGGAGAATTGAGTTAGACAAAACTCCGCATGTCTACTGGAGATTCCATCCCCAAACCATTCCCAGAACTCGAACGCCACCTCTTCGAGACTCTCATTAAACAATACGACTGAGAACGCTGCCCATTTTGCCAGCTCTGGAACCGCATCATGAGGCAGATGGAACCGCGCCGTGTGCACAGATAATATGGGATCTTCTCTCTGTAGTCTTGAGACAAAACGCTCAGCAGCTTCAGGAGATGGAAACGCTCGGCACACCGTGTGCGCCGGGTGCTTGAATCTCGCCAGAACGGCATCGTGCAATTCTCTTACACATTTATGAATATCAAATCTGGAAAAGAGTGTCAGATATCGGCATCTTTGCTGGCCTAGTGAGCAGGGATGCCAAGGTACAACCTAGGATAGCTGGTTTGTAGCTGGCATATAGCCCAGTCTGCGCCCGCCATTACGGCAGTCACAGCCTCCCAGGTGGGCAAGGAGACGCTTATAGCCTGAAAGGTGTCAGTGTAACGCACTGTAGCTATTATGTTGGATTGCGTACATGAGGTTCGTTTGGAGGTTGAGGAGCTCCGAGCGGCTGCGTGTAAGAGCCAGAGAAGGAAATACTGTCACTTCCATGTTGAGCTGATGCAGGGCCCAGTTCACCCATTATGAATGCTATTTGTTTTGCTTGTTGATATTGAAGTTATTCGTGGTCAAGACCGTGGTCAAGACCGTGTTCAGGGCGCAGTACGGACCCTTCGAGGTGAGAAGTGCTTTAGGGGCGCAACTCGAACGTCTCCCAGGAATCAGTAAATGCGCCTTCAGTCCTGGACAAGATGCAGACCTTGCCTTACCTTCTGCTAGCTCAGGTAAGCAGAACCAGTATTCGAAGTAATTTTCAATTCGATTACCCCGTCATGATCGACATCACCACACATGGCACGATGCCTTAGATTCTTCTCCTATGCATGAGAGTCCAGCTGGTGTGGGCCCTCATAGTCATAGCACCTATTCTCCACTCTGTTGCTGAGAGGATCAAATCCGAACGAGGCCAGCACCAATAGAACGCTGCTAGCAATGACGGTGTCTAAAGTATATGCCATGGAAATAACCATGCATCAGCCAATCTTCGTATTGACGGCTGCTACAAGATTTAGTACGTAGAATTACTGCGGGCACATGTCACTATCCTGCAGCTCATGTCCCAATTGTACAGTTAGACGGACATACTGTCTAAAGTCGACCCAGGTAGAATACATCACATAGATCGCAAAACCCACAGATCTCATCTTCCTCCAACCATGCGGATATCAGACAGACGTTCAGAGCATTGACGATCCTAAATACGTACCATGGAAGACAGGATTCCAGTTGCCGACCTCCAGCACTCAGCTGGATCCCTAGCCGCTATTGCCTTTCATAACATCGAGCACTGCACTCAAAAGACCTCGTCTGCGATCCTAGGATACTATCATCTCCCTCATATAGGGTCTGAACACAGCAGCAGCGACAATGCCGATGAAGCAGCCAAATATACCAAGGCGTTCATCAAAGGCCGCAAGGTCGCCGTCAAGGTCGCTAACCTCATTAACCAGGGGAAGACTATACATCCTGTCCCGTTGAGGGTGACGGGCAGCGGGTTGGTCGGAGGACCACCCTGTGAAGGGCATGCCCGCCTGATCGAGGGCATTACCTGGTTCGAAAAGACTCAATTCCATCACCAGTCCCTCCGGCCTGAAGGAAACCATTCCACAGCCAGCCACTACCTGCATTTCTCAACCCCACTGGCACAGATTATCCCCGGGGCAGAAGGGCGGACGCAGCCCATGGATGTCGTGCAAGATATCACCCTTATCTCTGGTATGTGCCTCTGGGCATCAAGGATCATCCAGTCGAGTATGCCACGGGGTCAGCGGCTCGACGTGTCCAGGCTCCTATCTTCCAAAATCACACTCTACGAGGTTGAATATCTCGCTCGCGCAGTCCCCGTCATCGCCGACCTGGCTGCGGCCCTATCCGCAAATAATCCATACGGGCCGACACCACTGAATATCCGCCTCGACATCCCCAGCTTCCACTACTACCACTCCCTCGAGGAGCGTCTCCGCGACGGATGCTGCACCTTCCCCGAGGCACTTCAATGGATGCACGCCGTCGAGAAGCGCCACCACCAGCTTTCCCGGGTGTTCTGCCGCCTCATCGACCACGAGCTATCCCGACGGTGGGTTGGGACCCCTCACCGTCGAAAACTGGACGTCCAGGTCTCGCCTTTAGCGGACCTAGTATTCCAGCTGATCTGTGACTCACTGGCAAACAGCGTCCTCCCCGACGTGGATGATATACTGCAAATTGTCCAGACGGAAGACACTACATGGGTCCGCTTCTACTCGCTGGTCCCGGAGAACGAGAAAGTGACGGACTTCCGGGCCTTGAGCTATCTGTTCTACGTGTACCAGGTCCTAAGGCCGGCTTTGGAACAGACTCACGTCAACACCACAGAAGGCGACGAAGCAACATCAAAATTACTGATCAGCGTCGACGACGCGTTCGAGCGACGGATCTACTCGCGCAGTCAAAAACTGCTGAAGAAGCTGCGGGCGTCGCTGCCAGCGTCTGCGGCTGTCCCTCATCTACTCGAGGTGTATCTCTGTCGGCGTATATTTATCAACAGCAATGAGACAGGCTCGAATCTCTACCTGGATGACCCGTCTCCCGAGCCCTTTGTGTTGCGATTGTGCCAAGGACTGGCTCCGGAGGGGAAGCAGGAACTTGTCCGAGCTCAGGATCGACATAATACTCGCCCTGAGACGATCAAGCTGGACGCATTCGATGTGGTTGAGGGGTTGTATGGATCTCACATAGCCGAAGTGCTCAAGGACTTGTTTGCAGAGGTGGGACTGGGAGCTTGAGAGTTGCTTTCTGTGGAGTAATATACAGTGAAATTTTCAACTTACACAAAACAACGTGTGTATTCCCCGGTAAATGTAGGGTTATGGCACTATGGGGTGCCTCTCTGCACATCCTTCCTACAATAGGCAAAGGATCATTCCCCAGGAAGGAATACGAGGTCTGGACTGTAAACCCAGCTTACCGGATGAACTGAACTTTGACGATGTCGATCTCACGGTAATTGCGGCGCAGACCATGGAAATGTCTCAATCTGCAAGAACTACTCGGTGATTGTTCCCGCGACGTCTTAGTTCATGTAGATCTCTCAAGGCCCGCAGGACTGACTGACGAATTGGGCGCGGGGATCACAGATCGTGCTGCTGGGGCCAGCCAGCCACGGTCCTGGGTTTGTCAATCGTCATGCGTGCAACAAGCCGAGACGTACTTTCTACGAAGAGCTTGACAAGAGGTTGCGCAGTGAGCTGTGACTGTGCCAACAAAGCGATAGTTACATATTGTGGCAGACTGGCAGCTGAGCTCCTTGCTCATGGATTGATTGACTTTGACCAAGTGGAGACACGCTGGAACTTGGAATGAACCTATCTATCCCCTGGTTCCTAGCAGGTACTGGAACTATGACACGTCAACCACAAAGCTGAGGATTCAACCGACCGAATATTGTTACAGGGCAGGCCATAGGTCAACAGGTGGTTCGCAGATCAGTAGTGATTACTCCATAGAGTATCCGTAATGTCTTCTCATCCAAGATGTTCACATTTCTTTCGTCTTTCCTTCGTCATATGTCTATATCAAAAGATCTTCGGTCTACATCAAATAGACTGGCGTATCACGATCAAACCCTGTCCAGCCTACTCACATATTCTTGGACTCTTTCCCTGTCTCGAATGACAAATCAAACCGACTGACATTGTTCATGAGATCATCAGGATAGATAGCAGAGCTGTCCACATTTCAATAGCTCGGAATGGTCTCGCAAGGGATAGCTCCCTAGCTGAATCACAATACAACTAACTTGAGCCCTTGTATGAGATAGAATTCCAGTAATGCTAAGAAAGAGATTTCCATACATCTACTATTTTCAAACGTCGACTGGGCCACGTTCAATCTGCGAAGATTAACAGACTTGGCCTGATCGCTATGGTTTTCCTGTAGTTCCTATCAAGTTGCTCTACCTTTACAGTTTTCAAACTCTACGGAGGCTTGCTAATGGAGCTCACTCTTCAGATCCCACCTGGGCGACAGGAATCCTTGCCTGGCCAACAACATAGCACTGTTCTATACCCAACGCGAAATGGGTCCCTCGCCTGGCTCAGTGCAGCGGGACTATTCACCGTCATCTTGCTGGGCGCATATGCATACAGGAATCTGGTCCTGGTAACATGGCGACGCAAGCGGAAATCGATGCGTCTACTGGCCGAGTTCTACGCGGATCAAGACGGAGAGGCAACGGCCGAGTCCATCAAAAACGCCTCGGCGCGGAATATCCACCGACTGACGGGGGCGTGTGTTGGACTCGGCAGCGCTGTCTCCATGGCGAAGATTGGACGGTCCCTGGGACTTCAACGGCGTGGTGTGCCCGTGGTGGACTTGTTGCAAGCTGTTACCTGGGTGAGTTGACGTCTGTATCGGCCTGTTGAAGGCGATATATTTCCCATAGGCAATCCCAGCTGATAGAATCAAATCAACAGGCATTTCTTGTCCTGCAGTGTAGTGCTTTGTTTCTCCGTCTCCCGGCTCCCGCACCTTATTCAATTGCGTTGCGAGCCGCGCTTAGTTTCGCAGTGGCGGTCATTGTCCTCCTCGCGCAGCTGAGTGATCTTTATAATTACAACGAATATTTGACGCCGGAAAGCCTCCTCATCGGGCTCCAAATTGCACTGAGTCTCTGCGCAATTGTCTTGAATCTTCTGGTCCCACGACGTCCAGATGTATTCCACAACGGGACTCCCGTGGATCGGGAATACTCAACATCCTACCTGGAATGGCTGAGCTTCAGCTGGATAGCGCCATGGCTGAAAACAATGAAATCACGCACAGTGCGGATTAGCGACTTGCCCGAGCTCTGCTATAGCTTGCGGGCTGAGAGTGCACTCCGCACCTGCTTTCAGATGATGAGCGGTGGAACTGCCGGCGCTCGAGGGCTGTGGATGGTGATTCTACGGTCCGAGCTTGGTCTCCTGTCCTTGCAGGGAATCATCACACTGAGCTCATCACTCCTGGGATTCGTGCCCCAGTTCGCCGTGATGAGGATCCTTGCCACGCTAGAGAAATCCCGACAGGGCGAAAGGGACGAGGCCCGCTTATACGCGTTCCTCGTCCTTCTCTGCACCTCGACCATGGCAACGGCCGTCCTGGATAGCTTAAAGTATTGGATCTCCTACGGCAAGCTTTCCATCCGCGTGCAGCAGCGGCTGACAGTAGCCGTCTTCGACAAGGCCGTTCGCCGGAATGCGGGTGCGGCATGTACCTCCAAGACAATCAGAGCAAAGGGGAGTGATATTGACGGCCCGCTCAATCCTATCAGCTTGGCCGCGGTGGATGCAAAGACCGTCGCCGACTTTGTCTGCTTGACCTTTCAACTTTACGAGACGCCGGCGAAGCTGCTGGTGGCATCAGTCTTCCTGTGGACTCTCTTGGGGTGGGACGGCCTGCTGGCCTGCGCGATCGTCCTCGTCCTCACTAGCTGCGGCAATTCGTACACGGTCAGGAGATATTCTCGGAGCCAGCGCAATTTGCACCGGTCCCGCGACCAGAGACTGACCCTCGTCACGGAGGTCCTACGGGGCATCCAGCATGTCAAATTCGCCGCCCTTGAGGATCGATGGGAAGCGAGAGTTGGTAACCTGCGGGGCGAGGAGATGCGCGCGCAATGGTCCGCGTATCTGTGGCAGACATTCATGTTCTCCGTGTACTTTTTGAGTCCGATTCTGCTCTCCGCGGCGGCTCTGGGGGTAGCACTGCTGAGTCGCCGTAATCTGACTGCGACCACTGCCTTCACGACGATTGCAGTGCTGAATTCCATTGAGATGTCGCTGAGTGTGCTGCCGGATGTTGTCTCCATGTGCGCCGGTGCTTTTGTGAGTATGCACCGCCTCAGCCGCTTCTTCTCCGAGCCCGATCATGTGTCAAGCGTGATGCCGTCCGAGGTGATTGAATTCCGGGACGCGACACTGGCATGGCCTTCGTCCGCGGCGTCCCTCAGCGGTGTGAATCTCAAATTTCCCAGGGGTGCATTGAGCATCATCACGGGCGCCACAGGAACGGGGAAGAGTCTCCTCCTGACCGCCATCCTTGGAGAATCCGATCTTCTCACTGGTACAATTAGAGCTCCAACTCCTTCCCACATCCAGACCAAGCCCGGTCAATACTCCCCCAGAGGTGGGATAGCATACCTTCCACAGGTCCCATGGATTGAGCGAGGAACTATCAGAGACAACATTCTGTTTGGTACTCCCTTCAAACCGGACCGGTACGCGCACGTTCTATTCGCCTGCGCCCTGGAAAAGGATCTGGAGCGGTTACCGGCCGGAGACCTGACAGAGATTGGGACTGACGGCGTCAATTTAAGCGGTGGTCAGAGATGGCGGGTGTGCCTTGCTCGGGCATTGTACAGTCCCGCGCATACCCTGCTTCTGGACGATTTCTTCAGCGCCGTAGATGTACATACGCGGGCCCATCTCCATCGTCATGCGTTGATGGGAGAGATCGCCCGTGGGAGGACCCGGATCCTGGTGACGCATCATGTCGACCTCTGCCTGTCTTCGGCAGAATACCTGGTGTCCCTGGGCAATGGCACTGCGGTTGCGATGTCGGTGGAGGATGCTCGACAGGAGCAACTGGGCAGGGTGCACTCTGTGGCGACAGTTGATGATGATGGACTGCAGGAGAGCGAGCCTGAGATAGAACATACTCAGGCTCCTCGTAGAGATGACGAGGAAACCGCAGGGCTGAGCTGGGAGGCAATCCGGGCATACTTGAGCCAAGGAGGTGCAGTATTTCACTGGGCTCTGGTAATCGTGTCATTTGTCGGATATAGCGGGCTCATGCTGGGTCGGGTGAGTCATAATCTCTTGTATTCTACTTGTCCAAAATGGTGTTGCTAATCTTCCACATCAGGCCTGGTGCATCAAGCTCTGGACCAGTCGAGATGCCCGCAAACCAGAAACGCCCTCCGATTACCCCGATAATCTCCGGTATGATTTCGCTATCTACCTAGGACTATCCCTCCTTACTGGCATGGTTGGAATTGCCCGCTGCTATGTCATCATCCGTGTTGCCTTTCGAGCCTCCCAGCGCCTGTTCAATCAGATGCTCCGAACGATCCTCCGCGCTCCGCTGCAATGGCACGCTGCCACCCCCTCTGGCCGCATTCTGGCCCGGTTCTCATCCGATGTGACCGTCATCGATTCACGACTGGCGAAAGACCTGCGCAATACCCTCGATCGCGTCGCCGACGTCGCCATGGCCCTTGCGGCAGGGTCCCTCGTGAGCCCCCTCGTCCTGCTTGTCGCAGCCGCCCTGGTCCTCCTGTATCTCCGCTTCGCACACACCTACCTGCGCGCATCCCGCATGCTCAATCGCCTCACGAGTGCCGCCAAGGGCCCCATCTACGGACACTTCGACGCGTGTCTGGCCGGACTTCCCGTCATCCGTGCCTTCGGCCGGGTCGATGCATACCGCCGCTCATTACTGGACAAAGTCGACAACCACAGCCGGGCGTACTGGTCTCTACGCCTGCTCACGCGCTGGCTCGGCTTCCGCATCAACATGATCGGGGCCGCATTCTCCGCCGCCTCCGCCGCGCTGATCGTCTCGCTGCGCGACGTCGACGCCGGGACCGCCGGGTTCGCGCTCAGTTTCACGATGCAGATCTCCGCATCCATCGGGCTGGTGATCCGCTACTACGCCTTCCTCGAGCAGGATATGAATAGCGTCGAGCGGGTGCGCGAGTACGCGCGGCTCGAGACGGAGCGGTACGACGGCCGCGATGCACCCGCCGCCTGGCCCACCCGGGGCCGCATAGAAGTCTCCGATCTTGCCGTGCGACATGCGCCGCATCTACCCCCCGTGCTGCAGGGCATCAATTTCCGGGTGGAGGAAGGCCAGCGCGTGGCTGTGGTTGGGCGCACGGGCGCCGGCAAGTCCTCTCTTGTGCTGGCGCTATTCCGGATCCTGGAAGCGGCACACGGCCGGATCCTTGTGGATGGCCTCGATATCTCACAGCTGAAGCTGCAGGTGCTCCGCGGCCGGATCGCAGTTATCCCGCAGGACCCGTCGATCTTCCGCGGGACAATCCGGTCGAACCTGGATCCGTTCGAGGAGCACGAGGAGAGCGAGCTCCTCCGCGCGCTGGAAAGCGTCCGGTGGACCATTGACTCTCCGTGCGCAACCGGTGATTGTTCGCCTCTGGATCGCGCGGTGGCCGCCGGGGGTAGCAATCTCTCGCAAGGCCAGCGCCAGCTGCTCTGTATCGCGCGGGAGATCGTCCGGCGACCTAAGATCTTGGTGCTGGATGAGGCGACATCGGCGGTGGACAAGCAGAGTGACCGGCTGATCCAGCAGTGCGTCCGGACGGTCTTTGGGGGCGGTTCTACCACGTTGCTGGTCGTTGCGCATCGGCTGGGCACAGTAGCTGATTTTGAGCGGGTCCTGGTGCTGGATGCTGGGAGGGCGGTTGAGTTTGGGAGTCCGCTGGAGCTGATGCAAAGGGAGAATGGGATCTTTCGCGAGATGGTCGAGCAGGATCAAGAGAGAGCCATGCTCAAGGAGATAATTGCCAGAGGGAGGTTGGAGAGTGATTCTTGTACAGAGTGACTTGTATATTTCCTGATTGGACATATGTATACTATTGTAGATTCCAGAGTATTTTATTTCCCCAGTACACCACAATCGCCCTCGACATCGATCCATTCTACACTGAAATTGCCCTCAACTGTGCATGAAACTGTGTTTTACCGAGCTAACTTCGTCGTCGGATAGCTGACCTCAGTTCTCTACATAGGCCATTTCGGTGCGGAAAGGCAGACTGTCACTGCGCTTTGCAGGACGAAAGTAGCGGTGAAATCTGCATCTTTAAGGATTACCTAGAGTCTGAGGAGTCACATACAGAGTACATGATTAGTTCACTCCTTGAGCTATGCATGACGACTGTCAATAAAATACATGTGGCGTATAGTACTACTGCAAATATTCTAGTGTTTTATTCCAGGTATTGCCATAGTTTGTGTCGTGCTATACGTGTAAATTATAATATCAAGGGCTGAACTGAACGAATGCCCCACAGGACCATCTGGAGGTCAAAGATGACGACTGGCTCATGACTGTTCAGTGTTCCATGTCCAGTGATGATCCTATCCATGTCCGTCATAGCCTGGTAGATTCAGATCAGGAGCTGATCCATTGCCCCTCTCAGTGGGACAGACATGAATTGTGCGGAGTATGGTGTACCCCATCTGTCGTACCAAGTAAATTCGTATGATGCCGAGACAATGATATGCACTATCCAATGGTCTTAGACATGAAATATCCTGCTCTTAGCAGCCGAGGCAGTTCATCTAGACCAACTCCCTTTGTGCTTCCTTTCGACCAAAACTGATGATGGCACAATTCAACTCAACCTGGGCCATTTCTGGCCGCCGCAGCGCCATCAGCGTAGATACTTTCCATGCATTATCGATTCAAGCCCCCGGGCTCCTTCTTGGAACATTACTTTTCTATCTCTTCTACAAGTACACCACACGGATCTACTTCCACCCGCTGAGCGGCATTCCCGGTCCCCGTCTGGCGGCGGCGACTCATCTGTACGAAGCCTACTATAACATTCTGAGGCAAGGATTGTCCAAGCGTGCCGTTCAATTGCACAAAGCATACAGTCAGTGTTTAGCTTGAACATTCTGGACCTCGCTAAGCATATCAGACTCCCCCGTCATCCGGCTTGGGACCAATCGTGTCCACGTGGGTGATCCCAGTTACTACCATACGTACGGCAATCCTCCAACCGTAAACATCAGGATATCAATTGACTGCATGACATTAGGATCTACAACTCTGGCACGGACTATCACAAAGACCCCGGAGTCTACAAGTTGCTCGGCATCGATGGATCGATCCTTACCATCACCGATCCCGAGGAGCACAAACAGTACCGCAGCATCGTCGGTTCCTTGTTCTCCAGGAAAACGGCCGATGACCTTGCCCCGATGATGGCGGCATTGTTGAACAGATCGACCGAGTCAATGGCGCGCCAGGGGAGAGAGGGCAAACCCTCCGTCATCCAACGCATCTACCGGTCAGTCGCGGTAAGACAGCAGCATCACCCGGATCCATGGCTAGACTGGAATCCTGCTGACCGTCCCTGGATTGTCCCAGGCAGATATGGTGTCGTATCTGCTGTTTAATCGGCCGCTGGGTTTGATCGACTCACCCCAGGAGGCGGATCATTACCACTCGTTCATGCTGAGTATTGACCGATTTACTGCTATCACCTGGCCGAGTAAGCGGGATTGCTTCATATGCCACGGCGATGTCGCTGACTATAACCTAGGATTCTACTACCCGATTTTGAACTGGGTTATTGATTCCTTTCCTGCCTTTGTGGTGGAGAGGCTTCAACCGGGCCTGAGAAACTTACAGGAGGTCAGTCTCCGCCCTGTCCCTAACCTCTACGCTCTAACCCTTTGCAGCTATTCAAAGGGTGGCTAGACGAGAGCATCGCCGCACATGATGCGGGAAAGCCCGTCGAAAGTCGCAGCACCTACTTCGACCTGATGATCGAAGCAAAACGCAAGACCGGCGAGCCTCTGCGCCCGGACCAACTCTTTGACGATATCTTGAATTATCTCGTGGCCGGCATGGAGGCGACCAGCTATGTGCTCTCCTTCGGGACATATTTCCTGCTCAACAGCCCCGAGGCGAAGGCGAAGCTGGAGGCGGAGCTGCTGGAGGCTAGCCCCTTCATTCGAGAGAAATTCGACCATCGCAGGATTATGGCGTTGCCTTATCTGGTATGTTCCCTTCGTCAATCTCCCCTGGAAGTGTATCTGAGAATCTCCCAGACGGCAGTGGTCAAGGAGTGTCTGCGGTTGAGTAATACCGTGCCGGGCTTCCTTCCTAGGGTTGTGCCAAAGGGTGGAGTGGATATCGGCGGCTACCACATTCCGGGTGGTGTAAGTAAGACATCTTTCGTTAATGGAAGGTATCTGACGTGGAGGTCGAATAGACTCAAATATCGATGATCCATCCCGTCGTCGAACTGAACGAGGAGATTTTCCCGAACCCGCACGAATTCATCCCAGAGCGCTGGCTCGGCGACAACGGCCAGGATCTGGAGAAGTGGGCTATCGCATTCAGCAAGGGGCGCAGGCAATGCATCGGCAAGAAGTACTGTCTTCCCCGAGATCCATGGAGAATAAAGCTAATGAGGGTGTTTAGTTTGGCTTATATGATGCTGTATGCGTCCATCGCCGTGGTGTTTTCGCGACTTGAGATGGAGTTGTACGAGACGACAGCAGCGGATATGGAGATCATTGACCAGTTCGCGCCAATCATCCAGGGCGTGGTCAAGGTGAAGATCACCAAGGATCGGTGGAGAGAATGAGCCACGGGAGGCCACGAATGAGGACGGGTAGGAAATAGGAGTGCGTGCTGTATCTGCCTTACAGAACACTACCATGGAACTTTCAGTTTTGCAATTTACTAGCTGTATGTACGTAGGTTGGATCGGCATCTCCACTGTTCAGCTGGTTTCGAACCCGCCTGCCATTTCCAAGGCACAGAACTGGGCCCAGCGCCTGTAGATCCGAGAACCTTACTCCATAGTCCATCTGCAAAAAAGGGCTGCAACTATTGCGTTAGTGGAACTAGCGGAGTGAGAGCTTCATGCAAGACCCAGTCACAACGTTGCCTAGGTTCTGGCAGCCCACAAGTCTCAAATGAGCCGTGCAGTGGCCATAGCAACCTACTGCGTCAGTTAACTTCCAGCTTCAGACCATAGGAAGCCGGCGCACATCTCGTCAGTTCGTCCAGGTCTCAATTCTTCATAGGGCATTCCGTAAATCTCGTGACATCTTTTGACTTGAGTAGTGGCATCCTGACTGAATAGCATATTCACCTTTGACATGACTGTGCCACCAATAAGCGAACGAGCCTCGTTCGAGGTAGCCAAACGTCTTCTCTGCCAGATTCTGAACGAAGGTCTTGTCAGCGGGACTTTAGAGACATTCGAATCTGAAGAACCGTACCTGTGTCTGTTCAGGAACTCCTGCAATACAGAGAAGCCGGAAAAATGCATCCGCGTCAGACTCCAGCCAAGCGCGCAGGCCGGTATTTTCATGCGTTCTGCGCGGATCGTGTCGCTCGTGCGCCCGGAGATGTTGCAAATGCCTGTTACTCTCGTGGATGGGACGTCTGAGCGGCGGGAGCTTCGTTCGGGGGCTTTGTTTCAGTTTGCAAGTAGCTTGTTCACGGAGCATGTCGAGGCGTCTACACTGGAAGAGATAGCGTTGGGGTTGGAGAATAGTGAGGCAAACACAGGTTGGTAAAGACTCCCCCGTCTCCCAAGTCATGCTGATGAATGAGCAGAGAAGTGGCTGGAATTGCACTCCTCCCCTGGGCCATTAGACCTCAACTCGCCGTCGGTCTTGTGGGAACGAGCGCTGATCTGGGGACACCCGACTCATCCGGTATGTAGTCGTCCCTCTGCAAGGTTCGCCCTGTTTAATCGTCCGTCAGTTTCATAGACTGTGCTATGCGCAGGAAGGCTTAGCCCCAGTTGAGCCCAGAGATCTGCCCGAATTCCTCACGCCAACGCTGGCATTCGTGTCCGTCTTACGGGATGAGATCTCCATCTCGGGTCCTTTCGAGGAGTCACTGCAGCCTCTGCTGGCGCAGCTGGACGTCCCCGCTCCCGAGACTGCCGACAGGGTCGTTGTCCCCTGTCTCCGTCTTCAACTCCCCTGCGTCTTTCGCCACTTCCCCAGTGCCGTCCTGGTCAAGACAGTTTCCGGCTGCGCAGACACGCAAGCCTCGATGCGCACCCTCACCCTGCGCCCGGAACTCAACTTCCCCTACCACATCAAACTGTCCATCGCGTGCCAGATCACCTCGGATGTGAGGGCGATCCGACCCTGCCAAACCCTCGGCGGACAGCTGGTAAGGAAGCAGCTGCACGAATTCTTCCCGCCGGATCTGTGGTGGTTTAAAGAAGTTGCGTCTGTGGCGGGGAACCAGACGGCGCAAGGAGATACGCAGGAAAACGAGGATAAAGCGCGTCATATTGGCTGCATTCTGCGTGAGGATCTTGAGGCCAGAGCTAACGCGAACAATGAGGCGCTGATCATCGCCGGGTCTCTGGCTCAACAACCCGCGAACGATCCTCGGACTCATGCGGAGATTGTCTTTGGTCTGGAAACTGTCGAGCAGAAGCATGATTGGCTCAAAGAGTAATTTCTTCTCCGCTGGAGGGCAATAGAAGAAGAGACTGATATTGATCTAGGTATGTGGCGGGCTTTCTGCGGGCTGTCCTCCCTTCGCTGGTGCAGTACGGCATCGGCATGGAGGCTCATGGACAAAACGCCCTGGTTCGCGTGTGTCGTGATACCAGAAAAATCACAGGGTTCGTCGTCCGAGACTTTGAGGGAATCAAGGTGCACGTCCCCACGCTCGAGAAACTTGGCATAAACCTGTGCATGACCTCTCCAGGATGCACGAAAAATCTCGAGGACATCTGGAGCAAGATTCACCACTCCATCTTCCAGAACCACCTTGGCAATCTGGTCTACGCGCTGGGTCTCGACCGCCATGATGGATGGACGATCATCCGGGACGAGCTCTTTGCGGCCCTGAAGCCGGACACGGACCCGCGAGCCAAGGAGTTATATGACTTTATTCTTCAGGATACGATGCCATTCAAGTGCTTCTTGAGGATGCGGATGAGCGAGCACTTTAATGATGTGAGATTCTCCCAGTGGTTGGTGTGATAGTGCTGACTTTCTTTCGCTCTGTCGTAGTATGATGGTGATGAACAGGATCAGCCGCGCGTCAAGGTAACATTCTTGATTCTGTTTACGTCGTCTTATTACTAACAGTTCTTGTGGCCAGCGTGACGAGAGACCGCTACCTAATGCCCTTCTCATGGGTTCTGCTAGATGGGAGAAGGTTCTAAATGAGTGTGCACCGAAAAAGCTCGAGAGTTGAAGTTGCTATTTGACGCAGTACCTGACTTGTGGCTGTGAGACTATATTTACTGAGGTGATTTCATTATATATATTCATTTAATCCACGTAGCCTCAGGAGTGTGCACTCCGTATAGGGTTTGGGAGTCTTGGATTTGGGACTACATGATTGTACGCTTTCGATGTTTGCATTTGATCAGAGAATGGTTGTAGAATGATGTCTATTGTCCTAGAAGGATGGTATAATTTGTTTATGCCATATCACGCCAATACATTGTCCAATCATGAATCATGACTCCATAGATATAGTCTTCAATCAGACATTGCAAATACATCCCTTTTATCAATCGGGGACTTCGTCGTAGTTGACATCCCCATTCTGCTGATACCTTCTCCTCCACTGCATATCGCCTATTCTCCACTGGGCTCACTGTACACATGACTGAAAGGCACCGACGTCCCAAAGTTCGGGCTACCATCGCTATGCGTCCCAAGCAACTGGACCATCGTGTACCGAGTATTATCACAAGCACCAGCACTGTTATTTGTCGCATGGTACGCGATCCACGTCTGCGTGGTATCCGGGCTCTGGAAGAACGAGTTGTGGCCCGTGCCATAGTTTCCGTTCGCCGAGGACAGCACACATCCATTGTGCTTCGTCCAGGCACTGGCCGAGGTGGGGTTGGTTGTTCCGTCCCAGGTCAACAGGCCCAGACAGTAGTACGGTGTCCAGCAGTAGGAAGCCGAGTAGGCGATGTATGTGACGCCGTTGAAGTAGAGGGCGACGGGGCCTTCGTTGACGGGTGTGCCGTGCGTCTCGAATGTCTCGGTGGGCTGCGAAATGACGGAAATGTCGCCGGTGAGGGAGACATAGTCCGAGCCCAGCTGCTGCAGGCAAATGGACTGGTAGGTTACGCCGTGGAAGCAGGAGAACATGAGGAAGTTGCCGTATTGGTTGGTGCGGAGGACGGAGGCGTCGATGGACCATTCGGTTGTTAGTTGGCCGGTGTAGGTGAATGTGTCCCAGGGAGTGGAGCCGCCTGAACTGTCAGTATTTCGTTGAATGGGGAAGTTTCCATGGTGTCTTACCGGTGAGAACGTGGAGCCGTTGGCCGTCCAGATCAGTGGTTTCGCCGGCCGTGTAGTAGATGTACCACTTGCCGCCGAGGTAGTGGACCTCGGGAGCCCAGACATTGCAGCATCGTGAGGTAGTCGAGGTAGAGTACACCACTTTCTTTTCGGCGGTCTTGAGACCCTCGATGGTGGTTGCGCGTGCCATCTCAACGTCCGTCCATGTTGTGGTCATGAGATAGTAGTACCCGCCAGTATACACCATGAACGGATCGCTTCCCCCTGGGTTGCGTATGGGGTTTGTGAATGCAGAAGTGGAGGAAATCAAGGCCAGGAGCCCTGTAAGGGCCGTGATGAGCCTGGAGAAGACATTCGCCATGTTGGCGTTGCGTTATTGTGGATGGTCTGCAGTGTATGGTCTCATGGTGTCGTTGAGGCCGTATTTATAGGAACTCTGAAGGAGTCGATCAACGTGCATCTCGGTAAATTTGATCTACTCGCAGTGTAGCTCGGTCAATAGTGGGCTTTCCCGCTATAGTTTTGGTAAGATCATAACCCCGCCGGAGAGTAGCTCTTTTGATATATCGTCAGTCTCGCATTTTCCCCGCAATTCGTCATGAAGACCGGGGTCAAGCCGCGCCACACGACGCTACGGAAGATTTATGGGTGCCAACGTTATTTATGTTCTTGAAGAACTCTGCCGAGGGTTCTTGGATTGTGACAATTCGTTGTGGCAGTCTGCTTTGCCAGTAGTGGAGGTTCATTTCATCATTCCGCGAGCCATGATTAGAGGAAATATTGGCAGATGTCTTCTCTGCTTTCACCACAATGAATAATAACGAGAGGAAGATGTTCAAGACACGGTGGACTTTTGCGGCAAGACGTTCTATCCTGATTACATACAGTGCGATATACGATATCATCAACCATTGCCGCTGACCAGTAAAGCTTATCAAGTTTATATTGGTGGTAATATTATACACGCTTCCACAGGTGCCGCTCCTGAAGCTCTATCGTCATGCGAACCATGTTCTATTTCCATCAGCACAGATCACAAAATAAAAATTGGTCCAATGGCATACCAACAACTCTTACTTCAAATCCTTGCGCTTCGTGTTGGGCTCAAACTCCAACACCTGGAAGCTCTTGATATCCGTCGGCAGCGCGGTGGTGCCGGCCTCTGCAATCGAGAATTCGAGGTCCTCGCAATCGGCGTCCGAGAATAACATAACCTTCTGGTTCTTGGGCAGTTCGCTGACGGTTACTTCGAGACCCTTGGCCAGGGTTGCGGAAGTGCAGTAATCGACCTCGGAGCTGGCCCAGTAACCGGTGGTGACTTTCCAGGCGCTGGCGGCGAGGGGAAGGGCAAGAAGGGCGGCGGTGAACTTCATGGTTATAGTTTGGATTGGATGGTTGATTCTAGCAAGGTACGCCAGGAGATGTAATGGAAGTGGGTGGTAGGCGCACGATTGGGAGCTGAGCGAGAAAGGTGTCTGTTTATATGTTGGTATGGGCACCACTGCAATTGAGATGTGACCAGCTGAAAACATGCATGAAGCTCATCCCTACTATTGGGAATGGTCTCATTGAGTCTCCATAGGACTCGCTGTACGATTCGTCGACCCTGGGAGTTGTCACGTAAGGGATATTATAATGTTACACAGATCCACAACTAACGAGAAAAGTTCAAGTGTGATCATCACCGGGGTGCTTGTTCCTGCAGTGGCAAGCTGAATGGTTTGACAGACTCGTTGCCAGGCTGAGACTTGCATATGGAACTCTTCTTGGGCATTTGATGACCGCGAAACACTTGGTGCCCTACACCTGCGCTACAGTACGCGTCGCAGCTGATCGTTGGCAATTGCTCATTTTCTGGCTCTTGTTTTAAGACGCAGTTATTGAAATAAGAGATAAATAATCCGCAAGCAAAGTCCCAACGTCGATAGGCATTAGCTGGTTTCTTGACCCTGAAGACATACCTCCATGTAAGGGGTGGATACTGCTATGTTGCCAAAGAATGATGAGGGCGTTGGCTGGGTGAATTTATTCAGAATACATTGGCCCCCTGTGAACCACAGTTTCTAACTCAATTTCAAAGATCACACGCTGTTTAACAGACGATGGCTCCATTTGGTCTTTTCAACTCGATGGGGTGAAGGTTGACAAATTTGTAGCAGCATTTTCAGACGGCAATTCCATTCCACAAGATGGTATACAATGGCCTGGCCTGCTTCATGTTCAGGTGGTCGGTTCCCGAAAGAAAGGCCCAAATGACTTTTTAATCAGTAGAAGGAAAGTAACAATATAAGTGGGAATTCTCGACCTGAAGTCTGTTATGCTGGCAGCACAGCTTCCCTTTCATTAATACCACACCACATGGGTATATAAAGCCTGCATTGGCAATTCTTATGCTTAGAGCAAATCCAGCAGTCTCCGACTCAGAACTCTGATGCGCTTGTAGGATCATTATTCATCTAATAAAATAGACGAGGTTTTGGGAAAGAATAGAGCGAGTATAGAGGAAATTGGAGTAGGTGGTCCTCTGATTTCACCATGCGATGCCAGGGTGACGCAAGTTAACCCCACAAATGATGCCATCTAGCAATGAGGATAATGATTTCACACCAAAATTAACGTCTGAACTATATAAGATCAAAAAATCCAAAGTCTCTAAAGTGCCAAAATGCCAGATATCTCGCAATTCCAATAGATGCTGTTAATTGGGGGCAATAACCGTCTGGCCCTGCTGAAGGAGTCGGACGACTGATATCTTCGAGAAGATATACAGCCAACCTCCATGAGCAATGCAAGCCACAGATTGCGAGCTTGACGATGTAGATTGACCCAGAGCTTTTGTGTCAGTCTCGAGCGTGGTACATCAGGTGCCTTGGCGGGCGCTGGGCAGATGGTGCCATTGAATGTGACTGGCCAGGCAGGCAGGACACAGATGAAGAGACAGGAAGCACAAGATAATGCAGAATTAGAAAGGGCAATTGAGATATACGCGACAGTTGGCGTAAATGGCGTGCCAAATCGAGATCAATCCGATTGTCTACATATACAACGCTGATATTTAGTACAAGTTTCTGAAGAAAAGCATCAGGTTACCTACTCAGACAGTCAAGATGGCCAACGACAAGACGATCACGCAGAAGCTGGTAGAAGAGAGTGAAAGACAGTCCTATACAAACCCGCCTTCAAGCAATGAAGATCTCAAACCAAAACGTGACACGCAGGTGCGAGTCGAGTCCTACGAAGAGTCAATCGACCCACACTCAAACAACCCCTTCGCGGACCCAGAAGTGGCAGAGCGATATGCCCTGATCTATGACAAAGCACAGTACGAATGTCGCCATGTCTTCGATCCCAGCATGACATGGACACCGGAGGGAAGAAGCTGGTGTGCGCAAACTGGACTGGCATGTTTGTCTATGGGCGGTATGACACCTTTTCTCTGCTTCCATGGACCTGACTGATGCCAGCTAGTGTGTCATGTTCTTTGGTCTCCAGGTCGACCGAGGCAACCTCGTCCAGGCAGTGTCGGATAACTGTTGGATGACCTCAATTTGTCCACGAATGGTAAGGACGCACAAACCCGCTGGGGCAAATGTTGATGGCGACAGACTACAACACTGGAAACACGATCTTCTACGTTTCGTTTCTCCTGGCTGAATTGCCCTCTCAGCTCATCTCCAAGAAACTCGGTCCTGACCGGTGGATCCCCATGCAGATAACCGTGTGGTCTGTGGTCGCTACCGCGCAGTGTGCTTTGACCGGGAGGGGCTCGTTCTTTGCTACGCGCGCGTTGCTGGGCATCTTGGAGGTATGGATGTTCTTCTCTAGCAGTGACAGCGAGGCTGATAAGACTAGGGAGGATTCATACCAGATATCGTTCTCTGGCTCTCGTACTTCTACACGAGCCGGGAACTTCCAACTCGATTAGGGTATATCCCTTGGATAATGCCTGCTACTCATGACTGACTTTACAGCCTTTTCTGGACGGCTCTGTCCGCGACAACCATCATCACCTCGTTCATGGCATTCGGTCTTCTTCATATGCGGGGCGTGCTAGGATGGGCGGGCTGGAGGTAAGTCCGCCTCTCCATCCACTAACGGACGATACTCACAGCCCAGATGGCTCTTCCTCATCGAAGGGCTAGTAACCCTCCTCGTTGGACTCGCCTCCTTTTTCAAAATGCCCGCCTCGGCCGTCGACACAAAGAAATGGTTCCGGCCGAAAGGCTGGTTCACCGACCACGAGGTCAGGATCGTCGTGAACCGCGTCCTGCGCGATGATCCCTCAAAGGGTACGCCCTGATCATCCCCTCGTTGATCCAGTACTGATGACCCGGCAGGAGACATGCAAAACCGCCAGCCCATCACGCCGCGCATCCTCTGGAAAACCCTCCGCGACCACGATCTCTGGCCCATCTACGCTCTGGGGCTGACCGTGTACACGCCAATGGTGCCCGTGTCTTCGTACATCACACTCACCCTCAAGGGGCTGGGATTCAATACCGTAAGCCTACCCCTCAAACTGCTCCATGCGATACTGACAAGCTAGTTCGTGACAAACCTCCTTACGATCCCCTACAGCGTAGGCCACATCATCATGCTCCTCGGCCTGACCTGGTTAAGCGAGAGGCTGAACGAGCGCTCCCTCGTCGCAAGCCTCCAGAGCCTGTGGACGCTCCCCTGCATAATCGCACTGCGGGTTTGGTCGGGTACAATGAGCGATGCCTGGGGGACGTACTCCGTCGTCACGGTCTTGCTGTGTTACCCATACTGCCACGCGATCCTTGTAGGCTGGACATCGAAGAATGCGAATAATGTGGGGACGAGGTCTGTGTCGGCGGTTATTTACAATAGTAACTGTTCCGTGCATGAAGGAAATTTTGTGTTAAATTGGGCTAACTTGTGCAGTGTGCATGCAACTCGGCAACATCGTCGGAAACAATATCTATCGCGGTGACGATAAGCCTCAATACCGACGGGGAAATTCAGTGTTGGTCGGGATGAATGTGCTGGCTTTGGTGCTGTTTGTGTTTACGAAGGTTTATTATGTTCTGAGGAATCGGTATAGGGATCGTGTGTGGGCTGGGATGACTGAAGAGGTGACTATTTATGACTTCCGTCTATGACTCAAGATGACTGACAGTGTCTAGGAGCAACAAGACTATATCAAGAACAGCAAGGATACAGGGAGTAAGAGATTGGATTTTAGGTTTGCGCATTAGGTATCGACTACTCTTGTGACGGTGATACTTTGGGATTCAGAACACAGTATAAAAAGATGAGACTTCAGATTAAAGTATAGCTAGTATGAAACAAACCCAACACCACATCCACTACATCAGACATAAGTTGTCAAAGACAGCGATCAGGCAGCCGACTTGCCAGTAACAGTCTCGTGGTACGTCGCCTCAGCCTGGATCTCCTTCTCAACCTGGTGCAGATCAATGTGCGCCACGGCGTCGTCGCCGTCGAAGATCCGCGCCACCTCTTCCAGGGTGTTCCCCTTGGTTTCGACGTAGAAGAAGTAGACGAAGATCAGCTCGCAGAAGTCCCAGAGGGTGTAGAAGAGCATAAAGTTCCAGTGGTGGGGCAGGTTGGTCCAGGCGACCATGTTGGTCTGGTTACCGATGGCAAGAATAGCCTGGACGGCGATGTTCATAATCATCATGCCCTTGGCACGGAGCTTGAAGGGGAGGACCTCGAGGGCGTAGGCGATGAGCAGACCGGAGAAGCCGATGTCGTAGGAGACACCGAAGAGCCAGATGAAGACGAGCTGCGCGTAGCCAGCGTGGCTGTTGGTCTCGCCGGAGTTCTCGTAGACGGCCCCGGTGATGGTCCAGCACACGAAGGCGGCAACCATGCCTATGCCGGTTAGTTTGATGATGAACAGGATAAGACAAAGGGGGACAAACCTGTCATCGAGACCAGGAACAGGGGACGACGACCGAAGTTGTCGACCTGGGTGGCGGCGGCGACCGTTACAATGATATCGAGGATGGTTTTACCGGTACTGAGGGCCAGCTTCTGGTTCTGGCTGGTGATACCGGCACCCTCGTAGACCTGATTCATGTAGTTGGAGAACAGCGCGTTACCGGAGTACTGGGAGATGACACCAAGCGAGATGACAATGGCCAGACGCCAGAGGTTGCCCTTGGTGCGAAGGAAGTCGATGTAGCTGCTCTCGGCACCGGCCTCCTTCTCCAGACGGATGGTCTCCCTGATCTCACGGTATTCGAACTGCACGACGGTGTTGTTCACGTCGCCACCACCGTGGTACTTTGTGAGAACAGCGAGGGCCTCTTCGTGGCGCTCCTTGTCGACGAGGTAACGGGGGGATTCGGGGATCCCTAGATGCCACTCGGTTGAGCGCTAATCCGCCAATGAAGCGGTAGAAAGGATGACTTACACCAGATGAAAGTCAGCTGGATGATCGAAGGAATGATCTGCAGCAAGGTGATGGACCGCCAGGACCACTCGCTCTTGACGTACGAGGTACCCCAACCGATGACGGAGACGAGCAGAGCACCGGCGTTCCAAAGACAGTTGTAGATGGTGGTGACGGGCCCACGGTGCTGGGGGTGGACAATCTCGACGAGGAGCAGAGGAGAGCACATCTGGGCCAGGGAGTTGCCGAAACCCAGGATGAACCGACCGGCGATGTACATGCCGTAGCCGTTAGAGGCAGTGCCGACGACACCACCAATGCACATGAAAATGCACCCGATGATGATGGCGATTCTACGGCCGAAGCGATCGGCAATGTACGGACTGGAGGTCGGCGTTAGAATTGTCAACTCATGGCCAGAGGCTATAGAGAACATACGTGATGAACATGCCGATAATGGAACCGATGTTGAACATGTTGACCAGCAGACCCAGCCAGTTGCTCTGCTTCACCTTGGGGGAGAAGAACTCGGTCCAGGTGTCCATCATCTGCGAAGTATTGACAAGCATACTATAGTTGATGATAATTAGTCCCGCAATTGCTTTGTCCCCAGCAGAGATACGTACCCATCGTAACCCGTGGTGGCCGAAGCAACCATCAGCGCTGCCGTCAGGAGGTACAGCTTGCGCAGGTGAGGCTCTCTCTTCCAGTCGACTTTCTCAAACTGGGGAGCCTCAGCCTGGGCGATCTGCACCTTGGCCTCTGCGCCCTTGGCGCCGATGTTGGCGATCTGAACCATTGTGACTGTGTTGCGAACAAATGCACCTCTGGGACGAACTCGAGAGGACTGATCAAGAGCGAGAAAATGGCGGGGTAGAAGCTACATATTATAGCTCTCAATCTGGGGACTCGGGAGAGACACGAGGATGGAGCACACTGGCCTTGACCCGACTTGGACAAAGCTTGGGACGAAGCAAAGCATAGCAGAAGGGCTAGAGGGGAAAACATGGACGCCACCAGCTGGCATGATTGATTGGTGTGATGAATTGAGCCGGAGACTACGCTGTCTACCGTGTCTAGCGTGATATCCGGGGTAAAACGAGGACGAACTGGATAAAAGGGTCGAGCAGACTGGGATCAGAAAGGGATAGGCGAACAGCGCACGAGAGGTGATTGGGTTGAACGAGCAAGCCAAGGAGCACATGGACAAGCCAACATCAGGGCCAGAGCTCTTGGCGTCTCGCTTGCGCTGACGGTTTCTTCGGCTGGACGGGCCGCATTCTTTCTCTCAGCTTTGGTCAGTAGACTGTAGACAATGCTGCTGTTGGAAAGCTAGACTGGCAGATGTGTGGTTCTTATTCATGCCATCGAGATATCTCAATATGTTCTCAACTGAGCGGATAACTCTTGATATCTGAAAGAAACGGAACATCTGTCGAAATTTCTCCGTGTCAGGCAGCCTTGGCCTTCTAGTCCTGTAGGCTCCACCAGCTGTGTCTCTCTCCCCGGATAAAAGATCGGATCTTCAGGATAAACTCGAGCCCTACAAAGGGCCAGCAGAGATGGACGTATTCGGTTAGTTCTCCGGACTTGACTCGTTTTGACTTTATCCCCGCATTCTCTTCTTCTTTCCTTGGGTCCCCCGTCTTTACCCTGCCAGCCCGTCTTCAGCCGAGGTTATCATTTGACGGCCCTTGCAACATATCTTAGCCTGTCGGCACTGCAATTCTGGACCCAACAGCCTGTATTCATTTCTATTGTTCTCAGGATGCTCTTCAGCCTGGAAAGTCCTTGAATGAGCCTGCCAGACATGCGAGTTAAGCGTCCAGGTCAAAATGTATCGACTAACGGGCTATAACGGCAAGACCCAATAATACGAGCATTCTTCCGGTCAGACGAGGCCAATCCTTTCAATATGAAACAGCAGATGCTCCGTATGCAGTCTGATATTTCCCCCTCGGTACTTGCCACCTGATACTCAAAGTTTAACTACAGAGATCAAATCAAATCTAGTGGTCATATTAACAGGGTCTTTGGCTCCTCCCAACACGAATTCAAGCCATGGTCCAAGTAGACCTCGCGCCACTGTTAGTATCCAAAGGGTGAGTCAAGTGTCAAAGCTGAAAGTATGGGATGTACTCTGTAAACGGGCCGTTACGCCGGCACAGGAAAGTTGCACGTACACAGCAACATAAGGCCTTTGGGCTATGTTCAGGACGGGACTCCCAAAATAGCGGCGAGACGCTACATTAAGCGAAACATCGCTTGCCACTACTCGTTGACGATGTGAGATACAAGCCGTGTGGCCTGGAGCTGGCCACACAAGCCAACCGTGGCGATAGTTATCTGGGCCTCTGGGGTGCATGATCGGATGGATCTCGGTCAGAGAGTAGCTCATCTATTGCTCGAAAGTCTGGCCCGATGAGGAGGAGACTGGGAACCCGTGACAGGACTAGACTGAAGGGCACAGAAACATGTCTTCCCGGACCAGGGAGAACGGAGAGCTACTGGTATACCGGTTATTGAGTGGAGCTGTTGATTAGGCTATCAGGTTGCCTGTCCCATCAGAACAGCTGACTCTTACCAGCTTCCGTGGCAAATCTCGGTGAATAGATCATGAGATAGTAGCTTTTCTTGATAGCCATAGGCAGATTTTGATTTAGGCGACCATTGCACCAGCAGAGTACTTACGTTTCGGCTCCGGGTGAGTCAGGCCCTGCGAAGATAGCTGGGAATTAGCCCAAGGCAGAGTAACAAGGATGTATCTACTCCGTATTCTTTCTGCCATTTGGGTGGAAATGCTGCTTGCTCGTCTCGCTTCTCTTCCCTGATGTACATTCATGATCCCTGCCTCCCTGTCGGGTAGCCACCGATCTCCTTTATGGCAAGGTTCCATTCCTGTATGTCCGCCCTGCTGGGATTGATTTCAAAGCAGACATGATTTACGACACGTACCAATTGCGTGTATAGCATAGCAATAGTTCTGTTGGTAGGTCTGTGCTTTCATTCCAAATACTGCCTCCCGCTCCGTCAGGCAGTAGAGCTCAGATAACAGACTATTTGGCCCTCAGCATCTGTTGGCACCAATCTGGTCTTGATACAGGTATCTTCAAGGCGCTGAAATGAGCCTGTTCAATCGGCCGTGCGTGGACCGGCCGTCCATCCACGGTTCTCCACGATCCTGCCAACCGATTCCATTTTTCGGACCCTTGCCCCCTTGGAAACGATATCAGCTCAGATTTAGAACAATAGATATTCACGCCCAGCGCCATCATGTCCGGTTTGATTGGTAGGGCGACTCGCTCATTGACATCTTACCATGCCTCTCCTGACCCCTCGTGTCGCGCACAGGCTCAGGGGAGCACGACTGAAAGCCCCTGAGCACGATATGGCCTACATTCTCATTTGCTAGAAGCGATTCCTGACTCTGATAAAATATCATCAGTTTGGATTCGGGCTGAAAATGGTCTTGAGAGGTCTATGCCATTGCTTGCACATTACCCAAGGCTCATTGCCGGTGTCAATTAGTCTCAGCTATTGTGACCGACTGGTGAGCGTCCATTTCTTATCATTGACAATGCGGCACCTTTCACTGAATGTCTTGTCTTCTTATCTAGGTACCCCTGATGCACGAGTCCAAAACCCTTCGATCCGGGAGTGGTCACCAAGATCAGCTTTAATCCGCACATGAGATTAATCATATCAGATTTGGAATGTGTATAGTCGACTCCGGGTCTTTCTGGTCACCTTCACCCATAAGGTAAACGTTGACACAGACTCAAGGATCAGACCGCGAGCATTGAGATCCAAATGCATATTGATGAACAGTCAATGATTCATCCCACAGACCCAGATGGGGTCATAGCCGATTGCCAGAGACGACTGGAAGGTGATATCTTCATACCGGGTCCCAAGTCCATGCATGCAATTGATTGAACAGATCCTTGGTACTGATGGCCTTCACATTTACGAAGACACAATGGTAAAAAGACACGGTAATAAAATTTCTGTTCACCTCAGCAACCTCGTGATACATGATCCCCAAGATCTTGCCGCAGGGTGAGCTTGCACATCAATGGACCCCTCTCCCAAACAGCAAATATCTTCTGGTCCTTCCAATCACGACTCCCCTCACACAGTTCCAAGTCGAAAGTCCAAAGCACCCGTGCAAGTACCATCCGCATCTCGGTGTAAGCCAGGTTCCTGCTGACGCAGTTCCGCGGCCCGATAGAAAATGGTTGAAACACGTCACGGTTGTCCGAGAAGAACGGCGAGGCTGGGTCATCGATAGCCGCTGGTAGCCATCGTCCAGGGATGAATTTGGTCCGCTTGGTGGAAATTTCTCGGAGACGAGTACGCGGCAGACTGGTGGCCAGGAACCTTGGTCTGAGAAATCAGTCGGGGCCCATTATATTCTCGATGGAAGACCTACGTTTGGGGGAATGTGGTAGCCCGAGATCCAGGTGGGCGCTTCTGTCCAACGCTGGACACCTCCCGGCACAGGAGGATACATCCGAAAGGCTTCGTTCAGGCACGCCAGCATGTATGGTAATTTTGCCGTGACCTGGTTGAATGTGATATCCGTCTCCGACGCAAAAGCCGCTCTCACCTCTCGCGTCACCTTGTCAAGCGCATCCGGGGTTCAAAGAAGCCAGTACGTAACGCCAGACAACAGCGCAGCAGTGGTCTTACTCCCCGCCAGAATCAGGATATTCGCGTCTGCCTCGAGTTCCTCCAGACTCAACCCTTCCTCATCACCGCCATGACGCAGCATCAAGTCCATAAAGTCCCCGCGGCCTTGTACCGCCGGGTTATTCAGTCGTTTACGCACAGTCGCCTTCGCGTGCTCGACCTGCTTGCTCCTCGCCTCCATGAACGAGCCCGGCACGAATGCGAGAAGCACTTTGAACAACACCGGATACTGATTCATCATTCGGAGAAACGGAATCGCCTTTATAAACCCAGACATAGTCGCTACCCAGTGATGATACTCCGAGATATCCAGTCCCTCAAACGGCTCGCCGAACGCAAGGTCCCCGATCAAGTCGAACGTCGTCAGATTATACCACTTGCCCATATCCGCCGCCGTTCCCGACTCCGCGAACCCCTTCAGTCGTTCATCAATTTATCGATGTACCGCGTGACGATTTACTCCTGTGGCTGCAGGCCTTCGGAAGCGAGCATGGTCAACGTCGTTGGCGCTGATGATGTCCCTGCCGCTGTTGGTGAAGATTTGCACTTTTGGTAGCTGGCGGTGGCCATGTCCGTAGATATCCTTCCAGGCTTCTGCGGTGATGAAGGATACCTCATCCGGGCCGAAGGGTACCACTTGGCCGTATCTTTCATGCCAGTAGCGAAGGTCTAGGTCTAGTCTTCCGCGGATGGCTGAAAGGTGCTGGAGGAGTGGAAATGCAATCCATGACTTTGGTCCGGGGATGTGGCTTAATGGGTGGAAGAAGATGGTTTTGATGGCTGACAAGAAGATATAAGAGATGTAGAGGAACGACACGGCGGTGAGTATTATGAACATCATGACCTATTTATGATTGCCAGAGACACTTTAGAAGGACCACCAGGCACTGCTCAGTCTTAAAAAGTTGTTGAGTGGGGAACTACATTTCCCAAGATGTTGCACAAAAGGCAAATACAGAGTAAGTGACACGGCATAGGCGTGATAACTTTGTGAATCCCATACCTTTAAACAAGAAATGGTCATCCTTATCTAACGGATGATTGGACATGCAAAGCTTGTATGATTGTATCACCAGGTCAGTTAGCAATCTGCACGATGCCAAAGCAGGTTATTTCACAATCCATAAGGGGCCTACACTTCAGCAAGGTCTCAAACTCTCTGGATCCTCTCGAGTGACCTTGATGGGCTCCTTTACTCTTAAATAACATTCCTGAAACCCCCTCTTACGACCCTAAAAAGAGAATCCTTATTTCTAACCTATATCTACCGCCTACTCCCTAATCGCTCCAACCAATCTAATGACCCTAATCCAGGGGGTCAAATTCGATGGTTAATAAAATGAATAGTTGAGACCTTTTTGAACTGTAGCCCAGACATGAATGGCTTGTATCAGCATGCAAGTGGGCGCAAGTGGGCTAGCAACAGGACGCCGGCCATGTTGTTTCGCAATCCGCAAGAGGCCTGAGTCCACATATACACATTAGGTGGCAGAAATGGCTGGACGGCTGCCTAAGTATCTGTAGATGATTTTTCTGGCCTGAAGCCAGGTCTCATCTTTTAGAAAGATGATGGTTTATCGCGCGTACGACTGGGGAGTTGTCATCTGGTGCGGGTTATATATTCCCTATGATCAGGTATGGAGAGGAATTTTAGAAAGAACCACAGATATACCTCCTGGCTGACAATAGCCTCAAGATCCATCCGATGCATCATTATGAGTATTGAACTTACAATATCACTGTCCAGGACCATATTACTATTGCACAATTATCCAATATCTCTACCTAGCGGAGACTACACTATACTAGAACTCAACGAAATGGGACTCCATCAATAGATATTTAGACAATATGTTCCGACGTTCCCATATTTCCCTCCTCCTCCTTAGACACGTACTCCTGCTGATTGGCAAACTCTGCCCGTTGGTTAGAATAGTAGATACGGAGCAAGGGGAGGAGTAACATACGGTCCACCTTTGTATATTTGAACTTTCTTGAGGGCACGCGGTGGTGAAAGAGCAAGTCAATCTCTCCAAAGGTGCGGTCCTTGGTCTCAGGAAGACGGAACCAGCACCAGATGTTGCAGAGGAGGTTGGTGCCAGCGTAGAAGAGGCCTGTCTTTGCTCCCCAGTTCCATGCTACAATATTCAAGGTCAGTTTTGTTCAGTGAGAAGTGCTGGAACTTACAAGAAGCAGCCACCATGCGCGGGGTCAGCGAGTTATTGAAGATGCCCGTCAGATTGTACACAAACCTCCCAATCACAATTGTCTTATACCTTAGCCGTCCCGAAGGTGTCTCTGCAACGATGGGGTAGCAGGCCGGTCCGACGGTAATCATATTGCAGAGAGTCGAAATGACCAGTAGGATGCCGATTGCCATCTGTGCGTCCTTGCTTTCCACCCAACCGAGGGCACCAATGACCACGAGGCAGACAAACATGAAAGACATGCCGCTCATGTAGATGGTTGCGCGGCCGAAGTGCGGGAAGAGAAGCCAGCAGATGATGCCGCCGATGATATAGCATGCAGAAAGGGAGATGTTGACATCGAATGCCTGCAGTTCACTGAATCCGGCAGCTTCGAGAAAGACGACTGAGTAACCGAGGATGGCATTGCCGCACAGGATTTGAGCCGCCCAGACGACGCAATTCTGGTAGATTGGGTTAGCAACTGAAGGACAATCCTCCACAACAAGACCGGATCCTGATTGAGCGACCTACAATTTCCGTTCGCCGCAGGTTCGTCCCCTTGAAGCATTCCAGGAAGCTTGCATTCGCCGTCTCCGCTTGCTCCAGCTCCGTTGTATGCCGAATATATGCCAGTGTAGCATCGACCTCTCGCTCTTTGTCTGGAGTGTCCTGTCGAAGGCGCATCAAACTCTTTCTCGCCTGGTCGATCTTACCCCGTCGGACGGCATTCCAGGGCGATTCAGGGGCAAAGTACGCTCCCACAAACAAGGGAATAGGCCAGATCCACTGTAAAACAAATGGTAGCCGCCAGCCTAGGTCTCCTTCAATGCTGGCGACGGCTCGGACAACACCAGACGACAGTAGAATACCAGCACCCCAGCACATGCAGACATAGGCTGTGACGTACGGCCGTAGGACGGTAGGGACGACTTCGGAAGCATACGTAGTCGAGAGGGTCTATCAAAAGACTCAGAATCATGCACTTCAATGGGGAGGTGGACGAACCTGAAAAACTCCCCATGAGATCCCACACATCGCCTCTCCCCAGGCCAGGACCGGCAACGAAGGCGCAAAAACAGGGATGAAGATCATAACAGCCATCCATACCATGAAGAACATCATTGTCGGTCGACAGCCAAACCGGTCTTGAGTGTAAGCGTTGACAAGTAACCCGGCCAACTGTCCTACCATGGACGAGTTCGACAGCCCCGACTGCCATGCTGCTGTGATAACCTTGGTTCCTGTTTTGGTTGAGAAGACGCCGAATCGGTCGATAAACTGGGATTGCCCATAGAAAGAGGTTATCTGCCGGTTCTTGTGTCAGATTTTACTCTTCCTCGTCAGATGGAGAAGCAAGCTACTGACGATGACCAGGTCGTATCCCTCCATAATCAGACTGGTAGAAAGGAACATGGCCCAGAAGACAGCCTTTTTGTACTTTGACAGGGCTTGTCTCACGGTGAGTAGGCGATCGGCTGCATCACTTTCCTGTGCATGGTGAATGAGCTCGAGCACATCGGGGTTGCCAGGGTTGAAGTTTCTCAGTTCGTTCTCGGACGGGACAACCGTTTCGTTACCCATGATGACGGTATGTGGATGGGACGATCACTGATAAGTTTAATGATCTCAGTGAGTGGAGACAGGGTTCTAGTCCGTTTGACGATCTGGGGAAACGGGCCGTTATAAAGACCATGGGATGTCGATCGTGTCCCCGCCGGAAGCAAGGAGAGGAGGAGGCCTCCATGGCCTTGTAAGGTTCATCTCCACCTCCCCCGGAGTCTCACGATGCTATGGGTGGCACGCTTTCTACCACAGTGGTGATGGTTGGGATTCGACTAACATGCCGACAAAGAACGGGGCTTCCCGCTGGGGTGTCTCTGCCTTTTGTTCCCTTCTGGTAGAGGAATCATGGGCTCGGCTGACCCCAGATTGTCCGGGGCAAAACTCCGGGGGTGGAGACCCGATCACCGTCTCCACCCCTTGACAGCTGATCCTCAGTACTTAGGCTGGCAATTGACTGTTCCAGCTTTATACATTCGGACGCTACGGTCAGGTTCTAATTCGCCCTCCGAATACTCATCGATCACTTTCTCCCCGGTTGGAAAGGGCTTTCTGCCGACATTGAGCCCATGGAAGCAACCCGCAAGGTGAATGCAGACGATCATAGTCCATATTTGCCATATATATCGACTGTAAATGCTGTACAGGATTGCAAAGTGCAAATTATACTGCGAAAGAGGGTTTAATTATTGTTCCCCGAGCGCAGGACCATTGCGCTTATGTTGCAAAGGCACGGGGATACCTCCAGTTAATATATATTAGCGAAAGAGCGCACTAATACGGTATCATTCAAAAGAGCCGAACATTGAATCCTATATTTTCGAATTCCGATAGGATGCAATCAAAGAAAGGAAGCTAATCCTATTTATTAGCACAGAACTGCCTAAGCTTAGTAGAAGAACTGGAGCTCCGGAAGTAGTCAAGATTGAGAAATAATAGGCCGACGGCACGCATCTCGGCCAGAATACGGAAAAGTCCCGGTGGATTCTCGAATAGTATTGCAGCCGATTAGCCAGCCTTCTGGGTGAACTGACATGGTACTGTCCTGGCAGTCGTAAGGTTAGAGTAAGACGGAGGCAATCCTTTTCAACCAATAAGTAGATGAGATAGGCTCTTAATCTCCCTCATTACGCTTGATCCCCTGTAAACAGACATGAAATGGCAAGGATCTAGAAACAACTCGTTATATGAAGTGCGTCCAAAGGCGAAAAAGCACGGTAAATTTATATAAATATATATTGAAAGCGAGGTCGGAAAGTTGCTTAATCTATCGTCCAGTCCACGTTAAACTGTCCTCAACGTCAAAGGCAGTCGCAAGAGATCCCACCGCAAGACGGTAGGTTCCAGGCTCCAACCGCCATTGGTTGACATCCTTATCCCAGTAGCTGAATGCATGTTTCTTACTCAAGAGGAGTGTCACTGTTTCCGACTCCCCAGGAAGTATCCATACTTTTGCATACCCCTTAAGCTCGCGAGCAGGACGCCACACCTTCGTGCTCTCTGGAGGAGATACATAGAGCTGGACAACCTCCTGACCCGGGTAAGTCCCAGTGTTCTTGACTTTGACTGAGATGGTCAGGTCAGAGTCGCATGCCTCCTCAGTCATGCCCCGGCCGCTGACAATGATGCCCGAGTATTCGAATGTAGTGTAAGACAACCCGTGACCAAATTCCCATTGCGCAGTGTGCTGGGATCGAGGATGTCTGTATCCTATCTGAATGCCTTCTTCATATTTGATTTCATATCCACGTTCGGTAAGTTGCGCAGGGAAGTTGTGGTAAGTAGGCACGTGCTCATCATCGAACTTCTTCGGCCACGTCGTCGCCAAGCGGCCGCTCGGGTTGGTTTTGCCAGTCAGGATATTAGCAATTGCCTGTCCGCCCTCCTGGCCAGGGAAGTGAGCATTGAGAATCGCGTCTACTTCATTCACAAAAGGCGATACGTCGATCGGATTGCCGCAGTTGAGGACCAAGACTGTCTTCTTGGAAACTGCCGTGACGGCTCTGATGAGCTTCACCTGGGGTTCGGACATGCTCATGGAATCAAGATCAAACCCTTCAGATTCGTATTGCTGATTTCGACCGGCAAATATGATGCTCACGTCTGATGTAGAAGCGACCTGGACGGCTTCGGATATCGACGCCCGCTCATCATTGAATTCCTCGTAGCACAGCGTTGCACCGTGAGGAGTGGGCTCGTAGTCGTTCTCCCGAGGGATACGGGCCTGACTCAGTAGGCGCACCAAGTAAGGCTTTCCAGCCTCCATGAATACAGAGGCGCGGTGTTCCAGGCGAGCTGGCTCGAAAAGGAAATCTTCCATTGTCACTTCATGTTGTTTCGGGACCGAAAGAACCGCCCTGCTCTCGACAAATAGAGAAGAGCTGCCCGTAACGCGAGCGGCTAAAGTGTGTGGGCCGGTCGTCTTGGGGGTAATGGTAGTTGAGATCTCGTAGCTGAAGCCCGGCTCTATCAGACCGGGTTTCAAGTTTCGAACCATGGCAACCACCGGAGTCTTCTGGTGTTCGGTGTACACGGGCAGATCAGAACCCTGGTTAAAATAAGAGACGTCAAAACCTGGGCTGCCATTCTTGGACAGAGTGTAATCCAGCGGCACAATGGGGACGGTTCTGTTTGTATTAACCCCTCGAGCATATTTCACCAATGAAGGGAAGGGGTGAGCGTCTTTCAAATAGTCCAATGGCTTTTGTAGGTACTGCGGAGGTGCACTGGCACTACCTCCGCCGCTCACGACGGGCTCACTGGCGGGGACACCAATGACTGCAATCTTGGGAGCACGACGCATGTCAAGAGGCAAGACATCCTGCTCATTTTTGAGAAGGACAATGCCTTCCGATGCGATCTGCAGGGCCAGTGCGTTCGTCTCCGGATTTACTTCAGATCTTTCAGGTTCCTGTGAGTGAGACTCGCGCGTCTTCTCGACCAACGAGAGAACTCGAGAAACACACTCATCGACCGCTTTTTCGTCAACAAGCCCGTCCCTTACAGCTGCTACAAGCTTTGGACCACGAAAGACGGATGGACCGGGCATCTCGAGGTCAAGCCCAGCATTAATGGATGCAGCACAAGATTTAGTGGCAAACCAATCGGATACCAGACATCCATTGTATGCCCATTCACCCCGCAATATCTCCTTCAGGAAAGGATGCTCTGTTGTATGTGTGCCATTCAGCTTATTGTAGCTGTGGCAGGTGTCAGAAATTTCATCCAAAAATCATGGCAAAAGTGGAAAAGCAATATGAGGGGATACTGCCTTGATACGTACCTAGCCATCAAGCCGTTTGGCTCACTTCTTCTCAACAACTCCTGGAAAGCAGCTACATATATCTCCCGAACAGTGCGGCTGTTGTGAGACTCGGCGACACTGTACTGTCTCCTTTTGAACTCACTCTCGTTGCAAGCAAAATGTTTCGGGCAAGCAGCGACCCCTTGTGACTGTATGCCGCGCACGACCCCGGCCGCAAGCTGACCAGATAGAAGAGGGTCTTCGCTGATACATTCAAAATTCCTCCCCCCTCGAGGATCGCGGTGAATGTTAATTGTTGGTCCGAGAATGACTTGTGCGGATTTCAATTTCGCTTGGTACGCCAATGCCCTTCCTAGTTCCTCCATGAGCGTATTATTCCAGGTCGCACCATATAAAGTCGAGCTTGGAAAAATGGCTGTTGGGACGCCGTGGTGAAGTTCGGAGCCTTTGACCCCGTTGACGGAGTCGACGAGCTAGACAATCATGGAGGCTAAGTCAGCCGTACAATGGAAGACACAGGGGATGTGCCTACCTTTAATGGAGGAATGTTCAATCGTGAAACTCCGCTCGAGTGAACAAAATCTGTTCCCGACAACAAGCCAACCTTCTCCTCTAGCGTCAATTCCGGTAGTAGGGAGGTGAAGTTCGGTTGCGCTGATCGTTCAGCGACCTCTCCTGTGCTCTCATCTTGGGAGCTTGGAGTACCAGCTCTAGAGGAATCAGATATTTCATCAACAGCGAGTGTTACAGCCTTGAGGTCGTTGCCCATTGCTGGGACTGAAGATGCCGATTCGACTTGCATGTTCGAACAACTGTAACCAGTTCTTGCCAACGCTCGAGCTGATAGATCAGAAGGGATCCGGTGGAATGAATAATGGAGAGACCTTGACGGATGAAGATATAAAATCCGCGATGGTAATATGAGTACGTAGCGTCGTCAAGTACCCCGACATCTTCTTTCCCGAAAGTTGGCTCGCCGTCCGTATTACAGGACCAGTAGAAGAAATTGGGAGATAGCCTAGATGGTCTCATTGGCTTTTGCTGAGGATAGTGGATAGCTGGAGGGCGGAGATGCCGGACAGTGGACGTGAAGGGTGGAGAGACGGACAGTCATGTGACACTACAACATCGGCTCACGTGAGCCTACAACGCCGTCCACACATTTTTCCTTCGTCCACTCTCGCATTCCACCTCAGCCACCTTCAGTCGTCCTCCCTCCAGTTCAAGATCCGGTGGCATTGTCATCGCTATTGATTCTGACGATCCACCTTCCACCTCTATGCGTCCCATTTGCTACGAAATTCATTCCATGCCTCAGTTGGATCTGAACTAAGATTAGATTACTATGCAGGTCGCATCAGCAAAGGCAACTAGGCGCGAGTCAAGGTCGCATAGGAAACAACCCTCTGGTCCATTCCTCTGTCATACTTGTGGGAAGGTATTTACACGAGTTGAAAATTTGACTCGACATGCGGAGAATCGTATGTGCAAAGTCCACCTCCATCTCTTAGACTGGATCCGTATGTACTGAAGTGAGGTTGTGGTAGACAAAACTACCGCCAAATTTGTGTGCCATGTCTGCCAGAAACGATTTACTCGAAGGTAGTTGGCCCGCGCGTTCCTGTGTTCTGCCCATCTCGGACGATATATCTGTATGTTGCATTGGTGATTGACAAAAGTGGCGACTCCTGGACAAAGTGCATCAATCGCCTTGTATTGTGATTTTTGAACTTCATGTAGGGACAAGTCGTAAGGCTGACTTTTCTCAAGTGACCTTCTGAAACGTCATTCAAAAATTCATGGCAAGAATGCGGGTCGCCAATATCTCTCTGATGCGCCTATGCCGGACCCTGCGAGCAATCCGCACCTTGACTATGATGATCAACAGCTTCAGCAGACCCACCCTAGGGCTGAGGACATCGACGAATCCCACATGCATATCGTCCTTCGTTCATCAGATACACGGCCCGTGCATTCCTTCGACTCAAGGTATCCTGAAGTGTTTAACGCGATCCATGACTCCACCCGGGATGTTGAGGTCAGTGGAGGTCTTAGTGGTAGCCATGATGAAGGACAAGACTACAGAGCACCTTTGGATCCCAACACATACTCATCAAGCAAGTCGATCACCCAAAGCAGTCCGAATTCCGGTTCGCCATGGCCCTACGGCTCTTACGGAATGTATGGAGAAGGTTGTCTAGATACTGATCTAGCCTGGATCCTCGACATTGATTTAGTGGACTATCCCGGTCTTCAGAAAGACCATGGCTTCAATCTCGACAACATCGGATCTCAAGCTTATCCGGATCGGCATTATGAGCGGCCCATGCCCGGTAACATTTCAACCATGGGCGAAACAGCCTCCAGGCATCAAGGTGGTCAGACATGCGATTACCCGGCTGATGACAACCAAAATGATTGGCCCGACGAAGATCCCGTTCCAGGTGCACCAGCGCCGCCTGAGATACCACCAACCGACATTCCCGGTCAGGAATCGTGGGTAGAGCCTGACGAAGTCAGACTTTTCCGTAATCGGTACAAAAGCGGCCACTGGCAATTTCTGGGAGTAACACCTGACGTGAGAGCGCGTTTGTTGGCCACCTTAGCTGATAGTGCTTCGATCGAGCATGGACTCTTGCCGCCAGATGAATCGAAGTTTCCTGTTCCAGAGGTGCTTGAGTATTTTCTTTTACTCTTCTTCGAATTCGTGCATCCTAGGTTCCCTGTTCTTCACAAACCGACATTTAGTATGGCCGCTGCGCCACCATATCTGGTGTTGGCGATGATCCTTCTGGGCTCCAGTCACTCTAGGACAAACCGAGGGAAATTCGTTGCTGTGTACCTACACTCAGCTACCACGATGTTTATGAGGCTACATGCCTTGAAGCCATCATTCGTAAGAAACCCTTGGCCATTTTCACGTCGAGTAACATCACAGGACTCGGTCGTCGCTATCCCAGCTGTATTATTTTTTAGTCCATTTCCAAAATCTTGCTAACCGGTTTCTGTGCTCAGCTTCGCTCGGTGGAAAATATTCTGACGTTACTGTTTCTCTGCGTCTCCGGCGCTTGGTCTGGACATAAAAGTGAGTTTGAGTTTGCAGAAGGGGCTCGTGGGATCCTTGTTACTGCTTGTCGTCGCTGCAGGTTGCTTGATTGTCGTCCAAAGCCCCTTATTAAGGACACAGGAGCTACACGGTCTACGCGAGCGAAGCTTCTTGACACTTGGAAGGCCTGGATTGAGCTGGAGCAACGTAAGCGCCTGGGACTTGCCATATATGTGCGTCATCTATGACTTGGTGTGGTAGAAAGTACTAACAGCAGGAGAATAGATGTTTGACCTTCAGTTTCCAGCATTGTTTCACAATCAACCATACATTTCCAAAGGGGAAACTGTAAATCTGGTGTTGCCTTGCGAAGCTGCATTCTGGGAAGCCAAGTCTCCTGAAGCGTGGAAAGTCCTCCTTGGTCCCGCCGAAATACCCTCTGCAATGTATTTCATGGTTCCGTTGGATACTTGTCTTCTTTATCCGGAAATCAAACATGACCCTCCTTACGCGCCTATCGACTCCTACAGTAAAATTATCCTCATGTACGCTTTGTTCGGCCACATTTTCGAATGGCGACAGAATATGAATATTGTTCTTCATTCCGCCTTCATCAGAGGCCCAGAGAGCATTGGGCCGGCTGAAGGTCTCGCCGACCGTCAACGATGGCTTCGCAATGGTCTCAAGGCTTGGCTCGATAACTACCACCACTCGAATACGAGGGGGAACGCATCCCAAGCTCCACCCGCGGGACTCCTTTTGCATCATCTCGCGAACATATACTTGGACATAAACATCTCCGATCTCCATTTGTATGCCGGACGTTCGGGGTTAACTGAGGACATCCAGCTAGCTGAGGATGCGTTGAGAAGATGGTGTCAGAGCTCGGGTTCAAGACGTACGATCGAACGCGTCCATGAAATGCTTGATCTGGCTCGCCGAACCATTGAGGATGAAATAGCACCTACATGCAGCTTTGAGATCTCGGTTGCATTGTTGACCGGTGGATTAATATGTTGGATGTACGATCGATTGGGCGGGGATGCCCCATCTGGTGATTGGGTATGTCATTGATTCCCTTTCTCTTCTTTCTGGTTCCCGTACATCCTTCTCTCTCGCTTCCTCAACCGGCACTGGGGGGAAGAAACGGGATCCTCAACGTCAACTGATCAGATAGATGAGTCCTCGAGCAGGCTTTAGCTAACATGAAGAACCAACAGTTGCAACAAGCAAGCCAAGCGCTTGAACGACTAAACAGCTGGGGTATATGTACCAACTTTGCTCAAATATTGAGAAAGTTCAGCCGCTAATATGTGAATATTGTCCCTTTCCCGTGAATTGCTTTGCGACGACCTTTTCTATCCATGTGTGCAAATGGTCGCACGCCCTGGACCCGCCACCATACAATGGGGTTTTCAGATATATATTAGTCTATGCAACAACGGATGAGGACTTTTTCGGCGGCCAATTCCGGCTTATCGGACATGTCTCCAGCTCAAAGCCGTATACATATATAAGTTTATTGAGACTACTATCACAGGTTTGAGAGCATCAACATTCTATTCGATGTTGGAAAGCTAACACATTGCCCAGACTCGGCAGCTACCCTCTATCTCGATCACAAATCTCCCACCTTTGCCTCTAGCAGCATTGCAAAGCAACTGAGAACTTATTTGAGCTCACCCTGTCCAACGCAGCGCTTGACAGGGTAAGTATCTCTCAGACACGTCGTCACCACGCCCTTCACCCAGTTCAGCGTTGCGGCATTATAGGTATAAGTCTCGTCGGTAAAAGAATCCGCCTGGTAGTACTCAAATTGTCCGCTGCCAGGCGAGCCAGTGAAAACATAACCTCTTTTCCGGTGCGTCAAGGGATTGCTCACTATGGCCCCCCATTTGTTCTTCGGGATGGTCATGGTCACCGTGCCGGTGAGGGTGCTAGTTTTGGTGTACTGGTAATTTGTGGTCACTCCGATTTGGAGGAATTTCTCGACGGTCGCAGTGAAGGAAGCACCGACCGAGATGCTGTTGGCTATCATTTGGCCTGCTGCCATGGCCACGGTTGCGTCGGCTTGGTTGGCGTGGACAATGGTGGACATGGGAATGTCCCAACCGAGGAACTCCTGATCGGGAAGGGGGATGATGATTTGAGGGCCTCCGCGCTTCTGCAGGCCGTTGAAGTTGGTCGAATTGAGGGACCGCGGGATGTTGTCGGTGGGAGCCTCGAGCAAGATGCCGTCGAGGTGAGAGGCCAGATCCGTTTTCTCAATGGTTTTGGTAGTTCCATCGGCGAGAAGCAGGATCGCCTTGTCGGCGTCGACATGATCTGTGGGAAGTGCCGCAGCGAGAGCGCTATTGGCAAATAGAGCTGTGAAAAGCACGAATGGGAGCTTCATTTTGTGCTTGTTCAAAGTTATACACTTGAAGACCTGGGACGAAAATGCAAGGATAGAAGGTAAAAGATATGAGGAAGGACCAGCCTATATAGCATGAAGCCGAAGGATGTGATCTCAGAAGTGTGCCGTGCTAAAGGACCCATGTCCCAGTACATGGACGGTGGATTCCCTACAGACCTTGTCCATCACACATTGAATCGAATATTCGGAGTTACGTGGGATTATCATGGTCAATCTATAGGAATTCTCCGAGGAATGGCCGCCGACGCTGAGTACCTTGAGACATATCAAGTCAAAGGATCAAATCCTGACCCTTAACACGCAATAAAGCTCGCCTCTGGCGAACAGATTGACCAACAATAACCCGCGATGAACACATGGCGATCGATTTTGATTTCCGTCTGAAGATAGCGTCTGCGGACCCTGTTCCTGTCGATCATCCCATCCTGACCCCATCACAGAACCTCATTGGATGTGATTCAGCCCAGAAAGACACAACGTTGGCGGTCTGTAGATCTTTGCCAACCCGAGAGAGGATAGAACATATCGGAGCTTTATTGACGAGCGAGTTCCGACCTCAGTGAGAGAGAGATGCGAGAGGGACCAGAAATCTGACGCCGAAACAGCCACGGGGAACTGTTATCTGTCATTTATCTGTTGCAGCTCCTTTATGGATGACATCTTGGGTCATCCCGTTGCATAATAACGGTCGAATCCGATAGGACAATGGACTCGAGAGATTCAACCCGTTGAATGCCCCAGGACCGCAGGAATCGGCAACCCACTACCTTTATTAGAGTGAAACATGTACCAGGCTGCAGGAATCTACTATGCATTGCCTTGTTAGATTTTCATTGGCCAAAGGAGAGAAGTATTTGGTCACGTCGCTGCCGGCCAAGATCCTAGCACAGCATTATTGAACACCTGGACGAAATTGTCTCAGCGCTCGCTGAAGCTGTACGGGGAATCCTCGGGCTGATCAACCTGTGCGAGTTCGGCATCACGACCGCCAGGGGACTTTGTCGAGCATTGTGCATAGAGTTGATACTCCTGGGTCCTCCACTGGCCCTTAAGTACCTGCTGGGTTCGTCGAGAAATAGAAGTCATAGAAGTCAACGCTCATTCTCAGTCCTATACACTCCTTCACGAGCTTTCCTCGCCCAATATACCCGTTCAAACATGAAGGCCTCTATCTCGCTCGTTGTTGCTAGTCTGGCCGCTAGGTCAGTCGCCTTATGTCCATGATGATTGAGGCCATACTAACGGCTAGAAGTGTTTTTGCGGACCTACACTACACTGGGATCTGTGTTGACAATCCTGCCAGGGATGTGGTACGTCGCCTCAAGGTCTATTTCGATGGTCTAGAACAATTCAATTGACAATGGTTAGACCGTATACAACAAGCAAGCGACTGAAAAGGCATGCGCGGCATATAAAAGACGCAACACGGGAAATGAACAATGGGATCAATGCCCGGACTGTACACTGAAGAGTGACCAGGACATTCTCTTTTATTGCCAGTCGGCGGCGCAGCACATCGGGGGAGACGAGTTGGAATATTACTGCAAGCAGAATGGGGCGAGCAGCAGTGTGGCTTGGTGAAGGGAGCAATTAAACTATATTGCTGAATTTGTGCTTCCATATACAGAGATGACTCCGGGAATGTGAGAAGTCACCAAGCTCAGAGAATAACATGATAAAGAGCTGTATATAATGCCTCCCGTGAGCTAATCCCGAGTGTCACGAACGTCTTTTAGCCTTTGGCAAGCGGCTTCGCATGACCTGCGAACAGGATGGTCTGATGGACAGGCTGTTTTCGCTGCCGCAAATGCAGTCTCGAATGTGTCCCGCGCAGTACGCAACTTTCCCTGGCGCTCATAGAACATTCCAAGAGTGAACATACTCCACAGCGTCGAGGGATCATCGGGACCCAACACCTTCCGCTTCACATCAACCAGAGAAATGTTTAGCTCTGTCGCCTCGACACACTTTTCCTGCCACGCCAGCACATTGACCAGGTCCTCCATGCTAGCTATTGTCCTGGAATGTTCAGGACCTAAGATCCGGACTCGTCCCTGAAACGCCTGTCGGTTCAGATCTTCTGCCTCGGCGAATGCACCGCGTTTCTCTAGTACTTCGGCCAGGTTACTACACGTTGATAGTGTATTGGGATGATCGGGTCCTAAGACCAAAAGCGAGCCCTCAAGGACCTCTCGGTGGATTGCTTCGGCGGAGGAATGGTGGCCACAGCTCTGTAGCACGCCTGCCAGGTTGTTCAACGACGTAAGCGTGTAGGGATCTACCGTGTCTAGGGCGTGCTTGTCTTTCGAGTGTCTTCTAGTCTGAACTGCTCGCTTGGCGAAATCAGCCGCAGCATTTGTTCGACCATGATCGAGCATCAGCATTGCAAAACTGCTCATACACTGTAGCAAGTCCGTGCTGTTTCCTCTGATCAATTCCACCTGTCGATCGATGGTGTCTCTCAATAGCGATTCCGCCTGCCCTCCTCGCTCTGTTACAAGAAGGAGCTCGCCCAAAAGCCTTACACTGTCCATGGTTTCAGGGTGGGTGCTGCCCAGAAGCTCCTCGCGAAGTGCGAGTGCCTGTCGAAATAGGCCTTCTGCCTCCTCGCAATCACGTTGATCCCTCATCACTCGCGCCAGATTTGTCATGCTGGTGATGCTGGAACTGTGCTCTTCGCCATAGTGCGCAAAATACGCCCTCATGGCTCGTTCCAGCATCCGACGCGCTAGGTCATATTCCCCTTGTTTTTGTAAGAGTAACCCAAAATCGTTGAGAACCCGCAATGTCACAAGGTCATCGCTCCCGAGAGCCTCGTCGGCAGTTCGCAGGGCGCTTTGGTACATTGTCGCAGCTTCATCGTCGCGATCCTGCTGCTTTAGAATCCCCGCCAGTGTAGTGGCCGTCGTCAATGTTTCGCGATGGTGGTCCCCAAGCAGTTGTTTTTGCCCGTCCAGAGCATGTCGTGCTGTTTTCTCTGCCTGCATCAATTGTCCTCTTTTCCAGAATGCCTCCGCGGCGCGGCTGAGGTCTTTCAGAGTGTCTTCTTGGTTGGCTGCTGCAAACATGTTGGCGACTCGTCTCTGAGAGTTGACGCTGTGAGAAATTCATGGAGACATGGCTGATGGAGGGGAAGATCCACCCTTTTAAGGACTGCCTGGAAGATCCCTCGTATTCTTAGACTTGGCATCCATGATTGTCAATGTTTGCTCAGTCATGACAAGCTGGCTAGTGGGAATGTTCGATGACACCTATCAAAATTTGTCTTGCATTTTAGTGAAGGTCCGAAGTGCTCTTTAACACCAGGGCAGTCAAGTATTAGCGGACATCTACTGTCTTTTGTAACTCCCTCACTGTTTGATCTATAGATCTACTGTCTGCAATCACTATGGCTCATCTGTCTCGAAATTTATGTGATGCAGCTTCTCCAGAATCTCTCTAGGCATCAAGACGAAAGACATGCACAGCAATCTCACTGTTTCTATTATTTGCAGTGGCACATTGGCGGGCAAGGCAGTTTAGATATGCCTCATGATTCAAAATGTCCAAAGTCACCTCAAGTGAGGGCTTCATGGTTCTATCTTCTTTCCTTTCAAGAAGATCATCCACCGATTCCTAAGTGATGAATGGTCTTTAAAGACTTGCCTCATTGTGACACAGCCAGATCCCTTTGGTGTTCTTGATAATCTGATAAAAGTATATCGATGATAAGCTGGCTAGGCACTTGCTCTGCTCACTGCAGCTTTTAACGTATATTGCAACGATTTCATATTCTCTGCTGGGGCTTAGAAGATAACTAACACATCATACTTGGGACTCGACCTCGCTCAACGGTTGAAAACCTTTCATTTACCCTATTGAATCTCGCTCAGGCCTTGACGACGTCGAATCCCTCCTCCCAATTATCCAGGGCCCTCCGAATTTCCATGGCATAAGTGGGGATACCACCAGCGTAGCACACTGGTTCATAAACCTTGCCAGGGATGCTGCCACCCATGTAGGTCGACCTCGTCGTGGGAAAGAGAGTCCGGTCGTTGAGCTCGACAACATGCTTCTTCCACTTATTAGCGGCCTCGATCTTGGGATTGATGTACTTGATGCCATTGGCCTCGATCTTGGCAATAGCGTCGGCGATCCACCGGCCCTGCACCGCGACTGACGTGGGGCCATTGCTCAGGAGCGTCGGGCCGTGCGGGCCATAGATGTGGAACATGTTGGGGTAGCCACTGACGGTGGTGCCGAGGTAGGTCTTTGCGCCTGGGATCCATTCCGTCTCGAGCTCGGCGCCGTCGATGCTCCTCAGGCCGAGCTGGGTCATGACGCCGGTGACAACATCCTGTGACTGTCAGTCCGTGTGCTGTCTTGCTGGTGTATCAAGCGGAAAACCTACAAATCCAGTTGCGACAGCAACGACATCAAGCTCATGGTGAGTCCCGTCCTCGAGGGTGATACCGGTCTCGGTAAACTCCTTGATCGGGTTGTTCTTGATGTCAACCAGGTGCACCGATTCCCGGTTGAACTGCTCGAAATACGTCTGCTCCAGGCACGGCCGCTTGATACCAAAGTAGTGCGGCATCTCCCGCGGCGCAAGCAGCTCCCTCAGCTTGGGGTCGCCAATACGAGCGCGGGTCTTCTTGGCCCAGAAATCGTACGACTCTTTGTTGGCCTCAGGGTTGACCAAGTTATCCTTGTACAAGGAAACCCAAAAGCGGAAGCCGCCGTCCTGCCAGACGCGCTCGTATAAGGCCTCGCGCTCCTCGGGGGTGTCGTCGAAGGTGTTGCGCTCGCACCAGTCGTACATGAAGCCGGCAAAGGTGGTCTCGCGGTACCGGAACAGCTCCGGGTAGTAGGGCTTGATGCGCTCCTGCTCCTCGACGGTGAGGTCGCGCTTGCGCATGGGCACGGCGAGGTTAGGAGTTCGCTGGAAGACCTTGAGGTCGCCGGCCACGGGGCCCCAGGCCTGCGTGATTTGCACACCCGAGGCGCCGGTGCCGATGACGGCACAGCGCTTGTTTTTCACGTCGACTTCTTCCTCGGGCCAGAAAGACGAGTGGTGCACGATGCCCTTGAACTTGTCCATGCCGGGCCATGGGGGAATATAACGCTTGGCGGCCTAAACGCTTGATCAGTAGACGCTCAGTTGACTGATGGGTGCAATGACTTACAAAGCCGGTTCCGAGGACGAGGTACTTGGCCTTGGTCGTGCGACCATCTGCAGTCTTAATATTCCATTTCCCCTCCCCGGTATCGAACTGCGCTCCAATCACGACGGTGTTGAAAGCGCAGTCCTTCTTGATACCAATTACCTTGTCGACGTGATCGAAGTAAGCACGCAGGTTTTTGTAGTCGGGGTAGTTGTTTGGCCAGTTCCATGTCTTGTACACCTCGGGCCAAGAGAACTCATACTCGGGGACTTCGGAGTCGACACCGGCGCCGGGGTAGCAGTTCCATCGCCAGGTGCCACCCGTATCGTTGCCGGCCTCGAAAATGACCGTCTTCAGGCCGCGATCGCGCAGGGTCTTGAGCATGAAGACACCGGCTGTCTCGTTAGCTGGTGGATGAAGCCTGCAAGTGATGGCGACTTAACTTACCAAAACCGGCACCCACGATCAAAGCATCGACCTCGAGGTTTTCGGCATATGGCCCAGTCTTGTCGGCGTGGACTGCCGAGTAGTCGGTGAGCTCGGTGTTGTACTTCTTGGGCCTAGAGACCGTCTCTCCTAGGCTACCCATTTTGATTATTGCAGTGGTTGTAATACTCGACAGAAGAAACACAGTTTGAGATGTCATTCGGAATTTTTCTTTTTCGGACACCTATTTATATTGACTTCGTTTCTATACATGCCCTGGTGTTGAAGTTAGCATCCGCTCTCAGCAGTGTCACATGAATCATCATGATACAGGTAACCGCAGCTCTGTCGATCCAATCCATTGTACGCGTTCGATCTAGATACACCCGGCCGTCATGCACCACGACATGTCATTGGTTCCCCGCGCGCCCCAGATTCCATTCATCTTTAGGTGTGCTAGTTGCGGTTGCGGAGACGGTGCAGCCCGCAATCCGCAGTCCGCAGCGGTTCCGCAAAGTGCGGGTCCGCAGTTGTATACAGCCGCTCCAGGATCAGGGGAACTCCTCATCGGTGTCACAGGCAGACTGGGGATTGGAGAAGTTATTTCAACGGGCTGTTTAAACTGATCGTTAAATAAGCCACGCTTGCACTCCCGGGCACCCTCGCTGTTACCTTGGAGGTAGATCTAACCCTATATACTCAAGACCTATAATTTCCCGGACAATCTCCCACCTTTCCTCATACAGCTACCAACATGACTCTCGATGCGGAAGTGACCTCGCGTCTCCGCGACATCATAGACACGGCCTGCGAAGACCAACAGTCCGGTATCCCCGGGACCACGGTCGTCGTCGTTGGCAAAGATGGCAACGAACTATTCGCTCACTCTGCCGGTAAGCGAGGCACGGGATCCAAAGACCCCATGACTTTAGACAACATCTTCTGGATTGCATCTTGTACGAAGATGTTGGTGGGTGTCGCCTGCATGCAATTGGTTGAGCAGGGCATTCTCAAGCTGGATGATGGGGCGCAGACAGAGAGTCTTTGCCCTGAATTGAAGAATCTCAAGGTTTTGCGGCCAGATGGCAGTTTTGAGGAGAAGAAGCGTGCAATTACCCTGCGTATGCTGTTGAGCCATACTGCCGGATTCGGCTATACTTTTTTCAATGAGAGACTGAGACAGTGGTCGTATCCGGTTGGCGTGGATGAGTTCTCTGGGCGGATTGAAGACATGAAGCTGCCTCTGCTTTTCCAGCCCGGGGAAGGTTGGGAATACGGCGTAAGTGTCATTCATTCAGGGCCATGAAGCGCATCGCTGATGAAAACAGGTTGGTATCGACTGGGCGGGAATCGCACTGGAGCGCGCCACTGGCCTGACGCTCAACGACTATCTCCAGACACATGTTTTCAGCCCCTTGGGATCAAGGACATGTCCATGATTCCGAGCCACGACATGCGCCAGAGGCTGGCGTATATGAACAGTAGAAGTCCAGACGGCACTCTGAGGGCCCGAGACCATCTTCTTCGAGCGCCTCTGGTTGTTGATCCGGACAACAAGGCCGAAGTCGCCCGAGTGTTCAACAGCGGCGGCGCAGGCATGTTTGCCAAGCCGCAGGAGTACTGCAGTGAGTAGCCCCGAAATCCTGGCGAAATTCCACACACTGACCTGTGACCGCAGAGGTCCTAGCTGTGCTGTTAAACGACGGAACGTGCCCTAGGACGGGCAGCAAGTTGCTTCGCAAGGAAACCGTCGACGAAATGTTCTCCAACCAAATCCCCCATTTCCCCAACTACAGCCGCCAGGGCATCCCAGCTGCAAAACCGGACCTGACAAACCCCATCCCTGAGCTGTACCCGGTTTCTGGGGACCCTCCACAGGGCTGGGGCCTCACGTTCATGCTGAGCAACGGCGGCGCGACAGGGCGGTCGAATGGCACAGTGCACTGGGCTGGGCTGCCGAATTTGTGGTGGTGGGCGGACAGGGAGAAGGGCATTGCAGGGATTGTCTGTACGCAGATTCTGCCGTTCGCGGACGCCCAGGTGCTTGGACTATGGGGAGCAGTCGAGGCCGAGATATACAAAGGGCTTGCCTAGGTCCCTAGCTAGTTGTCATGGATCGATGCTCTGCTGTGGTCTTTTGGCCGAGCTAGAATCTATATCCGCGATGAGCTTCATAAAACACATCTTGTCCGTACTTTACGCACCTGGGATTCAGACTCGTACGCCGTGGCATGTACCTGTAGCCTGTACACAGCACACGTCCGAATCCAATCCCAATCATGGCCAATCATCGTCGAACCAGCAACATAAATGCGGGAAATCCGGGGAAATGCGGGGTATCCAGGGACCCACTGTCTGTGTATAAGGATCTCCCGGTTCCCCGCCTTTTGCCGTCGTCCAACTCGCCCCGCGACTCCACTAGCTCGACTTCATATTCTTCACATCCAACATCTCGAATTCTCACACAGTGGTCGGCATGCCTGTGGAGAAACACGCCACAGCGCTCGCTCAAGGATCCAGATCCAGGCGTCAGAAGCACTCTTGTGACCAGTGCAGAAAATCCAAGCGAGCATGCGATGCACTGTGTCTGGATCTGACCCGTCGAGCATCATTTAGCACCGTCGATGGCCAGCGACCACCATGCTCCTACTGCGCCAGAACAAAGAAACGCTGTACCATGGAATGGGCCCGGTCACAGGCTCAGTCTGCGCTGAAATTCCCTCGCCAACAACCCCATCCCGAGCGTTTGAGTCGAGACGTTCTCTTCCCATGGAAGGCTGATGAGCCCCAGGCCGAGACTGGATCTGGAACATGGGATGACCTGCTCGGAACGAATCCCTGGGAGCCAGCCAACGTCGATCTGTCCGGGTCGTTGTTGGACTATGATTCGATGCCGCTCAGTTCCATAATACTCAATGATAACGAGGTCCCCCAGGAAGAGATGCAGACGGAGATGTCTGACGCATTGACGTCTGCACGATCTCTGTCTGATCTCCTGCTACCAGACTTATCCAGTACCTCAGACCTCGAACTTGATCCGATGTGCCATCAGACGTGGCCGTCCTCCCAGGCGTCCCAGACGTCTCAGACGTACCACAGCCTCCAATCGACCTCTTCAAAAAGCCCCTGGCGGCCGAGTGACTCCGCCTGGGTGTCCTGCAACCAGCCATCCTCCCACTGGAACAGCCCCCAAAGCTCGCTCTCCCCATTTTCCATCGACCAGCAAATGATCACCACATCCAACTACCACCTGACTTCAGCAAACCTGCTCCAAATCTACCACGACGTGCTAGAGCACAACCTATCGTGTTGGGTGACCGAGATGACCTGTCCCTACCAGCGCAATACCACCCACGTCGTGCCGGAATGGGGTTCATCGTGGTCCAACAGGATATACCAGCGCACGATCAAGCTCGATCGCGTCGCGCAGTCTTGCAAGCTTCTGCAGCTAACTCGCTCTGAGGACCAGGCCGCGTCCAAGGCTCTGCACCTTGCCATCATGGCGTTTGCTACGCAGTGGGCGCAGGGAAGCCGTCGGCACCGCGAGAAATATCCCACCGGGGCTCTCGATCATGGCGCGGACGAAATTGCAGATGGCATCGCCGACGAGTTCGACCGCATTCTGCAGCACCACCTTTGGGACCAGGCGCAGCGCGCTCTGCAACAAGTCGCCGATCTCGAGTCGTACAGAGTGGCTTGTGCCGAGCTGATCTTCGGATTGACACAAAGGCCATGGAATCCCGGCAACCAGACTCCTGGATATAGGATGGAAGCACGAGGCCGCAAGTTTGCCATGGACTCGGTCTTGTCACAGGTGCGTGATATAATACGCAAGGAAGGGCCGCCGGTATACTTGGAGAGCGCCGCTCGAAAAATGCACGCACTGAAGTATCGCTGCGACGCGCTCGAAAAGGGCCTCGGCAAGCAGTGCGGCAGTCGAGAGCAGGGCGCCCACGGCATTGCAGCCATGAGTTCCGAGGATCGAGCGACGATCGGCCTGCTCTACTGGCTGGCCATCATGGTCGACACCGTCTCCTCGTCCATGAACGAACGGCCCGTCGTGGTGGTGGATGAGGACTGCCAGCACGAAGCGCAAAAAGAGATCCAGCAAGCTGCGAATATGGACAAGTCTCTCGCACGAAGCCGGTGGGATCTCGACCTTTTCGTGCAAGGAAGCCTCGAGGAGACGCATCAAACGCACTGGCCCTGCTCCTACGAGGCCGCCGCCGAGGATGTCATCAAGTCGGCGCCGGTCAAAGTTCTTCTCTTCCGCCACCTCTCGTACCTACAGAACGCCATTCGCAAGGGCGCTCATGAAGAGCAGATCGAGGACATCATCCGCAGCACGACGGCGCTGTATCAATACTGGAACAAGACGCACGGTGCCTTCTTCGGCGAACTCGTGCAAAACTACAGTGCGGTTCCGCAGCGTATCCAGAGCTGGTTTGTCTGTATCTCTGCGCACTGGCACCTCGCAGCCCTGATGCTTGCGGATCTGCTGGAATTCGTCGACGAGAATGGCCTGGGTATGGAAGATGCCGCTTGCAGTCGTATCACCAGTCGAATGGCTAGGAGAACTCGGAAGCATAGTGCCAGGGAGCTATCAGCTCTGGCAAGAGTCGCTTCACCGGCTACCCGAGATGCCAACCTCGGGGTGCCGCAGATGCCGGACTTTCACCACGCCGTCAACGAGGGGACGCTACTGACTGAGCCATGGACGATGATTCTGATCAGGGCGTTTACCAAAGCTTGTGTGATCTTTTTAGGTGAAGCAGAGGAGTCCTTGCGCTATGCCGGGACTACTCTCGGGCACAATAGACATAATTTTGAGCGGAATATGGAGCAGGCTGAGGATTGTATGAAGGGGCTGTGGCTGCTGGGTAAAAAGTCGGATATGGCACGGAAGATTGCTGAGACACTTTCACTCGCGTTGGGAAAATTGCGGAATGAGTGTGGAGAGTATCAGTTCGGGCTCTCCGGGCTATAAGGCCCTCTGAAGAGATCAAGGCCAGGTCCAGATGTGCCGCGGACAAACCGTGGTGCCAGAGAGTGACCTGGATTGGTCCAATGGGGACCTATATAGCTTATCTAGGTCCCCCTAAATGCAAGGAAGCCCCTTTCTTTTGCTTCCTCGCGCTACATCTTGTATCTAGAGTCGACTATAGCTGTTCTCAATACTGATGATTCATCTTGAAGATACTATTCACCTCTATGTATTTGTGAGACCCTCACATAAACCCCTAGAGTGCCGTGGTCAAGACTAGCGAAGGTAATGTAATGTTGTATAGTTATTGACGTCTTAAGATAGGTGTTTTCGTCGGCGATGGGGTTAATTCTTAGCCTTCACATTCTGAGCACACATGGACACGGTGTGTCAGGACACAAGGCATGATTGTGGATGGCTTAGCTGGTTTCATCCGAAACTTCCATCTCCACTTGAAATGCTCTTACCTATACATGAGGGTGGTGGAATGAGGGTGGTCAACGGAGAGGTGGTTAACCCCATGGAGATGAGAGACGGGCACCCGACTACTTGGGATGTGCCGGCGACTAGCTTCCACAGACGACATGGAACGGACTGCGATATGTCGGCTCATATCAAGGATCAACGTATCATTCTTGACACTACCTCTATGTACAATAAGTAAAAGGTCCCGGGCGTGTACAAGGTCCTTCTCATCCAGCCAAGTGTTCTCCTGATTGTCGTACCCCAGCCATTTGACCAGGTACTGCGTTTTAGTCTTTCCAGCCTTGGTGCGGTGGTGCCGCTTTGCCATGATTCTCCCAACTTCGTACTATCTTGTCCTTCCATCTGTATCGGGCGTGATTGGTGGGGTGCGAGACGTTCGAACGGGTCGTCGCCCGATGGATAAGGTTCGAGGTGCGCAATCGAGATGACGGGATGGATGCGCCACGATTGCGGTATGTCAAGTTGGTATGCCAGGGATCCGATGCGTCGCAGTACGGCGAACGGTCCTGCGAAATGGTCGCTGTACGTTCGGGATAGCACTTGCGGTGTTGTGTGTCCTTTGTGTAGGGCAAGGAGTACCTTACTGCCCGGCTCGAACATAATAGTCTTGTGAGCTCTATCATATTGATCTTTCACGGCGATCCCAGCGAGCTTGAGTGCTTCCGCGGTTTCGATTTGTGCCTTAAAGCTCTGCGTACGGCTCGTGCCTCGCAGGCCCTAGGCGTTTGGTAATGGTAGCTTCATGCCGTACATGAGTTCGTCTGGTGAAAATCCCGTCGATGCGTTGCGATAGCCATTCAGGGCCTCGGGTACCTGGCGGAGTTCAGGATGTGCCGCTGAGACTGGGTATAATACTTGCGAGGGCCATGTTCCTGGAGACTTTAGCAGTGCTTTTTGAACCTTCAAATCTCTCAAGGCCTACACTTAGATTCTTAGCAGGGCTGTTTGAACTGAAAAGGACAGATAAGTATGATTTTTCTGTTTATACTTGGACATGCTATCCATGAGGCCGTCAGTGATGGTTCAATATCTCTCTCAGGGCCGTCTGAACATCGGTAGCCTGCTCAAGAGAATAGAACTCTCTGCCGTCGGGAAGTGGGGTGCTCAGACGCGAACCCCTGATTGTGTCTGTGGAACGGTCGTACTGGAAGAAGCGCACCCTTGCGAGGATTCCATACGCGGGGCGTTGCGCGGTGGGCCGCATTCCATGCTTCGTGCCCAGATATCTCTGTAGCTGCTCTGCCCCGTCGTCCCAAACTCCATCCTTCCCTTCGCCTTTTGCAGACTTGCATTGAGTGATTAGGAAGGACCGGCGAGTTCCTCCCGCGACACTCATCGTGTGAAAGTCGGAGAATCCCCTCTTGCCGCCGTATTGCCTGTGCATCGCCTGGGGCTGGGTGACGAATCCATTGACTGGGTCAAAAACCCAGTTTAATATGGAGTTCCAGACTCCATTGACCTCTCCTTCCATACTCTGTGGGTTTAGGCGACGTATCTCAGCAGCTATTGCAGGGATGTCCGTGTGCTTGGTATAGCTGCGCAACGGACCCATCATCCCAAGCCCAGGCGGAAGTATGTATAGGAACGTGTGTATATGATTGCAGCATGACAATAAAGATGCTTTCCAGAAGCAAGATAATCCATGCGGGGATGCCATCATCAAAGAACTGAGCCAGTAGTTTGAATGACCGATCCGACCAGTCTTTGCTTGGATCCTGGAATAATGAACCGGACTTGAAGGTGGAAAGCCGTCCAGACTGAATTATTCATTTGTGACAAGGACCCGGCTTATGACTCCGTTAGAGCTCGACCCGACGTAGAGGCCATACTCAAGATAACAAAACTGTTGACGGGATTGAAAACCAGTTCAATGTGGAGTTCCAGACTCCATTTACCTCCCCTTCCACACTGTGTGGGTTGAGGCGACGTATCTCAGCATCTATTCCAGGGATGTTGATGTACTAATCTTGGTCAATCAACAGAACGAATCTCCATCAAAGTCCAATACGTACAATGCTTTCAATCCTAGCAGGATTTGATCGATAACAGTCATATTGTCATCGAGTTGGTTGTTTTGGTGGGCTTGGAGAGAGTGGTAGGAAGAAAGAGAAACATAAGCAGACTCTGGGGGCGTAATATATCTGGATGCTACCCCTCCAAGGTAAAGTGGAGCAGACAGGATGGTGAATATACGCAATGCAGGATAGTGAATATAGTAATACTTGATAGTGAATACAAGAACATCTACTAGGTTGTGAATAACAGCCTAATGTACAACCAAAAGAACAAGAAAAAAGAAAAGAAATAAGGGGAGAGGAAGGAAAAGCCATTAATTAAACTAGCTTCTAGCCCCTTAGCAATAGATTTTTGATATCTTAGGACTATCAGCGAATACTCCAGATCCATAACTCGAGCTTCTACATCCCAATCACTGGCCAACGCCCTGATTCAAAAGATGTAGAAAACCCTCCTTGATGCCATTGAGCAGTTTCAGCGTTCGAGCACGATTATTCAACCCACTATTACAATACCAATCGTCGTCTAATAGTAGCTCCTCGATCCCCAGGCACAGACCCGGCCAGTTTACTGCAGTTCCGGCCTTGATCAGGTCGTCGAGTTCAAACAATAGCGGTGTGTTGCATCGTGCTTGCCAGTAAGTGTTGGGCAATCTCCATCGAAAGGCTTCCAGTAGATTTCGTGTATCGTCAATGCGCTGCTGACAATGAGGCTGAGTCTTATACATCAAATCCACGATAGTCACCGCAAGATCGAGAGGCAAGCAGAAAACCGGCGACTCGATCTTATTCTGTCCTTGACCAGAATTGTCTCTTTGTGACAGAAGATTTTGAGTGATCAAGCGCTGGATGTCAGGAATTCTCAATGGACTCCCAGGGGCATGCCACTTCCTGATTGCATCCGGGTACTCAGGACAGGAGTCCGGAGTACCCTGCTCTGTGGGCCAGTGTGGGCCTTTGTTATAGCAGACCGCATCGACAGACACATGGTCTAAGAAAACAGCCCAGTGCCTTTTGTTTTCCTTCCAAAACCCTTTGACAGCGCGGACAAAGGCATGGAGACTTGACATGATGAGATCATGTCCAACAAAACGGTCGAGGAGCAGCCAGCAGTGGGGATGAATCGGATAGGCTATGCGTTCCCCTGCCTCTCGGTTCCAGTCTGGTTCGAACAGATTCGCCATGTGGAAGTCCGCATTCCAATGGTTCTCTGTTAGTGCCAGATTTAGGAGGGAGGCCCTTTGGGGGTCTCTCGGGACGGGGCGTGGCCGGAAGTTAATGGAAAGTCCGTTGGAGATTCCAGATAAAAACATCTGGCTTGTCTTCGGATCGTCGAGGACTAGAGAATTCGACTCAATCAGCATGATCATGCCCGAGAAGCTATCGAAGTGATGGCTGACTTGCTCGAAACCAGAACGACCACAGATACGGATATTTCACAAAGTCCGTCTGCTCCAACTCTTCGGCTGGGACAATTACAGATTTCCTCCGACGCTTGTTTGCAAGCTCTCTCCAGTCCTCTCGCTCCTCCAATACTTCCTCAACAGCGTACATGGGAAGCTCAGCTCCACAAATCACACAGCAGAGCGTTGGATCCCGCTTGGCTGGAAGAGTCCTGCAGCGCCTGTTGATACCCATCTTGCTCTCAACCGCACACGAACATATGGCTACTGACAATAAGCGTCATGCAAGAATACAACAAAAAAATTTGCAAACTTCAAAAATGATGTCATGTTGAGCCGTTGAATGGCTATACGAGAAGTCGATCTCGGAGATAATAGTGATGTCAAGGGATATGAAGCTCATCCATTATCTGGTATCTCTTTTGTTTACGATTCTACGCTCTAATATATTGACAGACATTTTCATTGTCCTGGTTTGAGTACATTTGCCGTAATGATATATATACTGAGGAGCGAGGACTTTTCACTTATATAAGTTTTATAGACTCTACCCATTATGGGTTTAAGCCTCGCCCAGCCCACGAAAGGTCGGAAACTGTTAATCTAACTGGCTAGACACGTAGGCAAAGGTTTCCAAGGCCTTCAGGGCCTCACCACTCGCGATACAAGACCTTGCGAGACGGACACCTTCCTTCCATCGACCGCCACCGGGGCCCCTCTCTGCGTTGGCATCCTCCTGAGATGTATCACAAATTCCAGAGGTAACAAAAAGCGCGGCAATATGCATGAGCACACATTGCAAAACAGGGTCATCGTCAGACAACTGATTATGCAAAACCCGAGAAAGAACAACAGCCTCCTGGTCAAAACTACCTTTCGCCTCAATGCTGGTCAGTGGATTTTCCGACAGCCCAAAGTCCCTGGGCTGCAGGCGAAACTCCTGTATCCCTGAACCGTTGTCCTCAGCGGGTAGATCCCTGACCATCCAGCACGAGGTTGAACCCTCCGGACTGATAATATCCATTGAGTCATTCCCACAGACGACGAGGGCTTTCCTGACCCCCATGTTTTGGATAGCCTGTGCCAAAACAGGGCCGAGGACTGGATTCGCCACACCGACCACCCGGGCCTCCAAGACGCAGCTGGCATGGATGGGATGTAGCAATGTGCTCGTTAGGTCAAATATCGTCCTGATCCCCAGTCCCAGCCGAATGCGATTGGCGTGTTGCATTTCCGGAGCAAAATTGCGCTCTGGGAGAAACGCATAGTTGCTGCGTTTGTAGATTTCGGGGACTCGTTCCGCCGTGACCTTGGCCAGGAGCGGAGCGTTTGGTTTGATGTTTGAGAGGATGTCCTCAGTGTTAGCCGAAGAGGTTGGAGATGTCGCGCTCAAGTAGCCATGCTGGGCGATGAGGAGCATCGACGATGCGAGGACTGACGCCACGGCAGCCACGGAAATGATCGCGGCCGCATTTCCTCCTGTTCCTGAAATATCACACTGGAATAATCGGCAAAGTTAGCTCTTAATTGCCCAGTTGTACTTTTTGATGGCTACAACTTGCCAGTCCGCCCAGATATTGTCCGCACGTTTTGTTCCGGTCCAGAATGACCCTGTTTAATGCAGCTTCATCGACTTTTGCCTGCGACGCGGCCAGCGAACGAATACACTCTGAAATTACGTTCACATCTTTGTCTTTATTTCGGTGATGCAGTAAAGCCAGAAGAGCAGCAGCTTGTAGTTCACTAAGCTTCTCATCCAGGAGCAATGACAGGGCGTTGGCGATCTCGGCGGCCAAGCCTGGGTCTGATGCATCTGACTGTTGAGCCAGTTTTTTCAGTGTCGGCTCGATTGACACATAGTGTGAACTGCCTGGATGTGCCATTACAAACAAAAATATCTTATACTGATATTGTGTATTCCACAACTCCTGTAGAAATGGAGTGGTTAAGTCTGGGTGGGAAAAGTGGCCAGCGCATGCTTTAAATATGCACAGCCCATAAGCATGCTCCATTGTGATAGGAGACAATTGCCCGATGATTGTGACTCATCAACTCCAGACTAAATAGCTAGGTAAAGGCTTAAAATAATTCATTAGGTGAATATAGCTGGTATAACCCAAACCTCAATACAGGCCCTTGCTACAGCAACCTGCAGCAATGTTCGGCTGCCAGAATGATGTGAGTGTAGAACTCCAGGTGCCCATACATGTCATGCTATTGGGGCCGTGGGAGAGGTCTTCTTTTCAGTGTACACACCATACCTACGCCTAAGTACTATCACTGGGGTGTACAGGACCTACTGGTGGCCGCTGTACGTGCCATAATTTGACCACTATGTCCTTATTATTAGCTGTGAAGGTAGCTAAGACAAGGCAAAATCATGCCAATGTGTCCGCAGTCCATCCATTGTCCCAATTGTACAGGTTATAAGGAGTCACTCCTGTTAAAACGGGATAATTCTGTTGATCATCCGACAGCGTGCAGTTGCCTGATCCCTGCAAACACGACGCGATGAATTCGCCCGTATGCTTTCCCTCGAAATAGGCTCCTTGCAAGTAACCGAAGAATTCCTGGCTAGTTGCCTCCCCGGCAAAAAATAAATTGCCCACATTGGCACGGAGGTTCTGATGCGCCTGGAGGCTCGTGGCAGGTGGCCAGTTGGAATATGAGCCGAATGCCCTATCTCGCGGTCAGTAGCAAAGAAACCGTGCGTGGTCCAATACAGAAGGGGAAACATACCAAGGAGTCTGAGTCCATCGCTTATACCACAAATGCGAGGGATCCGGGATGTCATTGCCGTACATGGATCGCAGAACCGCCATGACCTCCTTTTGAGTCTCTTCGTTGGATTGCGCCTCGACCCGATAGGATTGATCGTTCACCACTGTTGCCACAAGAAGCCCCGAGCCCTCCAGGACCCCCGGCAGGTCTAGAGGCTGGAACTCCGGGTAGTAGCCTCTAGTGTCTGATCCGCGTAGATGAGGTACTGCGCATTGTCCCAGAAGGGCTCGTCAAACTGCATGAAGATCTTCGTGTACGTGCCCAGCTCGAAGCTGCTAATGGCCGAGACTTTCCAGTCAGGGAGCCGGGGGGCGAATTCGACGACTTTCTTCTGGAGCACACCGAGTGAGAAGGTCATGATGGCGTAGTCGGCGTGGATGCAAGTGCCGTTGTTTGTGTGCACAGTGACTGCATCCTTGCCATATTCCACTCGCGTGACTTGGGTGCTGAGCCGGAGTCGAGCGTCATCCTGGGCAAGGAAGGTCGCCGCCTCTTCGCGAATGATAGTGGCGAACCCGCGCTGGTCATATACAAAGAGATTCTCCTCGGAGAAGTATTTGAACGTTGCATTTTCCGCCACGGAAGTGTAGACCTCGGAGCTCTCTTCTGGACTGTAGATGAACTCCCCGTCAAAGAGCCACCATTCCGCGGTCTGCCGATGGGAGTCATTCTTTGCCGGATCCCAGCCCTGTGTCCGGAAAGCAGCGCGGAACGTGCGATCCTGGAGATTATTGAGTAGCAGAGATCCCGCGTCCACTGTGACTTTATCGAGTGCGTCGCTGAACTCGCGAATCGCATACTCAAAGTCTGCGGGGCCGTTTGCGTCAAACATTGTCAAGTTGTCCTGATCGGTTTCACTACAACATTCAGCTCTGCTTAATGTTCGGACTCGCAATTTTCCTCTGCTTACAGGGTTTTGATGTTGTATTTCTTGGCCTAATGTACGACTATCAGTGTCTTTGCCGTAAAGTAGGTTTGTTGCAGCTGTGATGGCTGTCTTACCAGAGTATAGATAGGGTTTTCTGGGCCATCGTCTTTGACAGTTCCTTGGACCTGAGAGCATAATTTCGGTTTTAGGACATTGGCCAAATATTCTCTTGAATCAGTCAATATAACATACCCAATTGGCTCCTGCTTCGACGGTATACGGTGAGCCATCCGGTCCTTTGCCAAACTTGACATTGTGCATGCGACCCCCAATCCGATCCTGATACTCGATGATAACGAAATCATTGATATGGTTGGCTGACAGTGCCTCCTATATCGTGGAGATGCAATTATTATCCGTGTGCACGTCGCACAAGAGGCTGACCTACTGCCGCTGTGATACCTGCCACACCTGCGCCTCTGCGGTGATTTAGACATGATCATTATGTAGCAAGAATAAAGAGGCATAGGCATACAGCACAGCAACTTTCGTTCTCTCACATGTCTCTTGACCCTCCACAGCCAGGGCATAAAGAAAGGTACCGACCAGAGTACACGCTCGCTTCATGGTCCTGGTGATGCCGACTAGTACTTTTGAAACAGTACGGTCATAGAATTGGCCAGAGGAGGCTTCTGAACTTGGCAGAAATACGAAATACTCGGGGCTTTCCTGAGACTATATGGAGCTTCCGATCGGGTGAAGTTTGCTGGGGTATTTGAATATCAACCGGGTGCCTTCTGACTGTTACACAAGATTCCTCCTTAATGCAGGTGACATTCCTGTGCTATTGCAATCTGTCAAGCATATGTAGGCCTGCCCCTGCGAATATTCTGAGCCTGAGTTGGATTATTTAGTTATGGAACGGTTAGTGTGCTCTTTTTGAATAGGATCTAATTATCCAGGGTGTAGAAGACCAAGCACTAGGGGAATGTCAGCCATTGATGGACATTTGGCACAAGCACTGTAGATTTAAAATGAAGATGAAAACAAGGGATTGTGTAGAGACTATCACTTCGAGGTACTTGATGCTTTCTCCAATTTCCGTGGTTAAATGATATACTTATGTATGTTCAGAGGAAAGTTAGATATAGGCAGGTAATGAATGGCATTCTTGCTGCCTCTGGAATGCTTGAACAAACATAATTTGGATTATCTTCCTTGCATCTGCTTACTTAATTATCATACTACAAACTTAGGCGTTCGGAGGGGGTAAATCATTCAACATCCCCTTAGAATAGTCCAATCTTTGTCCGAAAATGCCTGTTCAGGGGCCGCTTGCATGAATACTGGTACGAGTCGTCACAAGAAAGAAGGAAAGCAAGGGATGGAAGAGAAAGACGAGGGTCTCTGGTTCTAAGCGCGGAGAGCAGCCCGCCATGGTAAGTTTTCAGTTGGAAACAAAATATACTGCCTTCTTTAAGTGCACTCTTGTTCTGCATTCTTGCCATCTTCAAGGCACGCGAGGACAGCTCCATGAAGATGCCAACAGACCAGGTCGTGCCGATCAGCGGATTGCTTGCTTATGTGAACGGCACTAGAAAGTAGCTTTCAAATTTGAAAACGTACCGGATCCGGACATATTGCGCCAATGTCTGATGCGGCTGATGCAAATCATGAACTGGAGGCAGCTGGGTGGACATCTTTGTCAAAGGGTCAGCTCTGCCAAATACTGGGTGGACTGCCTTCACGGCAATAGAAGTAAGGTATTGATATATATAGGGCAGTTCTGACAGGACGAATTTCGAGCTCCATCTTTAGACATCGGAGTGAGCTATCAGTCTCAATGCCCACCTTGTCACCTCCCAGTTGCCGAGAGGAAGTGATACTCTTTCCTTTTCTCTGAGACTTAGATATGCCATGTCTATCAGTGTTACATCGGGGGGATCTCAATATAGCATCGCTCCTACTTTTTCTCAGACAAATTAAGCAGAGATAAGCTTTGGAAGCTTTTGGCGCAAGGATGTATTAACACTATCAATACATAATACTCTTGGAAGTTGAGACTGATGCCCTTCATAGGCCAAACAAGCCCTGCACGGCTACGGAGTAATGTAGCTCATCTTAGGGTATTGTGTGACTCATCTTAGAAATAAGATGCTAAACAGGCCGCAATTTCACTCAAAAAGAAGAAGTATTTATTACCAGAGCTGATCTGCATTTTGAAATGCAACATACGGGTAGATAGTGAACCAGAGCTACTTTGCTTGGACTGAAGTAATGCATTCCACTGTTATTGCACATGTCCTTGGGACTGTGGACTTATTGTACAGTTCACTGTACAGCTATTCCCCGGCCGTTAAGTGAACAGGATTAGGAAACTTGGATCATTTACTGTCTTGGTAACCTGGCTTCATGTCTGTAGTATATCCCCGCACAGTGATCTATTCAGCCAGATCAATGGACAGGAACTCAGTCATGCCACCCTTCTCCGTCAACAGAGAGAGTATCTCTGAGCAGAAGGCGCTCCAAGGAAGGGAGCCACAAGAGATCAAAGACGAGTCTAAATATCTGAATCCACAGACAGCAGTTATCAATTCCTCCACCCTCATCACCGCTCAGGCAATCACTACCTCTGACCTCACCCAGAATACGCTGCCAATGGCACCGCAATTCCAGACGTGGGCTTCGACATAGGCGAATCCTACGCTGGCCTGATACCCTTCCACCCTGACTGATGAGATATGCCAGTTGTACTTTTGGTTTTGCCTGCTTCCGTCGACCTCCAACGAATGACATTCTGCGCGACGTCGTCTGAAGTACCGACCTTGAGATGTACATGATGGTGATGTTTGCTGATAATTAGTATTTCAGCGCCAGCTTCGATCCAAGGCTTTCCAAAAGATGTACGGAATTAGGAGCAATGAGTCGGACAAGGAAAGAGGGAGGGGAGCTCAATGTATGTGGCGCATGGTTGTTGCGGGATGATGTGCGTCCTCGTAGGATCAGAAAGAGGCAAAAAGGTAGGTGATTTTCAAATGTGATGCCTGCATTATATATAATGCCAAAGTGCTGACCTTTTAGTGGAATGGCGGCTCTCTTTGCTCTCGAGTATTTTAGCATGGGTATAGGGGCTTTGTCCCCCGAGGAGTGACTCAGAGAGTCCAACAAAAGTCCCATTTTCTTGTCATCACCACTACTCCTTCCTCACGAATCTTTGGGAAAGGTCAAGGCTAGCTGGATTTCAACATGGTAGCTACCAGGAAAACTCTCCTATCTGCATGACTCTCTCTTCTACGTCGGACCATATAATCATCCCAGGTCTGTTGTCATTTCTGGTATCGCCCAAAAAGGCACAATGCCTTCAGCATCATGTCTACAAGCAGACCACTCCTGGGGACCGACTTTGCCAACGCATTGTCATGGAGGGTTTGACTTTACTATCTACTTTGAACAAATCTGTGCCATCAATCTTGTTTTTGGTTTTCAGCGGTCCTCGGCTGTGGCAGCTCTGTCAAGCCCCAATAGTTATCCGCAGATCGAAGAGCCAATTCATCAAATTGGTAATACGGGATTCCCCAGCATTTATGTTGGAGTAGGACTGACACGGTCTTTCCTTTGACACTATCAGGGCACTATCACTCTCCTGATCGTTTTTCAGTTGACCCTGCTTCCCCTGTGGTCGTTGAGGACATCACTGCAAACCTCTGCTTCCATCCCAGCTGCTCTCTTCTCATTAGTTGCTGCGCTTATGCTCGCTCTTCTGTCCTATTATGAGCACCAGCGATCCCTCAGGCCGTCCACGTTGCTGAGTATTTATCTTTTCTTTTCAGTCCTGTTTGATGCCGTCCAAGCTCGATCACTATGGCTTCGCAACACCAATGCTCCGATCGCAGCGACATTCACTGCAGCGCTGGCGGTTAAATTGATCATCACAGTCCTGGAAGGACGCGAGAAACGAGCAAGTCTACAAGCACAGGGCACCAAGTTGTCACCTGAAATCACCAGCAGTATATACAATCGCACAGTTTTCTGGTGGTTGAACCGTCTGTTTCTCGCGGGTTACAAGAGTACCCTGCGCTTGAACGACTTATATCCGCTTGAACCAGATATGGCCTCAGCCAAACTAGGCGCCGCCATCGAGAATGTCTGGATGAAAAGTAAGCGGCCAAAACTGAGTGGTACAGCAGCAACAGGACTAATGTCGACCAGCCAAGCAAACTAGGCTGTATGCTCTGCTTATGACAACTGCAGTCGCACTGAAATGGCCCCTGCTCTTCCCAGTGCTCCCTCGTATCGCGCTCATTGGCTTCAAGTATTGCCAACCACTCTTGCTGGCGAGCGTAGTCAACTATGTGCAGCTCCCAGATACGGACCGTGACAGGAATGTCGGCTATGGTCTGATCGGAGCGACAGCCATCGTCTACATCGGAATTGCAGTGAGTGTACATAACTGCTAAGGAACTAAAATGGATGGCTGACCCTATCATTTAGGTGAGCACTGGACTCTACAATCTCAAAGTATACCGATCCACCGTCATGATACGCGGCTCGCTTGTGAGCATCATCTACCGCAAAACCCTGAGACTACATCTAAACGAAGCCAAATCTTCCGCCGCATTAACTCTGGCTAGTTCGGATGTGGATCGTATTGGCCTGACCGTTGAAAGTGGCCATGAGATTTGGGCCAGTAGCATTGAAACCATATTAGCCCTCGTGCTGCTGCAACGGCAATTAGGCTGGGCCAGTATTGCCCCTGTATTATTCGCTTTGCATATGTCTGAAGTCCATTGGATATCCCAAGTATCGCTTCCTGACTCTTTCTAATTCAGTGGCTACCGCCGCAAATACGCGAATCGCAAAGTATATCCCACGGCGCCAACGGGAATGGGGCGCTGCGATCCAGGAGCGGGTAACCCTCACATCATCAGTCCTCAGAAACATGAAAAGCGTCAAAATGATGGGCCTGCAGGAGACGGTTGCCCGGACGATCCAGAGGGCCAGGGTCTACGAGCTAGATTTGTCGAAGCGCTACCGGAGGTTCTTTGCGTACATGGCCATTATCTGTTGGTTCTCCTCCTAAGAGCACAAGCATATGAACTAATCCCATAACTCTAGCAACTATACCTTTGCAATTTTCCGCACCGTTCGCTTTTGTGATCTATATATATGGCGTCAAATCACACCATGGACATGATTCCGTTGCAGCACAGATCTTCGCCTCACTTTCACTGACCCAGCTGCTCGCCACACCATTGCAAAAGGTCTTCTCTTCCATTCCGTCATTTGCTGGGACACTCGGTTCCTTCACTCGTATCGAGGCTTACCTTCGGCTTGACGATCGTGTCGATGGCAGGGATACCGGCCTTGCAAGTAGTCGAGAAAGCTGGAAGGAGTCAATTCTAAGCGAAAGCCAGCTTGAATTGGGGAACTTGCGAATGAGAGGGAGAATCACGGCTATCGGTAAACATGCAATTTCAGTGCATGAGGCAGACATTGCCTACTCAGCGGACTCACATCTAATACTCCACAAGCAGAGCTTTGAAATCCGCAAAGGCCTCTTAAATGTAGTCATCGGCCCTGTGGGCTGTGGAAAGACCACGCTGCTCAACGCCCTCCTCGGCGAGATGACGATTTCCAGTGGCAAAGTGATGGTAGATGATTCTCCAACTGCCTATTGCCAGCAAACGCCTTGGCTTATCAACGCCTCTGTCAAAGAGAACATCCTGAATCAATCCCCGTACGACGAAACTTGGTATAACAGGGTGGTTTGGTCCTGCGCACTGATTGAAGACATTGAACAACTACCTGATGGAGATGATACTACTGTTGGAAGCCGGGGAACCAGTCTAAGCGGTGGACAGAAGCAGCGGCTGGCCCTGGCTAGGGCAGTCTACGCTCGAGCACCATTGGTCGTCTTGGACGATACCTTGAGTGCTCTCGATGTGCGAACGGAGAAATTGGTGTTTGATCGTCTACTGTCCAAAACGGGACTCTTCCAGCAACTTGGAGCGACGGTCATCCTGGTCACCCACTCAGTGCAGCATCTTCGATCGGCGGACAATATCATTGTATTGGATTCAAAAGGACATATTGAACAGCATGGCTCATTCAGAGAGCTAAGTGGCCGAGAGGGACCAGTCCGACGCCTGTTAGCTGATTGCCCTCCAAACAAATCCAGGGCAGAAACCCACAGTTTGGAACCGGCTTCAGATACATTCTCTTCAAGCCAAGATCAAAAGGGAGCAAATCCGGCATTTTCGCGTGCTGCTGGTGCCCCAGGCGTAAAAAGGAAGCCTATCTCCGATTCAGCTGTCTTGATGTATTACTTGAAGTCCATCGGATGGTATCGTGCCTCGATATTTCTCCTCACAAGCCTGGCGTATGTGATCTGCACCAGCTTCACCCAGATCTGGGTCCAGTGGTGGACCGAATCTGAGAATCCCAATAATGGGTCCTTCTTAGGGGTCTACTTTGCTCTGGCTGTCGGAGCCATTGTGAACTATAGTTCGAGCATCTGGTGCATGATGATCTCTATCGTGCCCATTTCAGCGGCAAAACTGCACTGGCAGCTCCTTGATTCCGTTCTTCATGCGCCCATGTCATTCTTCTCGTCCGTAGACTCGGGGATTACCCTAAACCGATTCAGTCAGGACATGTCGCTGATCAACAGTCGCCTGCCTGTATCCACGATGCAGGCAACGCCGATGGCTTTCCAAGCGCTAGCACAGATTGCCCTCATAGCCGTCGGGTCTACCTACCTGGCCGTTGCGATTCCCTTCTGCCTCGGTACTACCTGGGCCCTACAACGATTCTACCCTCGGACATCGCGACAGCTTCGCTTACTGGACCTGAAGCTGAAATCTCCATTGTTCTCAAGCATCTCCGAGACCCTCGAGGGTCTCCCGACGATCCGCGCGCTTGGCTGGCAGGAGAAATTCGAACGACGTAATCAGGAACGGCTGGACGCCTCGCAGCGTCCAGTCTACCTCCTCTACTGCATCCAGCGCTGGCTGAATTTTGTCCTTGATCTGATCGTCGCAGCACTGGCTATTCTGCTGGTCAGTCTGGCGACTCAGTTGCCGAGTAGCACAAGCGGGGGCCGTCTGGGAGTGGCGATGCTCAACATCCTCGGTTTCAGCCGGAGTCTGTCTCAATTCATCTTCTTCTACACGGACTTGGAGACGTCGTTACAAGCGGTTTCCCGTGTGAAGGAATTTGTGGAAACGACCCTCTCGGAAGAAGCGAGCCCTGGGTCACGGACTCCGCCGCCGGAAAACTGGCCTGCTCGCGGCGCGGTGGAGTTTCGAGATATCAAGGCTTCATATGCTAGTGACATGAACCGCAACGTTCTGAAGAATCTCTCCCTTGCCATCCAGCCCGGACACAAGGTCGGAATATGTGGCCGGACAGGAAGCGGAAAGTCCTCCTTTCTTTGTGCTTTGTTCCGCATGATTGAACTCCAGAGTGGCAGCATTACTATTGATGGAATTGACCTCGACAGCATATCCCGGCAGGAGGTGCGTTCACGGTTAATTGCGATTCCACAGGATCCATTCTTGCTCCCCGGAACAGCCCGTTTCAATGCGTCGCCGGGCGAAACAGTCGCAGACGACCGGATCATAAAAGCCCTCGAGAAAGTCGGGCTGTGGGAGCACATTCAGAAGCGCGGTGGCCTTGACACCGATATTGATATTCTTGCTCTGTCACATGGCCAGCAGCAGCTCTTCTGCCTTGCGAGGGCAATGCTGAGGCCCGGCACTATCCTCGTACTGGACGAGGCAACCAGTAATGCTGACTGGGGAACCGATGAGGTCATGCAACGGGTTATTCGGGAGGAGTTTGCGAACAAGACTATTGTCACTGTTGCGCATCGCTTGAGAACAATTCTGGACAGTGATTTGGTGGTAGTGCTGGGTCAGGGATGTATCCTCAAGGCAGGTCATCCGGGGGAACTGCTGGCGAGTCCAAGTCGATTTCGGGAATTGTGCAGTGCTCAAGGGATCACCATTGACAGCATCTGATGTATCAAGGTTTCCTGCGAAGCCTTTGACGAGCACCTGCTGAACGCAAAGGCACTGCCAGAGTATGTGATATATTGTCTTCTTGGGTCGCGCGTGGAAATCAGAACCGTCAACAGAAGGGAGATAGACCAGGCAGAGTACTGAGGGCACGGAGTACATAGAGAGAGAGAGGATTTCTAGCATAACAGTCTGAAAAATAGAATCTGTCCAGTCCGTGTGGCGGTCATAGTAGGTAACCACGTTTCCTTCAGCACTGACGAGTAGTGTAACACCTACCATCATTAAATCCAAACAGCCATTTGGCATATAACTGAACAATGGAACTGTTTAGGCATGCTCTTCTGGATCTTCTAGGATTGTGAGAGCGCTATTCACCCTCGATTGAGTCTGCCCATTGCCTGAGTGCTTAACCGACTCATTATCCAATAGATCCTCGCAATGCACTAGGGCGTGGAACAGAAGGGCAGTATAGTACGTTAGATAATTCGAGTACCTATTCTGGTTTTACAAATGACTGAACAGACGTGAATCATCGCAGAGAGACACCACCTGTTACCATCCATGCGGCAGAACCTCATCCTCTGGTAGTATGTCGTCCGGAGGTCTGAACGGCGGCTGCAACGCTCTAACGGGCCATTCCTGGGGACGATAGTCGACTTCCCATGTTCTCTGCCCTGACCCAACAACAATCAAGTCCGACGAGCCCGGTAAACGGACCTGGCACTTTGTATTAGGCGGCACGACCACCTCCAGCCAGAATCGCTGTTGTTTGCCCTCGTCCTTGATCTCCCACCTAACACGGCAGTCTCCGTACACGCTCCGGTACTCTGCCTCCGCCCATTGTAGGTTTCCCCCCGGGACAGGCTCAACCCTAAACACCCTCCAGCCTGGCTCCATGGGTTTAAGCCCAGCGATAGTCTGATGCATCCAGCTAGCCACCGCGCCCAAGGCGTAGTGGTTGAAACTAGTCATGTCGCCCGGGTTGATGCGGCCGTCGGGCAGCATGCTGTCCCAGCGTTCCCACACGGTCGTGGCGCCCATGGTAACCGGGTAGAGCCAGCTGGGGAATTCGCGGTGCAGCAGCATGCGGTAGAAGACGTTGGACATGCCGGCCTTGGTCAGCGCGTGGCCTAGGTATGGTGTCCCCGCGAAACCGGTGGAGATCTTGAAGCGGCTTCGCTGGCGGATGAGGAGGGAGAGGCGCTCGGCCGCGTGCGTCTGTTGTTCGGGGGTGGGGAGGAGGTTGAATTGGATGGCGAGCGCGTAGGCCGTCTGCGTATCGCATGCAAGGCGTCCGGAGGGAGTGAGATATTCGTGTGCGAATGCGTCGCGCAGGTCGGCGGTCTGCTTCTGGTAGAATGCCTGCTCCTCTGGAGGGGCGTTCAATGTGGCGGCGATGCGCGCCATCAGCGTCGTGACGTGTACTAGGAAGGCGTCGCAGACAAGGTACATATCTGTCATGGCGTTGGAGGGGTCGTCGGCGGGGGCGCTGGGGTCTAGCCAGTCGGCCAGTTTGTGGCCTGCCTGCTTCCATAGACCAGAAGTCGAGCGAGGAATTGCATTTAGCCAATCCTTCATGCTCTGGTAATGCCGTTGCAGCAGGTCGATGTCTCCCAATGCTAGGTACAGAGCCCACGGCAGCATGACGGCCACGTCGCCCCAGACTGCTTCGGCAGATTTTCCAGGGCCAAAATCTCCGAGAATATACGGGATGACCAGCGGTACGACGCCATTCGCAGCATTCTGCTCCACTATCATATCCTTCATCCATGACGATAACATGCCGCTGACGTCGAAGAGGAAGGAAGCGGTGTCGCCAAACATGTTGATATCACCAGTCCAGCCAAGTCGCTCGTCGCGCTGGGGACAGTCTGTCGGGATGCCCACAAAATTGCCTCGCATGCTCCACACGATATTTTCATGCAGCCGATTGAGCAGGGGATTCGAGCAGCGGAAGTGTCCGGTGCGTTGCATGTCTGAATGAATCACTACCCCGACAATATCCTGGGCTGTAAGAGGAGACTCTGCGGGCCATCCGTCCACCTCGACGTATCGGAACCCATGAAAAGTGAACTTGGGCTCCCAGGAAATTGGCCCTTTACCGTCGAGGATGAGCGTATCGACGCATCTGGCAGACCGCAGGGGACGAACCCCGATCTCGCCATCCTCAAGTACTTCTGCGTGCCGGAAGCGAATGGTTGTCCCCGCGGGTCCGGATACTGATCTGACCCTTATCCAGCCGACGAAATTCTGGCCGAAATCCAGAATAGTCTTCCCGGAAGGAGATGGGATGATTTCTCGCCCGGCCAGCTCCTGCGTCTGCCGAATCGGCGGACCGTCGGGCGCAGTGAGGTGCGTCATGGAATAGCCGGGGACCGTTTGGACCGGCTTCCATACTGTGTGCGCTGAGTGCCTCTCACGAGCATCATATATCTCGCCGTCGAGCAGGCCAGCTTCAACAATCGGCCCGTGAGCCCACACCCAGTCCGGATTCGTCCCCGTCCGTACAATCATGCCATCATCCAATTCGACAAGCACGAGAGCGATCAGCCCCATCCGTGAACCGTACAGGTTGTGCTTGCGGAGAAAAGCCAGGGATCCGCAGAACCATCCCTCAGCCACATCGACCTCGATCTGGTTCTCCTGCCCAGCGAGCAACTGGGGTCCAATCTCGTACGTCTGATAGATCAATCGTTCCTGGTACGAGGTCCACCCTGGCGCAAGAAGCTGTTCCCCTATCCTAGACCTATTGAGACGCGCCTCGTAGATGCCATGCGCCGTGATATACAGTCGTGCGCGCTTGACGGCAGCACCCTCGGGCAGCACCAGTTGGCGCCGGAAGATGACTGGCCGATGCTTCCCCGGCACGGTCTCGGTAGATTGATTCGGCTCGATCAACTGGCATCCGCTCCAGTCATCTGAGCGCAACAGGCCGGCCTCAATCACCAGCGGTGATGACCAGTCACTGCATGAGCTGGCGGTGCCGCCTACTCGCACTCGGACTTCGACCCGCTCTCGTGACGACAACGGTCGGAATGGCCACGGGACGAGTCGAGACTGTGATGACTCGATCGTTGCAGACGATGGTGTTCCATGATCGTGTTTGACCTCAAGCTCGTAGCTGCTCTGCTCCCAGTCCTCCTCGTCGCCGGCAAAGCTCCAGGAAATGCGTGGTCGGGCTTCACCAATGCCGATAGCGTCGGGCTCGTGGTGCTCGGCCCATACCTGTGTGATGCGCACCATCTTTGCAAGTAAGTCAGTACGTGACACAGAGATGCAGTCAACTTTCACAATTGCCTGCAATCGACTGTCAGAATTATTTCATCGGGCCTTGTTGCACGTCACTGCCTAGTCATGCGGGATATCCAGGACGGCACGTGGCCGGTAGACAGACAGAGCGTCCACTTCGGCGTCCGCCGTCCACTTATATCGGCAATTCCGACACAAGCTGCCGAGACTGATGGATGCAGATTCTTCATAACTTGAAATGAACTCTCGTTGCTGAGGTTTCGTGGATGTTCATTTGGAATCCGCAGCGTGAGGACATAGCGACGTGAGACGTGTGTTGACAGCATTCCAGCTCCCTACGTAGGGTTCTGTAATCTCTACCGACATCATTTCTCCTCCATTGGAGGTAGTAATGTGTAATTATAGCGGTGAACAAATGGTCCTGGCCTATCATTGCCTGATAATTAGAGTGCCTGCTAATCCTGTCCGTCTTGGTTGTCTTTCTCATGTTGTGGAAGGCCGTTGATGCAGAGTTCTATGGCACGGCAACTCATTGATGGCCAACATCCACTCAAAATCATGTTTGAGTCTATTGTATGTCGGTTCAAAGATACACCGGCCTCTCTCCGTATCCCTCCATGTCTGGTAGAAGTTGTCTTGCCGGTGACTACCGCTAGACGAACAGAGTTTACAGTCCACTTCCCCAGGCGAACCGTCCACAGCGCCACAGATCAACATTTTCGGACAGACTCAACATGCGGGGATTAGCATGGAAAATCTGGGGGTTGCATCAGGTTGACAGAGCTATATCATGCGATGCTAACACTGCGGGTTTCCTGATGTGTGACCAGTCTGCTCTATACGACAAACCTGCAACCAACTCAGTGGTCGTTGTGTCTCCAGCAACAGCACCGCCAACATGCCCGAGGACAAGGTCGAAGCCATCGAACATGTCGAGTCCAGTCATCATGATGTCAAGGTCCACCAGGAGGCGATTGAGGAATTCCTTCGTGCGGAGAAGGAGATGACGACCTGGCAGGCCGTCAAGACGCATCGGCGCCTGCTGCTCTTTGGTGCGTCCCTTTGCATTGATCGTGTCTGTCCTACTCCAGTGCGGCTGCTTACCGAGTCAATTATCTAGCCGTTCTCCCCTTCATTTGTGCGAGTAACTATGGCTACGATACTGTCTCCAATGGTTCCAGCATTGCCATGCCCGCTTTCATCATCTCCTTTGGCGCCGTGGATCATGCCACAGGGTCTATGTATCTGCCATCCATCTGGACGTCGCTCTGGACCTCCATGACCAACCTTGGCCAGGCCTTGGGCTCTCTGATAGCCGGTTTTCTCGCCGAACGCATCGGTCGTCGCTGGACAGCCGTGTCACTTGCCATGCTTTCTATCGTGGGCACCTTTATTCTCTTCTTTGCCTCCACCAGAGGCATGTTACTGGTTGGCAAGACGATGAACGGAGCTGTTGTGGGAGGACTGATGGCGATCGGAACCACGTACGCCGCTGATGTACGACATCCCTTTGTTATGACTTGATTTGATTAGGAGAAGTGCTAAGAATTATTCTGCTGGTAGATTGCTCCCATCAAGCTCCGTGGTGCTCTCCTGCAGGCCATCGTCTTCTTCGGCGTGGCCATGCAGGGCGTGAGCTTGGGAATCGTGCGCGCCTTCATCCTCGATATGAGACCGCTTGCCTGGAAAATTGTCTTTGGCATTCAATGGGCTTTTGCCGGCTTGGTCTTGATTGCTGTTCTCCTCGTGCCCGAGTAAGTTCCCATCCTGCCTCGCCGGTTTCTGATGCCGCATCTAAGACCTCCGTCCCTAGATCTCCCATCTTCTACGTGGCACACGGAAAGCATGATAAGGCCCAAAGCGCACTCAGACGCTTACACGGCAGTGCCGACCCATACCTCCACACACGCTACCAGGCGATCGTCCATGCGCTCGACGAGGAGCGGAAGCAGCAGTCCGAATCGGCTTCCTGGACCGAGCTCTTCAAGGGCTCCAATCTCAAGCGGACCATCACCATTGGGTTCATCATGTTTAGCACAAGCGCCATCGGCGTGCCCTTCCTCACGCAGAACATCTATTTCCTCATCACCGTCGGCCTGAACGTCACCAGCGTTTTCGACATCGGTATCGGCGGTTTCTTCCTCGGCTGTTTCTTCGTAATGCTCGGCTGGCTCTCAAACGAGAGGATCGGTCGCCGGAGACTCTGGTTCTGGGGTTTGATCGGCAACTTTCTCTGCATGGTGACCATCGGTGCCTTGGGATTCAGCACGAAGAAGGCGAGCCAGTTGGCCATTGCCGTGATCATGTAGGTCTTCCCCGATTCAAACCACCACAGACACTGTCTAAATATTCATCTCCATGCAGGAACGTCCTCATCTCATACGGTGTATACGCCACGGTTGGTGTAGCCTGGACCATCTGCCCCGAGATCTCGTCGCTCCGGCTCCGGCAGTACTCGCAGTCTGTTGCCTTCATTGTGGGCGCCATCGGCGGTTGGCTGTTCAACTTCATCACCCCGTACATGTACAACGTCGATTCTGGCAATCTCGGCGCGAAGACCGGGTTTGTGTATGCCGGGTTGACGGTGGTCGTCACCGTTATCTCTTGGTTCCTCGTTCCCGAGACGGCAGGCCTCAGTGTTTAAGACATTGACAGGGCATATGAGATGAGAACCGCACCACGGCACTTCAGGTCCTCCAAGACGGCAGTCGGTGAAGAGAGTGGACATTGATAGGCTACATAATATATGTCATGATCTCTCTATCTGCAATGTGGCTCCCTCACCACTGCCGAATTTGGCCGCGGATTTGGTTGGAACAGGTACTGCCTGGAAGAGGAATCGCTGAAGAATCCATATTGCTTTTCTCGTTCATCGACCACATACGAGCGTTGATTTTGCTCTTGGCAGAGAATCGATAGGCTTCTGAATCGCCACATAATTATAACGCCGATATATATAAATATCTAGCACATTCTAATATTGAAATCCGCCCAGAAGTTCACAAAAGGTTTTCACGAGTAATGTAGACCTCAGAATGTTAGATTACCAGCCTTTCCAAATGAAAATAATCTCGACACAGGGCGATGGACGGTATTGGCAGCAGGCAAGGAAAGGTGTAAAGATCTAGCCCGGTGGCCAGACTATCCTGTGCACTCCTATTGGATCTGGTTTCTCGAGATATTGCATCTCGAGGAAGGTCGAAATCCTTGCTATCTGCATGGTATAGACAACGTAACCTTCTAGAACATAATAAGGAAGAGCTAGCATTGATGCATTGGTTCCTGAAAAACCGGCATACTTTAGGAAACAGGCCATGGGATGATATTGGCAACTTTGAGGAGATTCTGAGACAGTTTCTAGGAAGATGAATGGAACCATGGCCCGAGGATCTACGGAGTAGTATGGGAACTTGCAGGGATGGCCGTCTGGTGTATATCTCTTCTTGGAAATAGACTCGATTCCGATTGAGGCGTTCTCCGTCTTCTGCAGGACGCACCGTCAAGGATTTAGAAATGAGAAAGTGTCACGGGCCAAAAGTCAAAAAAGCAAAGGGCATACTGTGAGGGAGCCCATATAATTATCAGAACTGTTCTGCCAGTATCCTGCACATAGGCAGGAAATGGAATCCCCCGCTCCTGAGCCCTTGGCTTCGCTTCATCTGAGTCGCCATGGTATCCACAATCCACCACTGCCTCCGCAATACTCGTCCAACGACGATCGATGCTATAGGAAGCCTATGGGGTATGTAGATAGCTGCTTACACATCCCTCTACAGTGATGAAGAGCCACAGTCCTCCTGGCCAGCCGGGCGCCGAGGACGAAGACATAAGTGATTCACGAGATCTACGACCCTGCCTCCAGGGAACACAAGCCTTGGCGTTCCTTCTTGCTCTGCGGACATGAGAGGAGCCCTTGGAATACTTGATCTGAGTTGCAGCTTCTGTTTTATCACCGACGGGAGCAGATATGCCCCTTCAATACACGATTCGGGAATGATATCATCGGAGTGGCAGGGTCCGGTTAAAGGTTATGCCTCATAAACACTCTTCATATTTGGCCATGGCAAGCAGTCTCATTTGATCAGCGGCCCTTGCAAAATATATCGATGCCCTTTGTTTTGAACAAAACGGTCATCCGTCTATGGCGCAGAGCAAGGGCTTCTCCGGTATGGAGCCCTTGCATATCGCGCTGCGATAACTTGATGGACGTTAGCTGCACATTATCAATAGTCCTGTGCTACATTTCTCAGTCGGTGGGCTCGATTTGAACCCGAATAATGTGGCGACAGTCTGAATCCACAGGCAAAATTCAGTGCTCGCAGCTAAGGACTGATTACGCTCCTGAGTAAGGACCAGGTAGATACAGTGTCCCCTCCCTTTCGGCCATTATAGGTTCGATGCAGCCCGGAACGTAACTCCGAAGCAATACGGCCGGAATATGGTGATAGTAGGCGTGGGGGGTCTCAAGGAATGTGAGAACGACGTTTTTGGCAGAGGTTATACGGGCAGCATTGCGAGCAGGCAAGGGATGATCTGCGACCCAGTGAATAGAATTCGGTGAACTACAGCAGATCCCGAGGCATGACGCATTTTTGAGTTTGTGGGCCAGTCGAAGATCTCACTAGGATCCAGACATGGTAATCGACGCATCATACTCACGATCCTCTCATAGGACAACAGCCCAATTATTATGTCTCTTTCGCCCGTTCAGCAGCTGCGGATAGGCTTCTAACTCAGCTACTTTTACCTTTCAGAAACATACTCCCTGGTAATGACAATTTGCGTTACTTTATCAACGTGGCATTGCACGGAAGCGACAGGGAAAACTCTATCAGCCTTCCGCTGATCCGGACATCTCGGCTCCAGCGTCATTCTTCGCACCGTGCACTATGACAATGACTTTGCAATAGTACAGGAATTCTACAAGGATGGCCGTGTAGATGTCTTGGAGGGAGCTTGTATGTCTAGCATCAGAAAGGCTGAGCTATCCGAGTTGTTCCATCGATCGGCCTATGGGCCTCGATTCAGTCTTTTCTTTTTTGCGCCGAGTCTCGGTAGGTTCATGACGAGGCGGGACCTCAATGTACGAAGAAAGCAGGCAGCTCAGTCGGCATCAGCAATCTGTGTTGACGATCATCGAGCGCGTATGCTCATGTCTGTCTGTGACTGCCTCGTTTATCGTGATTGCGACATTTCTCAGCTCCAGGGAGTTTCGCAAACCAATCAATCGCTTGATCTTCTATGCCTCATGGGGCAATATCATGTCAAATGTTGCGACTCTCATCGATGAGTCCAGTCTGCAGGGTGGGTCGGAAGGCTCCCTGTGCCAGTTCCAGGCATTCATGATTCAGTGGTCAGTCAACGCTCGTGATATGGCAGGACTCGTTCACTGATACCGGTCTGTAAGGTTCTTGCCAGCGGACTCTCTGTGGGCGCTCGCCATGGCTTGCAATGTGTACCTGGCCTTCTTCAAGCATTACGATACCAGGCGTCTAGGGATGCTCGAGTGGAAGTATCTGCTTTTCTGTTACGGACTGCCGTTTATCCCTGCGTTTATATATCTCTTTCTCCGCTCCGAGACGAGGGGAAAGGTATACGGTGATTCTGTGGTAGGTCTTGTTAAAACACTTCTTGGAGATGTCAATATTTATCGTGATCAGTTATGGTGCTGGGTCTCGTTGCCGTGGGATTTTCTCCAGATAGCCCTATTCTACGGACCAGTCTGGTTCATTGTCTTGCTCATCCTCGCCATCTACATCCGTGTCGGTTTCACCATCTGGCAACAAGGACGCGAACTGAGCAATCTCGCTACGCCAGACTTCGCACATGCGACAAACACCACCTCGTCGGGGGATGTTGAACTCCATCAAATACTACAACCAGTGCCCCTTGATAGCTTCCGGCGGGACTCAAACGGAGAGCAGAGCCCTGCTACTTCTGCCCCTACTTCTTCCCATCTTCACGTTTCTCCCGAGAACTGGTCTACTCAAAGTCACGCCGGTCCCCCAAACGCACCTCCTAGTCCTGCATGCTCTGCTTCCTCCAATATCTCTCCTGGAACCTGGACTATAGCCAGCCCCCGCAACTACGACCTAGACCACGCCGATACCCTCCACCAGCCCGATCCCGGCTCGCACAATATCTCGGCCTCCCAAGCGTACTTCAAATATGCCGTTCTCTTCTTTGCGGCATTAATCGTCACATGGGTACGTGCTTGGCCCTCTATCATTCTGCAAATCTACTGACATGGCGTAGGTCCCTTCATCCGCCAACCGGGTTTATGCGCTTGCCAAGTCCAATCACTATGACTTCGGCCTGAGCTGTGCCTCGAGCTTTGCTCTTCCTCTGCAGGGATTCTGGAATAGCCTTATCTATATTACCGTGTCTTGGCAGGCGATTCTGACCTGGTTTCGACATGTTGGGGCGCAGGCGCGGCGCACTTCGAGTGCTACACTCCGACCTTTGAAATTTTCCTTGCGTCATTTGAGTCGGGGTTGACTGGAGTTATGAACTGTGGATCAGCCATTCGACGTGCTAGATCTGATATCGAATATACCCCATACAACGGCAGAGGTATGGTGCTGCTCACTGTGCCATAACATGATAGCACCATATGCAGTCATACTTCTAAGGGTCCGAGCAAGCTGTAAAAGAGCGGTCATCCCTGGCAGGATGCGGTGTCAGTGCTGTCAACGCTAGCCCTGGGTGACTCCTTCGTTTTCGTCGTCGGGGATGGTTGGGAGATTATCTACCCGACTACAACACAAGAGCACAGTAAAAATCCAGGTAGCTACAAGCATAAGGTACGTAATTGTCAAAGGCAGTCTCTCACATTAGTAGTTACGAAGATGCTCTGTATTTTACCACGGACTTCACCTGACAGTATTCAATCAGCCCCATTAGACCATACTCTGCACCTACTCCACTCTCCTTATGGCCCGAGAATGGTACTCGGGGATCAGGACGCGAGGGCCCATTGATAAAGACCGTTCCCACATCTAGACAGTCCGCGATTCGCTGGGTGGTCTCTGCATGTTCGCCCCATACACTTGCACTCAATCCGGTTGACGTGGAATTGGCGGCGGCAATTACCGCGTCGGTATCAGAAAAGGGCATGCATGGGATGATGGGTCCTGGCATGTCTTGTCAGTGTTCATCCTCCCTGAATTTCGGCCCACCCACCAAACTGTTCATCAGTGACCAGCAGAGAATCTGCCGGAGGATTATCTACAATCATCGGCCAGAGAAAGAAACCAGACTCGAGGGATTGTCGCGCGAGATCCTCCTCTGCTGTAGGAGGTTGATCCAAGGAAAAGTTGCACCCTTCCCGTCGGCAACTTTCGATCAGGTCTCTTAGTTTCTGGTACTGCGCCTCGTTCTGAATTGGGCCCAAGACGGTGGCACCATCAACCGGAGAGCATCCGACCGTCACCTGGGACCTGGTAAATTCCACCAGGGCTCGAAGGAAGCGCTCATAAATGGACTCGTGGATATAGACGCGCTTGATCGCAATACATGACTGACCGGAATTCCACCACGCACCCATGGCGACCTGCGGAGCCACTTTTTCGATGTCAACGTCCGGCAAGATGATGGCGGCATCATTTCCTCCTCTGCCTCGGTCAGCCTGAATTGGCGGAATGTGCAGAGACAGTGGGTACCAACAGCTCTAATGTCACCTTCTTGAGCGTCTTTGCCGCGGCCTGCATGATCCTCTTCCCGGTGGGCGTCGAACCCGTAAAGGAGATATGGGCAATGCCAGGGTGATCTACCAGAAGAGGCCCTAGCCGGCCATCATCCGCCAGCACTTGCACAACGCCGGGAGGGAAGATGGACTGCGCCAATTCTATACACTTCAGGGTCGTGTATGGTGTGGAGAGTCTGCAACACTTAGTCTCGGCTCCATCATCAAAAGCAATTCCCTTACGCAGGCTTCACAATTACACAATTCCCGACTGCCAGCGCCGGGGCGATCTTGCCAAATGCTGTCTTGGTCAGCTCCTTTCACACCACACTCATTATGTCAGTCTCACATAGCATGATTGGATCTGTGAAACAATTGTCAGCAGGTTGTCCTGAGGATCAATAAGCAAGTAACTTACAATTCCATGGACAGATGGCCGCCACCACCCCTCTTGGCTCATACCTGATGGTCACTTGCTTGTCTTCATCCTGCAGTACCTGATGAGGGAGAACAAGCGACGCTATGTCCATCAGCTTGTCTCTTCCCGTCAACTGTGTCGTTCTCTCACTCACCTGGATAACGAAGCCAAAGGACGGACCAATGGACCTCAATCTGCGCGATATCCTTCTATTATAGCTATCAGCAGCGTTTACTCGGCAGAAGCCCGATAGAGTTGGCAGCTTGACACAAATAGTATGAACTTGCAACTCACCGTTCGACCAGTTTCGGCCTGGAGCAGCGCCGTAAATTCAGGGGCCAACTGCAGGAAGGCATCGGCGAATCGGTTGAGCAGTTGCACACGGGTGCTGTACTCGGTGGCGGACCACTTGGGAAAGGCTTTTTGTGCGGCACGAACGGCCTCATTGACATCCTCCTCTGTGGCAATGGGAACATCCCACAATGGCTTTCCTGTTGCTGGGTTGATGCCGTGGTGCAAGCGGGACGACCCCCGCCGCTCACCGTCAAGGATATTCCAGAAAGAGTCGAACGATATGTCCGTGCTGTTGGCCATGGCTCTTGCGGGGTATCGAATTGTTACAAAGCTGCTTTTTCCGTCACTGGGATGTCCATCGCGTCCAAGCGTGGTATTAAGCTTTGATGGTGGATCGGCGTATTTCGGCGGTTTCGGTGGACGCCATGTGGTTCACAATCGGGCAATTCTCCCTCTCGCGTGGCTTACCGGGATGCGGCTGAAGATTGGATCAGATCCCTAGAGACGATGGCATGACTCATTCCGGTTTATGTCAAAATTGGCCATGATCCGCGCAAGATTAGCGGGAGAAGCAACCACAGTTACAACCATAACCGGTTTATTCCATGGCTCTTTTCATCCTAAGGCTTATTGTCGCGGCCGTCACTGCCAGGATCACCATGGCCAGTGCCAGTAATGCTGCCCCGTCAGCAACAGCGTCCATCGCGCTGCCCATGCAGTCATCGGCGCTAGGTCCACTTTTCAACATCACTGTCGGAACACCTCCGCAGCCACTGACCGTGTTGAGCGACTGGACCTGGATGTCTCTGTTCACCCGCTCTGCACACTGCGAGGGAAGCTACAACGTCACCGCGTGCATTCCACCAGGCCAGCAATGGTACAATGAGCGCCAGTCGACCACCTTCCACAATACCAGCTATGACGCCACGGCGTGGGAAAACACCAGCTTCCTTCCCGGCTACCCTTTCGCGGTGACCTACGGGCAGGACAGGGTGTGCATGGGCGAGATTTGCTCCAACGAGACGGTGTTCCAACTCTCCAACTTCAGTATCACCATTCCCGACGTCGTCCCATTCGGTGGCATCTTCGGCCTCGCGCCCGTCCTGCCCGGTCTAAACGAGACTTTCTTCCCGGCATCCTACCAAGCCTATCTGGGGGGACGCTTGGGTCCCCAGGTCGGCTTCCATTCTTGCGCGGCCTTGTCCTCCACGGACACCTGCGGCGGAGGCGATATGCAAGCCGTCCTCGGGGGCACCGCCGGCCCGGATGTATATGACCCGGCGGACCTAGTTTGGTTCGATGTCGAAGCGGAAGACTGGCTCTCTGAGAGTGCTCCGTTGAATGTGCGGCCGGCCCGCAGCAATTTCTGGGCTGTCCAATGGACGGGGATGTGGATCGGCGAGGAGAGTCTACCGCTGGCCCAATCCACCACAACGGGGGGTTGTGAGAACATGCCCCTGGCGGTTTTCGATGAAGGGTCCGAGGGATATAGAGCCCCGGTACCTGCAGCGGCCTTGGATACGTTTCTGAGCGCGACAAACGCCACCGTGTCAGGCTCGACGTATTCGCTTCCATGTGATATTGATCAAGAGGGCCTTCCGACCCTGAGATACGAATTGCAAGGCAAGCACAACTATACTATCCTCCCTTCGGAGTACGTCACGCGCAGCGATGAGGGATGCGAGTTGAGGATCCGGGCGTGGGATTTCGAGAGCAATGGGCCCATGGCACTATTTGGACAGGCTTTTCTGGGACGGCTCTACATTGTTCTTGACTTTGCAAGATTGCAAGTTGGTTTGACTCCATTGAGAGAGGAGTTGTTTGTATAATTCTAATTTTTATTTTCCTATTTTTTCTGGGGAGGCATGCCGCCGTTTGTATATAATCGTCCAGCGGGCTGTTGGTCAAGTCTCAAAGAACGGAAAGCAGCGTAAATCTAAACACGAAGGAGTTTGACAAAAATAAACCAACAGCTCACTCGACTATCACGGTGCTGCTGCAGAAAGACCTCCTTAGTCAGCTTGCTCCATTCCACCAACAATCCCTCGCGGGCACCTTCGTCCAGTCCGGACGCCGCCACTTGCAACGCTTTGGCAAAGTATCCCGCGATGACAGCCATCATCCAATCCACCACGGTATCCGCGTACGATCGGCTTGCAGTTTCAGACTCGACGCCCCGAGTTTTTGCTTGCTGCAGCTGCTCGTACGCGGGATGGGTGATTTCCGCCTCGAAGAGCTCCTCCGTCTGCCAGAGATGGTTAACGTGGGCCAGAGACCGTTGAACGTCCTCTATCGTCCGATCGTAGGTGGGAACATGGAACGCGCCGGCCACCTGGGGGGAAATCCTCCCGTCCATGACCATCTGGATCATGGCTTGTCGGCAAGCATCCACCAGGTCAGGGTAATTGGGGACTCCTGTCGATGATTGACTCACGAAGGAGAGGACCAAAGAACCACCTTGTCGAAGCTCCTGAGCGCGCAGAGACAGGAAGCGAATGAGGTCCTCGTGTGCCTGTTGTCGGTTCAGTTCCTGGTTCTCATCTGCATTGTTAGATGCCGGAGTGTATGAAGGCGATCGTTCCAGATGATGTAGGGTCGCCAGGGAGAATCCGACGTCGACGGTGTTTTCCGGGACGACGCGGTCGTAGAAGCTCCTGGCCACCATCGATGTGAATATCGTAGGCCGTTGGGGCATTTCAGGGAGCCACTCTGCCTGGCTGATGGTTTGCACGAGGGTGTTGAAATCGTTGCCCGGACGATCTGAGAGGATCAGATGGGCTTCGTGTGTGTTTGCATTCTCGGCTGAGAAGCGAAGCTTGAGAATGTGTTTGAACGGCAATAGTCTACTCTGTCCCTTAGTCTCTGAGAACGGCTAGAAGAAGGAAGGCATCAGGTATACGCACGAATTCGCCCCCTGGGCACAACCATACTCGACGACGGTAAACAGTTCAGATGCAGTGTTGACCGGAATGGTATCAAACAGAGGCAACGCTCGATGCATGGCAGCCGCCTGGAGGGCCGAGTGTGCATTATAGAAGCCGGCACCCTGCATGGGGACATCGTTTTCTAAGGCCCTGGAGTGGCCATGCCCTTGGTCAACCGGGTTCAAGTGAGTTTGAGCCGTCATTGTGGAGTTTGATAGGACTCAGATGATCATTAGGTGGACAGAATCTACATCCCCGTCTACGACCCGTGGACGTCTTCTAATAACCATTGCCATTCGGTGGATTACTATCCTTCATTCTTGCTTCTGCCATCGGCCACTTTGGCAGACGTACAGTCATACATGGGCTGTAGCCGGTATAAACCCCCAGATACGCTCCCCTCACAATTGAAAAGTCGACAAAACAGCCGCAAAGAAACTCATCCAACCAGGCAGATCGGCCACCAGCACGCGGATCCGGTGGATATCGATCCAGCGCTTCAAGTCCTTGGTGCTTTGTCCCTCGGAACGATCCTCCATGATATCCCGGATGGGATAGGCAATCAGGGGCACGAACAGAAAATGACACACAGTGAAGCCCAATCCGGCCCAGTACCACCGACTCGAGCGGAGCCGGTCCAGCGCGGGCCGGTCGATCAGCAGGTTGGCGACGGAGGAACCCAGAGTGAGGGTGTTGAGGCTGGCGATGATCCAGATGCCTTGCTCAAAGAATCGGCGGAAATAACGCGGCAGCATTGCCTCACTGTGATTCTTGTACTCGGGACGCAGGAAGCCGGAGAGGAACCAGTGCTCGTCCCAGGCGTACATGAGCGAGGAGGTGGTGGTGACTAGGGGGGCGATGCGGAGGAGTTTCATTGGGTCGAAGAAAAGCCCCGACGCCATATTGACTGTATGGAGGAGCGTAGGATAGTCCGGAGATAATATCGAGTATTTGCTGGATGCAATTGATAGCGCAGTTGACGTTGAACAGATGCCAGATGTTTGAGAGTTTGTGGTGGACAAATGAAGCTGAAATGCAGCACAAGGCAGGAATCCGCCGAATGCGCCGAACGGAATCCGCCGAATCAATTACGGGTGGGATAAGCGCTAAAAATACGTGCAGAATGCTAATTGGATGATTGAAATGCGACAGACTGTGAGAGAATAGGCATGAAACGGACAAGGATTCAACTTGGAATCTGGCGAGAGCAGTCCCACACGGAGTAATACATGATGTATATATAGTTGGCCGTTGCCTCAGGCAATGGTTCTGTGTCACGTGTCAAAACAAACTCCAGCGTCCTGCTCAAACCATGATCTTGTATTTCTACAAAGAGGAGAGCTAACTAAGGAGCAGCCATTGGTGCAGCTTCTTTCCCGGTCTCCGTTTTGGTCTCGAGACCAAATTCACTGCTGACCTCCTCACGGAGATGCAGTTCCTTGATCAACAAGGCCAAAGGCACTCCGATCCCGCCAAAGGCAATCGAGACATACCACACCGTCTTCAAACTGTCCAGGTAGACGTGGAGAATGGCTGGCCAAAGAGGGGAATGCCGGTACGCACCAAGAAATTGTTTCGTGGCATGTTGATAGGCGCCCCCATTGACGAGCCATGTGCGCGTCGCAGCGTCGGGAATTGTGTCCAAGAGGTCATTTACCCGGGAATTGAACACGGCAGACGGAATCGCCGTGCCCCAGATTGATCCAAAGCTGCGCAGGAAGGTCCATGTCGCCGTCGCCGTGGCCACTTCGCTCTCCGGCAGCGCAGCGAGAATGGCGGGGAGGCAGCTGGTGAAGATGAAGCCGGCACCGACGCCGAATAGAATCTGAAACCCTACCCAGTCACCGGTCGAGGAGTGGTCGTCCAATAGTGTGAAGAGACCACAGGCGATCGTCATCATGCCAAAGCCGGCAAAATGGAACACGCGGTAGCGGCCTGTCGCTGTGATGAGAATGCCCGCCAGCACGCCAAAAGGGGCGGTGGTGGTGGCGATGGGGAACAGCATGATGCCAGACCGAGTGGGAGACGCGTCCAGTACGGCCTGAAAATATACAGGGAGGAAGTAGCACACCCAGTAGAGGAGGATCCCATGCAGGAAGCTCAGCACGAAGGTGGTACTGGACGTTCGGTTGGCGAACAGCCGCATGGGCATCGTAGGCTCCTTGACCGCCGGTGTCGCTTCGTAGAGAAGAAAGCCCAGCAACCCGACAAATCCCAAGACCAACGGAACGATCGTGCGCCAGGAGGACCAGGCGTGGACGGTGCCTCCCCAGGTCAGAGCCAGGAGAATGGCCACCACCGCTAGGATCAGGATGATATTACCGACGTAGTCTACGCGTTTGAGGCGATCGACGAGACTGCCCTCACGTCGATAGCGCAACCGCAGGAATGGAATCAGCAGAGCCAAGGCAGCACCGGACAGCGGCAGGTTGATGTAGAAGATCCAGCGCCACGAGACGTGTTGGGCAAAAGCACCTCCCAGGATAGGCCCCACGACAGATCCAATCGCCCACATCGACCCGATCAGACCGACGTATTTGCCTCGCTCGCGGAGAGAAACCAGATCGCATACCACGATCTCCACCATCGTGTTGATGCCTCCTCCCCCGATGCCCTGCACCGTCCGGCCCCCGATCAACATGGCCGTGTTGTAGGCACCACCCGCGATGCCACTGCCGAGAGCAAAGAGAGCAACTGACAGCAGGGTGAGGCTGCGCCGGCCAAAGATGTTGGCGGCCTGGCCAAACAACGGCTGCACGGCTGTCGAGGCGAGCAAGTATGAGTTGATCGTCCAGACATACAGCGTTTCCGAGTCGAGATCAGCGGCAATCGTGGGTAGTGCCGTGGAGATGATGGACGTGTCCAGGGCCGAGAGGAACGCGGTCATGCACAAGGCGCAGAAGATGACAGTGAACCGCCATCCTTTTTTGGGAGGTTGGGGGGCGGAAGTAGACGCAGTCATGCCGAAATCATGCGTTGTTGTGAATGTTCTGTACCGTCGTTCAGTTTAGAGAGCTGAGATCGTAAGAAGAAGAAGAATGAGGAGGAAGAGTGAGAGGAGTAGAGAGTGGCGCAACCTCGGAGCGATTCGGCGGGTTTTGGCTGGACTGTCGGGGGAAGAGTATATCACAGCAGTGATTAAGACATGCACAGTCATATGAAGAGTCATGGCCCAAGGCATGGCAAGGTTGATCAGTTCAATCTCTTCCATCAGATCTAGTGAAAGCACATCACAATGGGCGTTGCTGATCTCCAATCCCTCTCGACGGCAGGACTGCTTCGCAGTGCGACTGTGGCAGTGATCCTCTGGTTTCTGATTCCTCGACTCTGGCAGGTGAGAGAAACCCTCAGTCTAATTGGCAAGGGTCTCTAAACCAAATTGCAGGTTCTTCGCGCTGCCGTCTCTCCCCTCAACTGTATTCCCGGTCCACGGCTCCATAAACTGTCCGAATGGCCACTGGTGCTGGCCATCACCAAAGGACGCAGCCACCAGAAAATGCAGGATCTGCACCAGCAATACGGCCCCATCGTGGCGCTGGCACCTAACATAATTGCCGTATCGGATCGCCAGCTCATCCGGCGTATCCTCGTCACAGAAGACTGGCCCAAATCCAGCGCCATCTACGCCAATTTCCGCCAGGACCCTGAGCGTCCGACGTTGTTGGCGTTTACCGACAAGAAGGCGTATGCGGTGCGCAAACGGCTCGTCTCGTCCATGTTCGGCATCCGGTATATACGGGGAATGGAGCCCATTATGCGCGATTGCGTGCGCATAGCACTTGAGCAACTGCACAACGCCTGTCAGCAACACGGGGGTGAGACAACGGTGGATATCCATCGACTCATGCGAGCCCTCGCAGTGGACATCATTGGCGCTACGACGTTCGGACAGTCGTTCCATGTGGTTGAGCAGGGGAGCCATCCCCTGCCGAAGAAGATCGAGTACAGTCTGCTGCTCTCCGGAATTTTCCAGTTCCTGCCATGGTTGAAGGGACTGCCCGGATTCCCAACCCGCGACCCGTACATTGACGAGTTCACCAGGGCGATCGTGGACCGACGACGGGAGACCATGAAGACAGAGCACCGGCACGATTTGCTGCAGAAGCTTGTGGAAGCAGTCGACGACCGGCCCTGTTCGCCCTTTCGGACGTCAGATCTCCAAGATGAGGTAGTTGTGCTGTTGACAGCCGGTAGCGAAACCACCGCTAACGCCGAAATCTTCCTGCTGATGCTTCTGGCCAAGCACCCGGCCAAATTGGCTCTGCTGCACGAGGAAATTGATAGGTTCTACCCAGACCCGGAGGAGGAGATTACGGCCGAAAAGGCGCCCCAGATGCCATACCTGCAGGCCTGCATTGACGAGACGATGCGCCTGTACGCCGCCATGGCAAGCGGCAGTCCGCGAGAGGCCCCCGAGGACGTGACGCTGCTGGGATATCACATCCCCAAGGGCACCACAGTCTTCCCCACCACGGCCACCTTGCATCGTGATCCAGATCTTTGGCCCCAGCCGGATGACTTTTTGCCGGAGCGCTGGTTGGATCCGGCTGTCGGGCTGAAGCGCAACGAGATGCCCTTCTATCCCTTCTCCGCAGGCAGTCGGGTGTGCATTGGCAAGTATTTTGCTTTGCAGGAGATCTACCTGAGCGTCGTGTCGCTCTTGAGGAATTTTACGCTGAAATACATACTGGGACAGGATGAGTCGACAGTCTTTCGGGTGGCATTACAGCTGAGCGCAGGGAAGTACATGGTAAAGATTTGTGAGCGTCGACGTCAATAGGAATGATATCCAAATAGGTCAAGCTAAATCAACGTCATAATTTCCATAAACTTGCTATGGTGTGATCTAAGGGTGCTCTTGTCTCTCGCTGATGAAAGTCGCCTCGGCAAAAACACTGCGGATTTCCTCCTGGGCGATGACCTGGTGATACCATCGCGTCACCGAGGGGAATTCCTCGCGCATCTTTGTGTCAATCACCTGCATAAACCCCCAGTATAAAGCACTCGCCAGCGAGACATCTGCCAGGCTCAGTGTTCCTTCAGTGACCAGCCACTGTCGTGCTGCCAGATGCCTCTCGAGACACTGCAGTCCCTGGCGCAGAGTGGCCATAGACTGCTCCTCGATCGTGGCGCCGAATGCCGCCATGCCAACTCGCCACATCACCAGTTGAATGACCGGGTTCATGATCTCATGGTCGGCGAAGCAGATCCACTGCCGGATGGAGGCGCGTTCGAGGGCATCGCGCCCAAGCAACTGCTCGCGACAAGGGCCACTGTCAGCGATGAACTGAGCAATGGCATCGGACTCGAACAGAAGCGTTCCATCGGAAGTTTCCAGGCAGGGAACCTTGCCCATGGGAAACTTTGCGAGAAACTCGGGCGAGCGGTTGGTGACGCCCATCTGGAAATGGGGAGCGAGGTAGATGTTGAGGCCATTGATCTGAGCTGCAGCTTGGATCTACGCATGTCTCAGTATTGAATAGGATAGGCAGTATAGAAACATTCCAGTACCTTCAAAATCCGTGCGTTGGGAGTGTACGTATACAGAGTTCCAAAGGCCATTGCGTCTCGAGTTATCATGGATTGCACTATAGGGATAGACCACACTACCTCCAAGCACCAAGTACATAAATAAAATGAAATTCGGCCAATCCACCGCAGCAGAGATCCCTTCCTCCACCGTTCACCAGCCCCATTCGGCGGATCCCCCTCATCGGCGGATTTGCAGCTGCTCGTCGAGCCAAGCAAACATGCGCTGCTGCTTGATGCCGATTGCGCCAATTTTGGCTTGTAACCCTCCCTGGCCAACGCCCTCAGCCACCCACAGTTTCTTCTGACTCGGGGGTAGATGCTCTAGCTTGGCGAAGATCCGTTCCGCGTTCATCTCCGGCGAAAAGTACATGGTGTCCTTGGCTCCCGTCACCAGCACCGCCCCGTCGATCTTTCGGAGGAATTCTTTACCATCCGGCAGTCGCAGGGTGAAGGTCTGCATTCGGCGCATCACATCCGCCGGCGTGCCAACACCGTACACCCACATGCTGTGCCCGAACTCCCACGCCAGCTGGAAGCTCTGACGCGACAGGCAACCCACCACCCAGTTGAAGACGGTATCGCTGATCCAGCCACTGATCCAGCCGTTGATGAACCATGCAGGCATGCGCGTGCGGGTGATGTCGAACATGTCGTAGAACCCGTCGCAGGAGACACAGGCCCGGATCCGGGAATCAGCGGCTCCTCGGAGAGCTAGATATCCGCCCATGGAGGCGCCAAAGATGGCAATCGCCTTGGGATTAATGTTGTAGGGCGCAGCTGGACCAGGCAGGAGAGTGTCAATCACGTAGTCCAAGACGCTGCCGACGACTATCTCCCAGTCCGGCCGGAAAGGCTTGTGGTTATGTCGTAGGACAGTTCCTTGACCGGGTCCGTCGAAGATCAGGACGGCGTATCCTCGTTCGGTGGCTCCCGATGCCACGTAAAAGTAGAGCTCCTCGCCAATGGAGTCGAATCCCCCCGTGTGAATGATCAACGGAGTTCCCCCGGACAGTCGTTTGTGCACCGGCGGGAGGAAGAGATATCCAGGCAGATGGATGTCTTCGTACGGGATTTCTAACACCATGGTTGGGCCTTCCAGCAGGGTGATCGCCTGTTTGAAATTTGACACACTCTGCTCAAAGACGCGCAGGAGGCGCGGATCAGACGGGGTGCAGTGGAAAAAGAATTCACTCGCCCGCCAGTAGTTGGACGAACGGAAGAAGGCCCATCTCGCAGCCTCGCGGTCGTTTACCTGCAGGGCCTCTTCGCCGAGCGTGTTTGCCCGTCTTGCCAGATCGGTCCAGACATTGTACCAGCTGTCGATATTGCCGTCCTGAATGCGCGACACGGCTTCCAGACATTCGCCAATCTCGGCTCCCTGCACAGGAGCAGTGCCAATGACGCGCAGGAATTCAAAGTCAAAGAACTCGGACTTGAAAAACCAGCCCATAGTCGCGAGGAAGGACAGCCAGCAGTGATGGGATGGTGTAGGCCAGAACTGAGGCTAAATAGTTGATATCCACCGTATATGAAGCAGGGATTCGGTGGATTTTGCCTCCTCAACCATGTGGCCGCCGACGGGCCAAATGCACACGTGGGTAGAGGGAGCACTGGATCTCTTGATATTCCATATATCATTGCAGTTGCAGCATGCTGGTATCACCCTCCATCCGCTGCACTCTCACCGTTGTACTACAGATCTAGGTTCAACACCCTATATCCTAACTCATTCGTTCACTGAATCTTTTCTCTCATAATGGCTCCCAGACAACGTCCCGAGCCAATTGCGGTCGTGGGAACAAGCTGTCGCTTCCCCGGTGACATCCACAGCCCTTCTCAGCTCTGGGAGGCGATCTGCTCACAGAAAGACCTGCTCACCCGCATTCCTCCGTCCCGGTTCAACACGAAAGGATTCTACCACTCGAACGGCGAGCGACACGGCAGCACGAACGTCGACCATGCCTACTTGCTGGGTGGAGACGTCAGCGCCTTTGATGCCAGCTTCTTTGGAATCAATCCTCGAGAAGCCGAAGCGATCGATCCTCAGCAACGGATGCTCCTCGAAACCGTCTACGAAGCGATGGAGGACGCTGGTCTGACCATCTCCGGAATGAAAGGATCAGACACCGCGGTGTACGTCGGCTTGATGACCGGTGATTATCATGAAATGCAGATCCGCGACCCTGAGAATATGCCTATGTATATGGCCACTGGAACTGCTCGCAGCATCGTCTCCAACCGGGTTTCATACTTCTTCGACTGGAAGGGACCCTCCGTGACCATTGATACCGCCTGTTCCTCCAGCCTTGTTGCTTTGCATCATGCCGTCCAATCCCTCCGAGCTGGAGACTGTCAGATTGCACTGGCAGCTGGGGCCAATCTCATTCTTGGGCCCGAGATGATGATTGCCGAGTCGAATCTCCACATGCTGTCACCCACTGGACGATCTCGAATGTGGGACATCGCAGCGGATGGATACGCCCGCGGTGAAGGCTTTGCCGCGGTCATGCTCAAGACGCTCTCCCAGGCGCTGGCCGATGGGGATCGAGTGGAGTACATCATCCGGGAAACCGGAGTGAACCAGGACGGCCGGACGCAGGGTATCACCATGCCCAACGCAGCATCCCAGACTGCTCTCATCCAGCAGGTCTATCACAAGGCTGGCCTTGACCGCGCGCGCCCTGAAGATCGGTGTCAGTTCTTCGAGGCGCATGGAACGGGGACACCCCGAGGCGATCCCATCGAGGCGTGTGCCATCAGAGATGCATTCTTCGCCGACTCGCCGGCCACAGAGGAGCCGATGTACGTTGGATCAGTCAAGACGGTCATCGGCCACCTGGAGGGCTGTGCCGGATTGGCCGGTCTGCTCAAAGCAGCTGAAGCTGTGCGTCGAGCCGAAATCCCCCCCAACATGCATTATACAGCCATGAATCCCGATATTGTCCCTTTTGCGCGGCATTTGCGGGTGCCGACCAAGGCCCTTCCCTGGCCAGGTCAGAACTCGGTTCGCCGGGCCAGCGTCAATTCCTTTGGGTTTGGAGGAACCAATGCCCATGTCATCATTGAGAGTTATGATCGCCCCGATCCAAGCCTGAGTCCTTCGTCACCCAGCATCTTACCCGTTCCATTAACATTCTCGGCCGCCAAGGAGACGTCGTTGGCCCGTCTGATCACTGAGTACGTCAATTTGATAAAATCCGAGAATACCCTACCTCTGCATGAGATAGCCGCAACTTTGGCATCTCGGCGCTCCCAACACTCAATCCGAGCCACCTTCTCCGGCACAGACAGGGACAAGCTTCTGCAGAAATTGGAGACTGCGCTTACTGCACCGTCTGTAGGAGAGCGTAAGCAGACAGCAACCACGTCGAACCGGATACTGGGTGTCTTCACTGGCCAAGGAGCTCAATGGGCATGTATGGGACGGGAGATCCTTCTCTCGTCTCCAATGGCAAGAAAAACTCTGAAGCACCTTCAGGCGTCTCTGGACGAGCTTCCTGATGGACCAACATGGACTCTCGAGACGCAGCTGACCCAGACTGAGGACCCATCGCTGATCCAGGAAGCCGCGCTTTCGCAGCCCTTGTGCACGGCAGTGCAGGTGATGTTGGTTGATCTGCTGCGGGCCGCTCATGCCTCATTCCACACTGTCGTAGGCCATTCGTCTGGAGAGATTGCCGCGGCGTATGCGGCCGGAATGATCTCCGCACGGGATGCCATTCGCATTGCATACTATCGCGGACTATACGCCAAGTTCGCCGGAGGCAGAGAAGACCGGAAAGGCGCCATGATGGCGGTAGGTATCAGCTTTGACGAGGCGCAGGAGTTCATCAACGACACCAGGTTCCAAGGCCGCATCGCCGTCGCAGCCAGCAATGCGCCCCGATCCGTGACCCTCTCTGGGGATGAAGATGCCATCGACGAGGCCAAAGCCATTTTTGAGAGACAGGAAACCTTCTGCCGCCTCCTCAAGGTCGATACAGCTTACCATTCGCACCACATGCTTCCGTGCCTGGACCGATACTGTGCCGCCTTACAGGATGCCGCGATCACCCCCTTGAAGCCCACCGACGGATGTATCTGGGTCTCCAGTGTACACGGACGAGTGATGACCACTGATGAGGAGAGAGAGTCACTCAAGGCCAAGTACTGGGGTGACAATATGGCCAATACAGTGCTCTTCTCCCAGGCGGTTCAGAAAGCGACGCGGCTACACGGCCCTTTTGCTGTCGGACTGGAAGTTGGGCCCCATCCCGCACTGAAAGGACCGGTCACTCAAACGACAAAGGAGGAGAGCAGCCAGGTGTTGCCTTACAGTGGTACTTTGGCGCGTTTGGGACACGACGTTGAGGCTCTCTCCGACGCATTGGGCTTCCTGTGGAAGGAAACCGGCCCTCATTCGGTTGATCTCCGCGCATACGGTGCCGCGGCGTTTGAGATATCATTCCAGCGCCATCCCCAGAAGCAGCTACCGCGGTACCCGTGGGATCACAGCCAGCGATTCTGGAAAGAGTCTCGCGTGTCTAGAAGATATCGCCAACGCTCCCAGAACAGGCACGATCTTCTCGGCACTCGCTGTCCTGACGACCATAACCACGAGTTGCGCTGGAGGAACACCCTGCGCGTCTCCGAAGCGCCGTGGCTATCCGGTCATAAGGTCCAGGGACAGGTTATCTTCCCAGCGGCAGGGTATCTCGTGATGGCCATGCAGGCCGCGCAAGAACTCGCTGTTGACGCTCCTATTTCCATGCTACATCTCCGAGATGTCAATATCGACCGGGCGATTGCGCTCCCAGAGGACAAGGGAGTGGAGGTTATGTTTTATCTTCGGCCAGACAATATCGCCTCGTCCATGATAGAGGCTAAATTCTCATGTTACTCGGCCACTTCGGACGAGGAAGGTGCCCGGTGGCAGCGGAATGCCTCTGGAGTGGTGCAGGTTCATCTAGGTCCAGCAGACCACATTCAGCTTCCATCCCCGCAGGAAGAGCCCGTCTCGCTAGTGCCGGTGAAGATGGATACTTTCTACACGTCATTGAACGAGATTGGCTTGGAGTATACGGGCCTCTTCCAACGGCTAGACCAAGTAAACCGTCGCGCGGGCCGGGCTACTGGTTACGCACAGGATATCCCGTTCGACAGAGAAATGCCTGTCATGATCCATCCGGCGCTTCTGGATGCCGCGTTCCAGACCATTTTCGCTGCTTTCTGCTGGCCAGGAGACGGCAGTCTGCAAGGCCCCTACGTCCCCACGCATCTTCGATCTCTCCACATTGTACCAACCACCCATTTTGATGGGCAGAAGATGACAATCGAATGTACCATCACTGAATCTCTCCCGCAGACAGTCACAGCGGATGTGGACATCTTCGCGCCAAACCAGCCGCGTGTCCAGTTGGAGGGACTGACCTGCACGTTGCTGGACCCTCCGACTCCTGAGGACGACTGCGAGCTGTTCGCCGAGACGGTCTGGCATGCCGATGCTGGAGCCGGTCTCGATTCCGCTGACCTAGCTAGTGACCGTACCGATGACCTAGAGCTTGTGGACCTCTGCGAGAGGCTGTCCTACTCGTATCTCCGCCAGCTCAATGCCACTATTGACCGCAGCGAGGTGGATTCTTTTGTCTGGCATCACCAGCGTATCTTCGAGTTCATCGACTACCTATTTCCCCTGATCGAAAGCGGCCAGCACCCCACCATCCGGCCAGAATGGAAAGATGATTCCCACGAGTGGTTGCTTGGCCAGGCCCGACAGCATCCTGGCATGGTGGATCTTCAGCTGATCTCCGCGGTTGGCGAACACCTGGCGGACGTGGTTCGGGGCAAAACCACCATGCTGGAGCATATGATCGCCGATAACACCCTGGACCGATTCTACAAGTACGGCCTCGGTTTTCAGCGGGCCAACAGCGCTCTCAGTCGTGTAGCTGGGCAGATCGCCCATCGCTACCCGCGCATGAGGATCCTGGAGATTGGCGCCGGCACAGGGGGCGCAACCAAGGGGATACTGGAGCAGCTGGGCGACGCGTTTGAACAGTACGTGTTTACCGACATCTCTACAGGCTTCTTCGAGAAAGCCCAGGAACAGTTTGCAAGGTGGGCGTCGCGGATGACGTTTCGGCCCCTCAACATTGAAGAGGAGGTAGCCTCCCAGGGATTTGAGGACGGTTCTTTTGACCTGATCATCGCCTCAAATGTGCTGCATGCGACCAAGAGGCTGGAGTACACGATGCAGAATGTCCGCAGATTGCTAAAACCAGGCGGGTTCTTGCTTCTCCTGGAGGTAACAAGCGATATTCTTCGGGTCAAGTTGATGATGGCAGGCCTTTCCGGATGGTGGTTGGGCGCTGATGACGGTCGACGATTCGCCCCGACTATCAGCGCCCCTCAATGGCATGATCTCTTGATCCGTACCGGATTCTCCGGGGTCGATCAGAGGGTGACTGATTTCCAGGATGTGTCCAAGCATATGACCTCGGTGATGCTCTCTCAGGCAGTGGATCCTGACGTTGCTTTGTTAAGGGATCCCCTGGCCCTGCCTCACCCTGCAATGACTGTGGATCGGGTCATTCTCGTCGGAGGCCAAACCGCGACTGTACGCACGTTAGCGGAGCAAGTCTCGTCTCTGATGCTGAGCTGGAGCACTGAGTCGCCTGTTATTGTGCCCTCTTTGGAGGACATGGCTCGCTGCGATATAGGCTCTGCCGCCGCAGTTGTGTGTCTGGCTGACCTGGAGCAGCCCGTGGTGTGGGGTGTGAACGATGAGCGACTCGCTGGACTGAAGAAGCTTCTCAATCAATGCCGTCAGCTGCTGTGGATTACGGCTGGAGCTCGCGATAGCAACCCGTACGCCAACATGAGCATCGGGCTCGGACGGTCGTTGATGTACGAATACCCTCACATCCGCATGCAATTCCTCAATTTGGCCAGTGGTTGGGACGGTCAAGCAGCACAGATCGCCACTGCAATGGCTCGCCTCATTTTGGCGGACAAGATGGAGCTTCCATCGAAGCGGACGTTGTGGAGTGTCGAGCCAGAAATCGTATTGCAGAAAGGCCGCTGGATGATCCCTCGCATTCTGCCCAACGATCGTATGAACCGTCGACTCAATGCCAGCAGAAGGAGGATCACAGATAACCTTTCTTTGTCAGAGTGTCCCGTGGAAGTAGTCGGCGATGGCGCAGATATGTGGTTTGAGAAGGCCGACCTTGCGGTGCAGAATGAAACGCTCCTGGTTCGGACCCAGTACGCTCTTTTGCACAGCCTTTCATTGACCAAATCTGCGTCTCTATATCTGTCAATCTGCAAGGTGGAGCATTCGGACTCGAGCAGCCCCATTTCCATGGGCTCGACGGTTCTGGCTCTAAATCACCGGAATTTATCCCTCTCACGGGTCCCCCTGGCCCATGTTGTCCCCATTGTGAGGTCCAGTGCGACGCCGGACTGTCTACTGCTGACTGCGCTGGCACTGGTGGTCAATACGGTCCTCGATCAAGTTCCCTTGCAGGGACGTATCCTCCTGGTAGACCCTGATCCAGTCGTGCGACGACTCGTCGAGGATCGTGCGCGCACCCAGAGCTTGTCGGTGACAGTCGTGCATTTCTCCCCTGGGCATGAAGACGCCATCTATATTTCTCGCTTACTCCCTCAACGTCACATCTGTGCACGTCTTCCCGTCAGAGTGGATTGCGTACTCGACTGCTGCTTTGAAAGACACCCACTGGAGGAGGTACCGCATCGACAACACACCATTCGTTTGCACGATATCTTTCAGGCTCCATCTGCGGTCCACAATTCAGCAGCATTACCTTCACAAAAGGATCTCGTGGGAGCCTTGGGAGCCGCCTCAGATTGTCTCGAAGTACACAAGGTTCCAGTTCAGCTCATTCCACTTCCCGATGTCAGTAGTGCATCCCCTTCCGCGGATTATACATCTATTATCGACTTCACAGCCGCGTCGACTGTTCAGACGCGTGTACGGCCTATTGATACCCACACCCTCTTCCGGTCGGACCGATCTTATCTGCTTGTTGGCTGCACGGGTGGACTAGGTCAATCACTCACTCGCTGGATGGTGCAGAATGGCGTTCGCTATCTCATCCTGACCAGCCGAAGCGTGAAAAATGTGAATCAAGTGTGGCTGGACGAACTGAAGCGCATGGGGGCGCAAGTTCATCTATTCGAACTGGACATTGCAGACAAATCGGCCCTACTAGCGATGCACGACCAGGTTCAGCGTGAACTGCCCCCCATTGCCGGAGTGGCCAACGCAGCGATGGTGCTCTCGGATCGACTCTTCAACGACATGACTGTGGAAGATCTCCGAAAGGTGCTCAATCCCAAAGTGGCAGGTACTGCCCATCTCGATGAGTTATTCTCCACTCCCACATTGGATTTCTTCGTGCTGTTCTCCTCGCTGGCCAGCATTGTGGGAAACCGCGGCCAGTCAAATTACGGTGCAGCGAACTTGTTCATGACGAGCCTGGCCGCGCGACGGAAGCAACGAGGCCTTGCAGGCTCCGTGCTGGACATTGGCATGGTTTTGGGCATTGGGTACGTCTCGCAAACCGGCATCTACGAATCCACGCTGCGCCGGTTCAACTACATGCCCATCTCGGAGCCCAAGTTCCACCTCATGTTCACCGAGGCCATCGTCGCCGGTCGTCCGGACCAACAGGGCGCCCCCGCCGAGATCATTACCGGTCTGCATCGCATTGCCGAGTCGGACGCAAGTGAAAACCAGGCCTTCTGGGCGGGCAATCCACGCTTCTCCCACTACACTCTCCGCGACAATATTGGCCCCGAGCGGACCACCACTGCTGTCGTCGCGCTGAGAAGACAGCTGGCTGAGGTTGAGGACTTGGCCGAGACTACACAGGTAGTGTCAGATGGCTTTCTGGCCAAACTCGGGAGGATTCTCCAAGTTCCTCCGGAGCAGATCAACCCCGCCCAGCCGCTGATCAATCTCGGCGTCGACTCGCTAATGGCGGTCGAGGTACGGTCTTGGTTTCTCAAGGAGATTGACGTGGATGTGCCGGTCTTGCGCATCCTCGGTGGCGCCTCGCCTCTCGAGCTCTGCCAGGAGGCCGCCGATCGCTACATGTCGACGCGGGCGCCTACACCCCCGGCGATGGGCTCTTCTGGGACATCATCCCTGAGTACGAGTCAGATGCTCGACTCCAGTCAGCCCATAAGTTCGGCAACCTCCCATACGGGCTCGCTCTCATCCGACGGGATCAAGACCCCGCCGGAGACGGTTCAATCTGAGGCTTCGTCTGTCGAGGAGGAGGAGGAGGATTTGGAAGAGGTCGAAGTGGAACGAATGTCCTTTGCCCAGGAGCGGCTATGGTTCCTGAGAGTGTTCCTGGAAGATCGCTCAACATACAACGTGACCATGATGTACCATGTGCGCGGACCTACGGCCAGTGCGTTGAGTGACGCCTTCAATGCAGTTGTAAATCGTCATCACGTTTTGCGTTCCGCATACCGGGAGAATCAAGGGACTGGTCTCCCGTATCAGAGCGTTTTGCATCAGTCTCCGTTCCGGTTATCTCAAAGGGGATTACCCACGGCAGATGGAGAGATTGATCGGGAGTTTCAGAGACTCTGCCATCACGACTTTGATCTGGAACATGGAGAATCCATGGCTGCGGTCCTATTCTCCCATGCGCCAGACACCCATACTCTTCTTTTGGGCTTTCACCACATCGTTTTCGACGGGTTCAGTGGTCAAGTCTTCATCAAGGATCTAGCTGCTGCATTGTCCGGTCACTATCTCCCTCCCCTGCGGCATCAGTACACTGACTTTGCCCGCCGCCAACGGGCCCGAGTGCAAAGCGAGATGGCGGAGGATATCGCGTATTGGAAGGAGGCGTTTCCTACCCTGCCGGCCCCTGTGCCTCTGTTCGATTTCTGTCAGGTTACGACCCGGCGAACATTGACCGAGTATACGATGCATGGAATCCAGCGTTCGGTCCCCGCGTCGACAGTGCCTACATTCAAAGAGATGGTACGACAGTTCCACGCGACTCCTTTCCACGGCCATCTGGTCATTCTGCAGCTTCTTCTCGCTCGCTTTCTGGATCTTACCGAGGTCTGCATCGGAATCACGGACGCGAACCGCACTGATCCGGATTTCCTGGAGACAATTGGGTTCTTTGTGAATCTTCTTCCCCTCCGCTTTGACGTCGGCCAGCACGACTCTCTGAAAGGGCTCTTGCAGAATACCCGCGATGTCGCCTATCGAGCTCTACAGCACTCCCGAGTCCCGTTCGATGTCCTCTTGGATGCGCTGGCTGTCCCTCGCTCGACAACGGAAAGTCCCCTCTTCCAGATTCTCATGAACTACAAGATGGGATCTGCTGGCAGGGTCAAAACAGAAGAACTGGAGGCGGAGCTGCTGCAGTTCCAAGACGCTCGCAATCCCTATGATCTGGTGTTCGATATCGAGGAACAAGATGACGGGACCACCCTTGTCGGCCTCCAGTCGCAGTCCTACCTCTACAGCCAAGATGATCTGGGTATGTTACTGAATGCCTACGTGTGCCTAATGAAATCATGCTCCATCAACCCCAGCTGGTTTCTTGATAGGCATACTCTCTACCATGAAGAAGATGTGAGCAAGGCACTGGTGCTGGGAACAGGCCCTCGACTGGACTTGAGCGAGGTCATGACTATCTGTCGCCAAATCGATGAAATCATTGCGAGTCAGCCGGACGAGATGGCCGTCAGGGATCATGAGGGCCATTCTCTCACCTACGGACAGATGCACAACGAAATTCAATCCATTGCGGCCACGCTAGAGGCCAGTGGAGTGCGCCCAAAGGACTATGTGGCAGTTTACTGTGAGCCTACCATCCACTCCGTCTGCTATTTGCTCGCCATTTGGCGTCTGAATGCCATCTACGTTCCCTTGGATCCGCAGAACCCGGCGGCCCGGTTGCAACTGATCCTAGACGATTGCCAACCGAGGGTCCTTATCTACCATGAAGCAACCGAACGGACCATCCGCGAGTTCCACCTGTCTGCCACCAAGCCCATCACCTTCTCCAGTTTCTCTGCCTCGGTCATCTCCCCCGTCCCTGACCGGTCCGAATCTTCTTCCCCCGCCTGCGCTCTATACACTAGTGGCTCGACAGGGGTGCCCAAGGGAATCGTCCTGACCCATGGCAACTTTGTCAACCAGATCATGGGCGTCCGGCATCAGTTCTCCGTGGGACGTGAGACCGTCCTGCAGCAAAGCTCGCTCGGGTTCGATGTGTCCCTGGACCAGATGCTGCAGCCCCTCGTCGGCGGCGGTACCCTGGTGGTGGCCCCTCGACATCTACGCGGGGATGCCGTGGAATTGGCCCGGCTGATGGTGCGCGAGCATGTCACCTACACCTACGCCACGCCGTCCGAGTACGCAGCACTTCTCCGGTATGGGGGGGATGTGTTACAGCAATGCTCGTCCTGGCGATTCGCCTTTGTCGGGGGAGAAGCGCTCCCTCCGCATCTGATCCGGCCCTTTTATGCTCTTCAGCGTCCGGGCCTCCGCCTGATTAACCGATATGGCCCTACTGAAATCACAGTGTCGAGTAGCTGTCTATCTATCGATACTTGTGATCCTGCGGTTCTCCAACTATCGCGGGTTAGCGTGGGATACTCGCTGCCAAACTATGCGACCTACATCATGGATTCCAATGGATGTCTTCTGCCTGTCGGATACGTGGGGGAGATTGTCATTGGGGGGTCTGGAGTGGCACAGGGCTATCTACAGAAGGAAGAGCTCACCCGTGAACGATTCGTGCGGGATCCTTTTAGCACTTCTGACACCAAGCCCCAGCAATGCGGCCGCATGTATCGGACTGGAGACAAGGGCCGGCTGCTCCCGACGGGAGAATTGATGTATCTGGGCCGAATGAACGGGGATACCCAGATAAAACTGCGAGGCTTCCGGGTGGAACTGGAGGATATTGCGCAGACCATCCTGCGGGTGGCTCATGGTCGTCTGGCTGATGCTGTCGTCTCCGTTCGCGGCATCCACGACGAGGATGGGGACCGACGGTTCCTGGTGGCCTTTGTTGTTCCTGCGCGGCAGAACGACGGAGCTGGTGAGATCCAGACCTTCCTTGACCGACTTGTCCACTCTCTCCCTCTACCTCAGTACATGATTCCCCGGCTGATTCTCGCCGTCGACCATCTGCCGCGGAATCCCAATGGCAAGCTGGACCGACATGCGCTGGATCAAGTGCCGCTGCCTTCCCTGTCCACCGAATCTCCTCCACAGAAGCTCACTGCCGCACAGGAGGCGGTAGTTTGCGCGTGGAAGCGATATCTCGATCCGTCCAGTCTGCCTAGCTCATGGAGCCCATCCGCGGATTTCTTCGAGCTCGGGGGTAACTCGCTGCTGATGGTCCGTGTGCAAGCTCTACTGTGTGAGGCCTTCGACCGCCGGATTTCCCTACATGAGCTATTCCAGTCGAGCACCGTGCAAGGAATGGCCGCTCGCTTTGCACCGGAGGAACTCGCCCAGTCCACCTCTCTGATCGACTGGGAATCGGAAACAGCACCAGGCGAACTGGAGCGACAGGCGGCGGACTCCGTCTCACCTGCTCGGCTCCATCACAGCGACGGGAAGATGGAGGTGTGTCTGACTGGATCAACCGGGTTCTTAGGCTCCGCGCTTCTTCGACACTTGGTCGCCGATCCTCGTGTGTCCCGCATTCATTGCGTCGCCGTTCGCTCCTCGGATCCAACTCGCCCGCGGACCTTGGCCGTCACCTCCGACAAGATCGTGGCCTATGCGGGTGACCTGACGGCGCCTCGTCTGGGTCTCGACCCGGAGACGTGGGACGCCTTGGGGGCGCGGGTGGATGCCGTCATCCACAACGGGGCGGATGTGTCGTTCCTGAAGTCCTACCACTCGCTGCGCAAGGCCAATGTCCAGTCTACTCGCGAGCTGGCGTGCTTGGCCCTGCGTTACCGCATCCCGCTGCACTTTGTCTCCACGGGGGGAGTGGCCCAGCTGGCTGAGGTCGAACCCCTCGCACCACAATCGGTCACGCAATTCCTGCCTCCGGTCGACGGCTCCATGGGCTACGTTGCCTCGAAATGGGCCAGTGAGGCCTATCTGGAGTCGTGTGCGTCACAGTTCCAGCTGCCGTGTATCATCCACAGACCGTCCAACATCGTAGGCGAGGGCGTTCCATCGACCGATCTGATCCATTCTATCCTTGAATTCTCAGTTCGAATTCAGAGCGTCCCTACTTTGGACAACTGGTCTGGATCATTTGACTTTGTGCCCGTCGAGGATGTCGCGCTCGGGGTGTGTGGGGAGGTGGTCCGCAGCGTCGATGCCCTGGAGTCCAGTACGGCAGCTGGGCCACTGCTGCCGCGATTTGTTCACCACTGTGGTGCGGAGAAGATCCCTGTGGGCGACATTGGCATTTATTTGGAGAGAAAGTATGGAGTTGCGCTTCGTGCGTTGGACGTTGATTCATGGCTGGATGCCGCCTGTGCGGCTGGGCTTTCGGCGGCCATGGAGAGTCTGGTGACGGCAACATTGAAGGAGAAGGACCATCATTTGCTGCCGTCCTTGTCTCAGTAGGACCGTGTCTGAGTGGAAGATGGTTCTATGTGGAGGTTTGGTTTGTGAGGTATCTTCATGTTGTCTATTGCTATGTGTACATTGCTCCCAACTCTCCATAACCAGTTTCCTAAAGCTGTCTAGGGCTAACACGTACTATGGCAGTCTTTGGAAGATCATCTTGACGATGATGCACTAGTATAATAGATTGAACCTTCTCAAGTCAACCCTACTGGCAGGAAACTTGTCTGCACATAAGCTAGTCATGTTTGATTCTATGGTCAGTTCCAAGACTGAGGCTTACTATACTTCACGTCCACTAATATTGGGTTCAATCCTGTTAAACCGGCCATCTAGCTGACTAGATTTAAGGTGTCTTAGTTTGTCTCTGCAGTCAGAACTTGGCACTTGGCCCCCTCATGGCCTGATCCGGTTATCACTCACTAGTCGCTGACAGGCTCCAGTTTCCCGTCGTGTGAAACGCTCCTTTAGTGACCCAGTCTAGACTTTCTGGTGGAAATCATGGAATTGCATGGAAAACCCAGATCTCATGAGGTCTTGAAGCGGACCAATCAGGTCCACTCTTGACTGTTGGTATATCAGAGTTACATTGTCTCCCCGAAGGATCGCTCATCTGCAGTTGTGGGCTGAGGGAGACCGAAACAGCCCTCTTTCAGGAGACGATGCAGAAGGCAGACTGCCGAGCATGCAAGTTGCATAATAAGGCTACATGGTGACCTTGTATTTCTGCAGCAATATCTAGAATGACGTAGATCACTCGCGGGCCAGTGGTATATCACTACCACACGTATATATAGCAGAAAGAGAAACGCACCGTCTATCTATCCAGCTAGTTCGGTATCACCTCGCACACCATGGACGCTTCTTCCACTCGACCTTCTCAGCCTGTGACCCGCTTGGCCTGCAATCGATGCCACCAGCAGAAGCTTCGATGCCACCGCAGTCTAATCCCCGGTCAGCCCTGCGCTCGCTGTGAGAATGCCCGCGTCGAATGCATTTTTGAGCCGCCTCTACGGCCGGGGAGACCCAGCACTCGTCGCAAGTCGCGCAGTAAACCAACGTCTCCCTCCAAGAGCGTCACAGCATCGTCCTCTGTGACGCCCCCGAGGCACCAAGAAGAGGACCCGTCAGCGAACGATCCGCCGGGAGGATATCTGTCGGAGCTAGATGGACTGTTCGAGGTGGTCGCATCTGAGTGTCCAATGGCGAGCAGTAACGATGACCAGGGTATGTTATCCACAATTCCTTCAACCCATCTACTGGGCACACCCAAGAACTTGGACGCAGTACGGATAGTCGGCTAGTACTCACTGCAGCTGGGGCCACACAGTCTCTCTCTCTCCATTTCCTGAGCCCAGCCCCAACGAGCCATTCGTCTCTCTCGGCTGCAGATCTCCGTTGAATAGTGGCCCACTGTGTATGGCGCCTGACTGGCTCCATCTTTCCGCCCCCAAATCCCACTCTTCATCCTTGTCGCATGGAGAAACCATCCAACCAACCGCCGCCAGTGCGATGACGAACCCTTTTGGAACCACAACATCCTCGTCCTCGTCATCGTCGGTCTCGACGCCGTCCTTGCTAGCAGCAGCCGACGTCAACTTCTATCGGCTGTCAGAACTGAGCATGACGCTGCACGAGTATCACTGCCAACTGGTGACCGCCCACGGAGCGCAATCGGACTCCGTGGTGGATCCGCCCCCAACCATCGACCAGATCCTCGCGGTCACCCAGTCGCTGGCAGAGATCCTCTCCCCTGTTCCCTCACACCATAATCGCTCTAACAATAACCTTCCCCCTAATCACAAACCCCTCTGCCCATGCCCACGCACGGAAATGGACTTGCCCTTCCATGTGGCCTGTCGATCCTCGCCCGACGGCGCTACCGCTCTCCTGATCCTCTCCTGCTACCTTCGCCTCCTCCACCTCTACAACGCAGCCCTGTCCAGCCCGTCCGCCGTCGCAGTGCGCCCCATGTCTCCAGCAGGGAATGGGAACGGGAATGGGATCGGGATGCAACCGCTGCGCTTCCAGATCGGCTGTTTCTCCACCCCCATGACCTCGTCCATGGCGCTTCTCGCGTGCGTGAGTTCGCAGCTGCTGGGCAATCTCGAAGCCGCGCTCAGGCGCCTCGCTTCCAGTATGGATCCTTCGAAAGGGCCTGCTGCGGGCCGGGGTGATCAACCCTGGCCTTGGGAGCCGGATGCGGGCCCGGCGTCGAGTGTGATGGTTATCGCGCGCGCAGCGATGTTGGAGGCGAGAACACTGCAGGCTAATCTCCGGCAACAGCTACATTTGCTGAATTCTGTGTCTTGTCCTGAATGACTAGATGTGGGCTGCCTGGTCGGTCCTCTGTTATTGATAAGTAGCGTCAATTCTGACGTTTGTTCGCCTAACGGATAGACAATTAAAAGTGCTTACCAGATCTCACTGAGGTAGAAGGCATATCAGCTAAAGAAGGTTGTGCAGGGGACTCAGTAAGTGGGAAGTGCCCTGACTTGCTATAGACGATATGAAGAGCCTCAAAAATTAATGGCTAACTCTGCCTCTGGTCTACGAAGCGGTGCATTTCTTTATAAAGTCCATCATTGCCTGCCTGCCCGCCGGTTTGACCGGTATCTCCATGTGCATTGCCCCAGAAACGTCCAACCTGTCCATCTTTAGTCCAAGTCGTTTGCCCTCTTGTTCCAGCTCTGCAGCCGCATACGCCGGGATGACTTCGTCCTTCTCGGCGGAAAGTAGCAGAATAGGCGGAACCTCGTGCTCATGCCCTCTCTGACCATGATTTTGATCCCGCCACCGCGCCATCCGCTCCATGGCCACCGCACTGCTCCAATTGTTCCAGAGAAAGGGCCACAGGTACCGATACGGCAGCCACTTTTGCGGATACAGACTGATCAGCATGTCCTTGGTGCTTGACATTGGTGCTTCGAGTATCATTCCAGCGATGGGGACTACAGGACCGTCTGTTGAATGACGAGCCAGGTATGTCGCAGCCGCAGAGCTCGCAATCGCTGTGCCCAAACTGTGACCCCAGAGCACAATCCGGACATCCCTGTCAGGTGCACTGTAAGTCTCCGCCACCCAGTTCAGAAATGCCACCGCGTCGAGCTCGATCCCCGTCTGGGTTGCACGACCGGAGGACTTCCAGTACCCGCGATACGACAAGGCGACGACGAGGTAGTCCACCTCCCCAGTTGAAGACGACGGTGTTGGCGGGTTGATAGCCCGCAGGAACTGCGACAAGAGCGGCAGACGCATGGGAGTCGAGCCGCCGTTTCCTTGGAAGTAGCAGATCACCACCAACTTCTTCCGTGCCGGCGCATGCGGCTTCCGGGAGCTGCGGTGAGTATCTGGGATATGCCCTTCACAGACAGCCAGCTTGGTCCCGTCCAAACTTCGAATTTGCTTCTCCTCCCAGCGGACGGGCTTACATTCGCCCGCGTAGTCGGATATCTGCTCGGAGCGGGCGAACGGTGGGAGCCATGAGATGTACAAGAGCTTGTCTTGCATGACAATAATCCAGAAGCATTTCCATGTCCACAGACCCAGCAGCAGAGTAATGAAAATTACGGGCGGTATCAGGACAGTTGGAATGGCAGATGTAAACAGGCCACGCCTCTGCAATGGTGCGACATGCTGTGGCCTTTTCCCTGGTGTAGCGCGGATGAAGTGAAGTGGCCGAGAACCCAGGGACTTATACGAGAGGCCGACTGCCCTAGTAGTACGAATCCCATTCAGACTGCGCTGAACGCGCTTCAGAGCCCATTTTGCCAACATCAATATGGGTTGGAAATGAGGAGGCAATCTGGAGTCTGGACGCGTTGGATGTTATCATGACGGCAGCAAAGTCATGTGATTGATGAGTCAGTGGATGACGATAAAGGTATGAATAGTGCAATATAAATATTCCACATGTTCAGCATCCTGATCCCAAATGAAGATGCTATGATTCAAGCCAGGTTGATTCTGGAGGGAATATGTCATTGTCAGTTTTCTCGTCTACAACTTAAACATGTGTGAAACAAGTAGACTCTGTCGGCCCGCCTCTGTCAGCATGTTTATGTATATTTGACTAGGGCAGGTGATTCGGAGGGTATAACATCACTAGTTTAGGACAAGGCCAAAGAGCCTGAGTAATCATGGCAATTGATAGAACAACGCATCGTTACGGGGGACTCGCTGCAAGACGTTTCCTCTGATTGAGAGCCTTGTATGAAAACCACGCCCCCACAGCCGTTGCGATGAAGCCGAGAATACCCACGACAATACCGACGATTTCTCCCACCCCCAGTTTGTTTCCATTGCCTTGACTGGTCTTGTCCCCCTCTCCAGCAGTCTAGGAAGTCGTCGGTGTCGCCTGGGTTGCCAATGGCGGCGAGTGGCTAGTAGACTCGGTCGTTCGATCCGATGAGTTCTCACTCGTGGACGTCGCAGCACTCGCTTGGGAAGTCGTGTCTAAGCAGCCACCTTTGGTCAACCTCGTCCTCACAGCAGGATTTTCCCAAGTCTTGCAGCCTGCCCAAGGACCGCCGGCCGCAGACGCCCTCCGCCAGACGAGAGGACCGTTTGCACGACAGTCACCGTGACGGTCGCAGGGGCGATGCGCGTACCGATGAAGTCATCCTGCTCGTCTGCGCGGCGGACGTCGCCCTCGTGTACCCGTTACTCGTACAGTAATCGTCGTATATCCTGACCGCGCTGGAAACATCCAAGGCATTCGCGTCACAGTTCTCCCTCACGCATTTGAGCAGGAACGAGTCGGCGGATTGCTGCAGATCCGAGCGACATATGCATTCGTTCTCGATGGGATCGACTGCGCAGCCAATCCGGTCCGCGAGGAAATCGGCCCCGCCGTTAGAGGACGCGCCCCAGTAGAAGCAGCTTTTTGCGCAGGGTTGTTGCGACGCATAGGCCGGGGACTCGGTGAGAGTCGCTGTTGTTGCCCCCGCTGCGTTGATGAAAAGGATGCCGCAGAGGAGAATGAGGAGCCGTGCATTGAGAGTGGAGGGCCTTTTCGCTGTCATCATCGCGAACCGACTGGCGCTGCTGGCCAGCTGGGAAGAAGCCGCTGGATCCGAAGACGTCCCGTTTCAGTGAGGGCTTGCCCATAAATACTGAGCGGCTGATCGCTTGTTCCCAGCGCGGCTTGCTCCTGCATCATTTATGATACACATGGGCGACGAATGGCGTTCGCAAGGGTTGGCTAGTCTTGTCGACGAAGGCGCTGATATCAGGGCCTGAGCGCAGCAAGACTGTCTCTGATATGTGGAAACATCCAGTTAGTTCTCGCTTGCTAGGCTCCAGCCTTGGCAGCTCGTATTGTACCTTGGCCAAGGACTATCGTAATAGGAGCCAGCAAGTAGTGGTGGATTTCCGATAGTCTGCAGACAGCCTCGTTCCAGTTGGCGTTAAATCTAGCTGAATCGGGAGGCAAATCAATAGATGGAGGCCAAGCTTTCCACCGATGACTTTAATATCATGCCATGGCTGAATGAAATGGGTCCGGATTGTCCAATTAGCAGTAACTTACCAAGCACCGCACCTGCCAGATACTGCCCAGCAGCTATCAGATCTAGGTGTGTTCCATCTAAGAATGCCCCGCGATATATCATCTGTGGGGATCCATCGGCAGTCGGAGTCGGATATGGGGGCGGGGAATCATGGAGCGATGCGGAATCCCCCCGGAGAACCCCCGCCATCTCCATCGATATCTGGGGTTTAAGTACTCCATATTTGGCTTCAGGAAAGAACAGGAGTCTCTTATCTTTTTCACTATCGAAGACGCAAAATGGCAAGTAATCAACCCGCACCCAGCAAACGCGGTATTGTCTCCTACGGCTCCTACAAGACAGGAGGATGGAAGCTCAAGGACATCACTCTCCGTCCCTTAAAAGAGAAAGAACTCCTGGTCGAGATCGTAGCCTCGGGAATCTGCCAGACAGATCTGCATTTTGCAGGCGCGGAGAGTGGATTCGGCGTGCACTATCCCCGGATCATGGGCCATGAAGGTATACCATCTGTCCTAACACAAGTACACCAGCTAAGTTCGAGCACCAGGCGCCGGATACGTCCGCGGAGTGGGCCCCGGGACACACATTGCCCAAGTGGGCGACCCGGTCATCCTCTCCTTCTCCGCGTGCAAGGGCTGCGAGCCCTGCGAGAGAGGCCATCCCGCGCATTGTGTCAACTTCGACGCGATAAATTTCGAGGTGGAGGCCGACAACCTTGTCTTCAGTGAGGCATCCACCGCGGGGGAGCCGAGCATCTACGGGAGATTCTTCGGCCAGTCGAGTTTCTCGAGCTACTCGATCGTCCGCGAAGACTCAGTGGTCAATGTGCGCGGGGTGGTCGAGACCAAGTCGGAGCTGCAGTTGCTGTCGCCTCTGGGATGTGGGATTCAGACCGGGAGCGGGGCGATCCTCAATGCAGCAAAGGCTACTGCGAAGGATCGGGTGGCTGTCTTGGGTCTCGGAGGGGTCGGGTTGAGTGCCGTCATGGGCGCGAAGATTGCAGGCTGTGCGCAGATTATCGGCGTTGATCGACATGCTTCGCGTCTGGAATTGGCGAAGCAACTGGGTGCTACGGATGTAGTTCGGGTGGATACAACGGCGGACCCGCAGACTGTATCAGATGCTGTTCTGGCGGTGACGAAGAACCTGGGTGTTAACATCGTGCTGGACACGACTGGTGTGCCGGCGCTGATTGCCCAAGGGGTCAGGATGGCCTCATGCAAGGGGAAGATTCTGCAGGTTGGCACGGCGCCGGAGACGGGGACGTTGACAATCCCGATCCATGAGTTCATGGTATCAGGGAAGCAGTTTATGGGGGTGGTGGAGGGAGACGTGAATCCAAAGGAGTATGTGCCTAAGATGGTCCAATGGGTGCAAGACGGGAGTCTGCCTCTGCGAAAGATTGTCAGATTTTACAAGGCCGAGGACTTTGAGCAGGCGATCCGTGATATGCAGTCGGGGGAGACGATCAAGCCAGTCATTTTATGGTAGGCAATAGTCCGCAGGCTGCGCTCTTTCCAGCTGTTCTAAGTAGAAAATCACAAGCTACATGAATCATCCTTTCAAAGTAACAGTCTTTGTCTGCAAGAATTCATCCAACCCCCAGCCTGCGCCGAAGCGGCCCCATCCACTATGACCGTGGCCTCCATGTGGCAGAGTCGCCTCGTCATGAACCGTCATGGAATTGATATGGACTGCTCCCGCATTGATGGACTCCGCCAGTTGGAGAGCCTTGTAGTGATTGCTGGTGAAGATAGCAGACGACAATCCATACGAGAATTCTTGGATGACTTTTGTGATATCCTGCTCCTGTTCCACTACAGTCATCCCCACCACAGGACCGAATGATTCAATGTGGAAAAAGTCCATGTCCTGCGTGAGGCCCGTGATGAACGTGGGAGGGAAGTTGTTGTCAGAAGAAGAGACAGATGCCGCATGAACCGTAGCGCCTTTGCTCCGAGCGTCCGAGACGAGTCTGTTCAGCTTTTCTTTTGCCGCTTTTGTGATGACCGGGTGGTCATTCTTGATGTCGTGCACAAGAGCGAGGATCTTGGCTTCAAGCGATGAGCTGATAGCCTTGGAGGCAATGACTAGATCGGTTGACATGCAGATTTGACCGTTCTACCGGATGTCAGTAAAGCCGGGTGCTTTGAAAAATATTCCTACTCACGTTCAGAAATGCTCCTTTGACAATTTCTTGCGCCGCATGGTCGAGATCCGCATCGTCGAGCACAAGAGCATAATTCTTGCCGCCTAGTTCGAGGAGCACCGGCTTCAAAGCATACGCAGCCTTGGAGCCGATGATGCGGCCTACTTCCGTGGAGCCGGTAAAGTTGCACTTCTTGACCGCAGCATGATTGATCATCACTTCAAAGACCTCCGACGCATCCTCCGGTCTGTGCAGAACAAAGTTTACCACTCCAGGAGGAAAGCCAGCTTCACGAAACAAGGATGCCAGCAGATAGTGCGTCCGTGGACTGAGCTCAGAGCCCTAGGTAGATATATCAGCTCACGAGATCTACCACATCAGCATAATCCAATACCTTCAGAATAGCCACGTTGCCGGCAGCAACAGGCGCCACGACGGCCCTCAACCCCAGGATCACCGGCGCGTTCCATGGTGCGATCCCCAAGATCACACCCAGGGGCTCCTTGAAGACAAAGCCGTATGTGTCTCCTTCTGTTGGCGGAATACATCCCGTACGGGAATTGTTGACCAGCGACGCCGTCTCCTCAATCAAGTCGACACCAGCCTGAGTGATAATGCTGGCCCAAAGTTGGCCGCAATGGATTTCCTCTTCAACTAGTTGTTGGATCTCTTCTGATCTTTGCCGTACAAGCTGTGTCCATTAGCATGTGTAGTAGGTTAACGGCGTGGGAATCCTACACTGGCCAGCTTGAACAGCAGCTCTCGTCTCCTCGCAGGAGGTGTCTTGGACCATGCTGGGAAAGCGCTGGCACAAGATCCGACAGCTTGAATGGCGAGCTCTTTGCTTGCGCCCTGGAACCCAGACGGGCTGTCTGCCTTTGCTGCAGCAATAGTGCCTCGTCGTTCTCCTGCCGGGAGAACAATGTCCTCGCCGTGAATGATCAGAGGGACTGTAGATTGAAAAGACATGTTTGAGAAGTTGGTCAGTAGTATATTGCGATGCCACAATCCGAAATATCTCAAGTTATTCCTGGAAAGACACCCTCATTTGTAGGCAAATCTTCTATCAAGTGAGAGTATCGGGGTGGGGGTGGGAGCCACTATGGAGACAAAGCCTATCACCGGGGATAGCAGCCCCCTACTTCCCCATAAAGTTGCCATTGATTCCATCCTCTGTCTCCAAAGAGTGAAAGCGCAATTCTCTGACAAAGACTCTGGGGGAAGCTCGTGGTCAAGACATGCGATCTGGACTTTGTTGTGGGCTGACAGCCATTCGGCTCTTGAACTCGGGATGTACAGTGACTGGGGCTTTCGGATTTGGCAGACGCTTCAGTCTAATTGGTTATTCTATTGAATGCTCTTAAATCCGTACCTTACCGGACTCCGGAAATGTCATGGATTTGATGCTGGATCGCAGCCATTCCCCGCAGACACGGATATACGGGTATACGACGGAAGCATTCCGTTCAGCCAAGCATTCTTCGTAATCAGCTGCGAATCTACCAGTTTGATCTGTTTGTGACCATTGCAAACAAGGTCAATTCAGAGTTCTCATTGGATCATGTCTATTTTGCGTCGTTTGTTGTGTTTGAAGATGTACGGAGTCTACTCCGTACTGACGTCAGCCAGCATATCAGCTATCGCAACCGAAGTATAAGACACAATGGACTGAACATCGATATCGATACAAACGATTCTAATCCAGTAAATCAAGCAGTTCGGAAAGCCGATCAACTACCTCATGCCATCAACACCGCCCATCACCTCCCGCCCCGTGGTAGCTATCGCCGGCGCGACAGGACATCTAGGCAAGCATGTCGTCGCAGCCTTCCTGTCTCCTCCCTTCCACGGCTACTTCTCGGAGATAATCCTCTTATCCAGACAGGACAACCCCTCCGTCCCTGCACACCCAAAAGACGACCACGGCGCAACGATGACGGTCCGCAAATACGACGAGGACAATCTTCCTGCAGCCCTGGACGACGTCGACGTCCTGGTCAACACAATCGGCGCATCCGGCCACGCCTTCAAGGAGAAGCTCCTGCGTGCGTTACCGTCCACCGGGGTCCAGGTCTACTTTCCCTCCGAGTTCGGGGTGGACCATTACGTCCATGACTTCCCGCATGGAGAATGGGGTCAGAAGAAGAGGCATTTCGAGCTTGCGCGACAGCTCATCCCGCAGGTCACGGTTTGTCGGGTTTTCTGTGGGCTGTTTCTGGAGGATAGTATTGGGCCGTGGTTTGGGTTCGATACCAGACAGGGAAAGTATGAGAGCGTGGGGAGTGCGAAGTCGTTGGTCTCGTTTACCGGATTGCAGGATGTAGGGAGGACGGTGGCGTCTTTGGCGGCGATGCCGTTGATGAAGATTCCGGATGTGGTGCACATTGGAGGTGATACACGGACGATCGAGGAGATTGCGAAGGTCATGGAGGGCGCAGGAGCGGGATCGATTGAGATCACGGAGATTGATCTGATGAAGTACAAGGAGGAGACGACGGGGAGGGTCTCGAATGAGCCTGCGAGATTTCTGCGTTTCCTGATGGGGGAGAATAAGATCAATCATACTTCGTCGGGGCTGGGGAATGATAACCAAGTGGTCAATCTGCAGGAGAGGACGTGGAAGTGGAAGACCATGGAGGATCTGGCCAGGTCGACCAACGGAAGGCCTTGGAAGGACTTTCGGTGGCCCCCTGAATAGTCAGCCCGAATGAATTGCTTTTACAGGTCACGTCAGGCAGATGATGTTCAAGTTCTTATCTCTAGCGTACAAGGAAATACATATATGCCAGTCTGTTCTATCCGATCTACCCCAGCGGCTTGTATCCGGAGAAGCAATCCCTTATGCACTGGAAGGAGCGGCACCAGAAGGCATAGCACCCGAGGGAGCAGCCCCCGAAGGCATGGTACCGTTCATATCGCCGCCACCAGAGCCGCCAAAGGCCGAGCTGGCGGTGTTCTGGTGTCCACCGTCTTCCTCATAGTACGCAGCAATGCTGTAGTACGAATTGTCGGTGTAGTCGGCCGAGGCATTGATACCGATCTGGATCCACGCGAAGAGACCATCCTCCAATCCCTCGCCCAGGTACAGGTACTCAGGGAAGGGGTCGTACTCATCCGACGCCTGCAAAACACTCCACATGTCGTCCGCGTTTGTGGTGACGGCCTGCGTGTTGGTGTTGTAAGGGGAGGTATCCTCGACGGCGGAGCGAAGGACCTCGTTCCAGAAGAGCTGGCCGATGTGCGCGACGCTGCCGGTGCCGACTTCCAGGGTGCCATTGGCGTTCATCGTGGCGTTGAGATGCGTCAGGAGGTGCGTGTGGGTGGCACGTCCGTCGTAGTGGCCGGGGAAGATGGTGTCGAAGGTGACCACACCGTCGTCGTCGGTCTGCTGGATACCACGCAGGTAGGTAGAGTCCCAGCCGTCGGCAGCGTAGTTGCCGGAGGTAGAGATACCACTGTCCAGGTCAGCTGTGACTCATCTTCCGGGTTAGTGACGACATACCTGTAGACACCGGTGGCATTGGCGTTCCAGATATCCACCACGGCGCCCTTCACGGGCCGGCAGGTGTTGACGTCGATGTACTGGACCTCGACAGTGAGGTCGACACCGTCGCAGTACTTCTCCTCCTTGACATTCTGGCGCAGGATTTCTCCCCAGACATAATATGGTCCATCGGTAACGGTAGGGGTCAGGATGGCGCTGGTGTTGCCGCCGAAAATCACTGATTCGGGCGTGTTGGAGGAGTAGTCGAGGGACCCGGTCTTGTTGTGGTTGATAGCTTCCCACTTCTCGAGGGCAGCCAGATCACGACGCCACTTGTGGGCGTCTGTAACTGTTAGCAGAATCATTACAAATTATTGAGGGCAACTCACTAGTCGTGATGCCCTTGCTCTGGCGCAGCTGGCGGGCAGTGCGGGCGCGACGAGCGACGTTGCGCTGGCTCAGCTGCTGTGCCTCGGTGGTACTGGCACAAGCATCCAGTGCACGCTTGGCCGCAACGGCATACGCATCGCGAGCGCGAATCTCCCGCTTCAGGGCGCGAGCATCGTGGACTTCGCCGGGGTGGGCGGCGGCGAGCGTGGCAGCCGCGACGAGGAAAAGCTTGGAAAAGTGCATCTTCTTTTGATATCGGATGGTGAGACTCTAAGGAAGCTTGTTTGCTCATTCATCCTGATATCGCCATGTCCAGCCTTTTATACTCCTTTGGTTGCTGTCACCCTGAGATATGACTGCCCTAGCCGCGTCATCCTCTCCAGACCCATGAGCGCAGAGCCACACAACAGAACCACATGCTGCCGACAGCTCCCAGCATAGACCTAAAGATGCGTAATCCCTCATCAGTGATTGATTCATAATGCGTGGTGATTGCTTGACTTGGTCAAGACCACACTAGAGAGTAAGGTCTTGGCGCCGCGTATATGGGATCCGCATCCTGAGCCATCCGCAGAGATGGGGAAGGGAAGAAGAGGAATGATCGACAAGGGCGACGAATCCTGTGACGAGTGTTATTCAGGTCGGATATGCCTCTCGATTGTAGATGTGTAAATCCAGCCAGCTGCCAGTGATGGAGTACAGACGATCCTCGGTTCGAGAACATAATAAGCATGCGCAGATCGTAGCTTGGCGTCGTTGTACGCGTTGATCTGCTTATTTGAAACAGTCAGAATCTTGGCTGGAGTCATCTGGCGTCTCAGAGGCCAACAAGTCCGTCTCTTCCCCTAACATCCCGAGCAGAAAGTTCCAGACAAGTCCACAGGAAAACGGCTTAAATTAGCATCAGTGTTAGTCAACATGGCTACTGACATTACTATTTGACTGTGTAAATATGACTATAATACCCAGTCACAGGAGCACCACATTCCATTGCCCTAGAACGATAGAACCCGATGATTCATACATCAAATTGAACAGTTCCATTCCTCCTGGTCTTCCATTCCAGCCATTTAAACGTTTTGTATAAGATCAAGGCACCCGAGGCCAGGACATCTTCATTTCATGCGAGAGGCGCAATCCTGTCATGTCTGTGATATTAAGGCTATCTGCAAATGACTGATACGAGAGCATAGACTACGATGCTCCCGTGGGAGAAAAACCTTAACGGCCCCTCTAACTATCTCTAACCGATTGTCAACTCAGGATGCCTTCAATGATAAACTCGCTTACTGTCAATATCTTGCCAAAATGTTGCGGAGTTGCGAGAAACAACCTCGTTTACCCATGCCCATCACGGTTGACAGTGCTATGAATCTGCTGCTTTTGAATCCTGTTATCAGAAAATCTAGGCCTAGGAGGCTAAGACATATGAATTAAGGAATCAATTCCGGTTTTCCTGCCGCGATTGAGCGATGGCCAAGGCAATCTGATTCGGGCGATGCCATGCCCCGATACGAGGTGTCGAGCCCATTGCCCAGCTTGGCGTATCACTGCCCCAATAGCCCTGAACGGTCAGCCAAGTGCACATTGCGCATGGTCAATCTGCCTTGTCAAATGCGCGATAGGCGGCTTTTGCTTTAAGAATGTACAGAGTACCATGATATGGACTTTGGCAAGCAACAACAATCAAGCAACCACGACACACCATGTTCTCAACAAAACAACTATTCTACTTGATTGTGCTTCTTCTCTGTCTGGAAGACGTGCAAAGCTACGACTCCCGCATCACGCTCGACACAACCAGGACCAACGCCGGCCCCTTGACTACACCCTTCGTCCCCCCATCCTCCTGTTTCGACGTCCACACAAGACTCTACCTCAACTGGCCCCGGCTCGAAATCGGCTGCCAAGGGCCCTACGGCAACGACTGCTGTCCGGACAACTGGCGGGCAAACGTCTACTACAGTCCCGGGGTGTGTCCGTCGGGGTACTACGGCTGCACACTTCCGACGTCGAAACAGCGGCAGGAGACGACGAATCTCTGTTGTCCGGAGTGAGTGTTTCACCCGATCATCTTGAGGGCTGGTGTTGATTAAGTAGACACTTTGACTGCGCGGGCCAACATCTCTGCACGAGACCGTTGAATAACCGGCAGATCATCACGTACGTGGACTCGACTGTTTCGACGCAGGCAACGGCGTATGCTGTAACGGCTACGCCAATCCAGATACGGTTCCGGGCTGCGGAGTCGACGATCGTCCCTGTGCCGACTGATTCTTTGAAGTTGCCGAGGGGGTATCTGCTTACGAGGGAAAAGGTGGGGATTGGGATTGGGGTGCCGGTGGCTGTTGCATTGCTCACCATGGTGGTATGGTATTTCTGTTGTGCGAGGAGGCAGAGGAGGGATCAGGTCGTTACGGTGACGGATAGGGGCCTGGACCTGGGGCTTCCTCCACCGTATCCTGGAGTGGACAATGGACGGTCTACGAATGAGGCTCGGTATGGATCGCGTCGGAAGAGGTTTTGGATCTTCAGGTGGCAAGAGAGGATTCCGCAGTGAGAATCAGTGAGACGCGAAGTTTGGCGTGTAGTGTACCGCAATGCTGGATGAAATGCATGTTCCTGAATGTGTGATCTCGTACGTACCGAGCAAGTGCGGATCCTTGTGGCGCTGGGCGAATATATCCGGACGCGATTTCGGTCAAGTGCGGCGCGTTGGGCAGATTCCTTGTCAGCCATCCACCATGATGGTAGATCTGATAGGGCAGGGGCACAACATCGTGGACGTGCAAGTCCGTTACAGCTAGTTAGTAGAACAACCAAGGCAAGACGCCATGAAACGGAAGAAAGAGTATGAAGCATGTCCTTTCGCTGGTATTATCCAGATCAAGTTCAACGGTATTTCTCAGATCGAGTCATGCGGAAGCAATCCTCGAACACCCGTCATGCTACATACGAAAAGTCCTCCACTTACCTGTCCCCGAGCCTTCTATCAGCTGCGGTGGTAGGCTCACTGTGACACCACTGCATGCCTAAGCAGACGCGACCCCATTCTCCGCCGAGTTAGCATCATCCGTGGTATCCGAGCTGTCGTCGACCTCCTTGAGATTTCCAAACCAGTCGTTCCGGGACTTGCGCCACCACTCCTCCAGCGCAATGACTGTGATGCCAGACATGATGACAATGCAGTAGTTGAACAAGCTTGCATCCCCGTCGATAGCACTATCACCGTACTGCGGAGCGCACAGCACCGAAAAGGCGAAACTGTTCCAAATAAAAGTCACAACGGCGCAGAGGACTCCCGCTCGCCCCAGATCCCAGAAGCCTGGTTGAAAGGACTTGCGGGTGATGAAGGCGCGGCCAAAACCGACCAAGCCATACGCCGCAATGGAACCAGCAGCAGAGGTCGACGTCAAGCTGTAAAAGGCAACTTGGGAAGGCAACTGGGTGCAGAGCAGGAGAGCGGCGCATGTCGAAATAAAAATGACCGCGTTATGCGGTTGCTTGCTCTTCGACACGCGGGAGAGTACATCGCTGAACGGGAAAACGGAGTCTCGCGCGATGGCAAAGACCAGTCGGGAAACGGCGACAAGTGAGATGGATGTGTTCAGAACCGCTCCGATGATAGCGACTGTCGTTGCCACGGCGTGAGCATGGGGGCCCAGAGCCATGGCATACATGTTGATGAACGGCTGGGGTACACTGGTGTCGTAGAATGTCTCGATCGGGGGCATGCAGAACAGGAAGAGGATGATAATGGGGAATCCGCAGAGGGCTGAGGCCACAGTTGACCAGAACACTCCTTTCGCGGCGGATTTCCTGGCCGTGAGCGTTTCTTCGGCGACATGGCCAGACGCATCCTGGCCGACGAGGCAGCTGGCAGGGAGATACCAGGACAGAACCCAGTTCAGGCTAGGGGCTGTACCTCCCCCGTTGTATGTGGAGGTGAAGACGTACTCCGCGGATCGGAAGCCGTATGTTTTGGAGACTCCGATGGGCAGCCAGATCACATTAAGCAGAATGTCGACCACGATGACGATGAAACTTGCGCGGAAAACCCACGCATAGGACCGGGGCGGAAGAAAGTTCAGCGAGGTTGCAAGTGCCAGGAACAGCAACGACAAAGCCCAGGCAACCGCGCGAGCCTTGACCTCGGATGTCTCATATGGCATCGACGTGTTCGGGTTGAAGGCCACCACCTCGGAAATGACATAGTTGGCCACTCCAAACGAGTCGGTTGCCAGGAACGAAGTCCAAGCGACCAGCGTCCAAGCCGCAACAAGGAAAGAGACAAACCGGCCGATCTTGCCGCCTCCCCAGGAGCGAAAAGCCCAGTAGTAGATCGATCCTGCTGCAGGGTAGGTGGAGCAGGCCTCTGCCAGAGTGGCAGCGGTGATGATGGCCACAATACTTCCAGAAATCCATGAGCTCCACCTTCTCACGCGTTAGCTGGACTCAGACAAAGACGATCGAACAGAAGACATACATAGCAGCTGGTCCCCCGGCGCTCAGGGCAATGTAGAAAAGCACGCGAATACCGCCAATGCAGTACAGCGCGGAGAACGAGCAGGCAAAATTGTCGAATGCACCCCATGCGCGGGCCAACTCGGATCGATAGCCCAGTTTCAGCAGCTGCAGGTCATCCTCGTCTTCTTCTGCAACATTGGCCATGGGTCGTTTCTCTTGGCTCTCTTGGCCTCCTTGGCCGAGCTGGGCAATGGGCATAGCGGCGTCCATGGCTTGTTGACAGTCTTGCTTTCTGTAATGGAGTCGTGGCAATCAATCCTGCTTCGAGATGAATGAAGAGCAAAACTCGAAGAAACAACCAGGACCGCACAAACAGGGGCCGATTTTTTGGAACTTTTTTCCTGTGCGGTTCAGAAATCGCTAAGTGACCAATCACAGTCGGAGATGCAGGACCGTTGTTGATGCCTCATATTTCAGGCGCCACTTTCTCTGAATGTCTAACCATGTGTATCCAAGAACTGACAGAGTCTTTCCAGGTGATAAATTTAGGATTTTTCTCAACATCTTTGGTTGACTGATAATTAAAAAAAGTGTGATATTATGGGGTCAGTGCCAAAGTATAGAAGTGATCTCTAAGCTCAGCTGTATATCTTGCTTCATATTAGCACAATTATATTGAAGCATGAAACTAGGTAATACTAGTGGTAAAATATTCCTTTTCTTCACCTTCACAATCATCCAAGACGTGCGCCTGATAAGTCTGTCTATAGTTCTCGGAAACTGCTCCGCATTAAACTTATTCCACAGGCATATCAGGTCATGTCGTAGTCTACCCATTGCTGTAGTTCGACGCAAAAAGTACTGCTTTAGTACCATCAAGTGATAGCACCATGCCGTATTCAGCTGTCTATCGGGAGTGGAAGTTGCCTGAGATCACATTTTTGATGTTGCTCTTGCGGCCAGAGATGGATTTCCTAATCGCACAGGCTAACAGATTGGCTCATCCCAAGCAAATGCTCAGGGCACTGGCACTTCTCAGGCAGACAACAGGCGAGTTGGCAGACTCCTTCTCGATCGTACCCAAGCTACATGGAGGCAGCGACTCCGACGCTTGTGGGATGGCCTTTGTGGCACGGGTAGCATTGGCGATGAGATGACCGGGACAAGGGGAAAGAAGAAAGAAAAAAAAGGAATGCTTGGAAATTCAATGCCTAAAATCCAAAACCCCTAATACTTCCTGAAGCATATCACTCTAGTCTTTTGAAGTAATCAAACACTGTATGTGCGCGACAACCAGAGCCCAGCTGTATAATCTTACTGCACAGTGATTGAGGAGACAGAGTCTGTTTGGTCGAAAATCACCTCCATTGAGCCACGTCGGTAGCACAGTAGCACCTCACAAAGGAAACTCACGGGGATTGTCGTGTACAATACGTGAATTGTGATTTTCTAGTAATGGCGTCACAGCATTATACCCGTGAGCGTTGTGAAGATACGCTAATTTCTTAGCAACAGACTCATCCTCTCGTCGCCATCTTAGAAATGACCAACCCGGCATTTTCCTATCAGGTTGAAGCAGGTAGACTGGAAGAATTTTCGCTCTGTGTGCTGTGCCAAAGTCGTAGTCATGATGATTGATATCAATGTCGATAAAGACGCGGTCAACCCACACTTCAATAGCGAGAAAGCGAATCCGGTGGTCGCGTTCCCAGTCCGGGAAAACCTCCTTGACAGTTTCGTAGGCTAAGGTACGATAGTCTTCAACATCCCGACTTTTTGTACTTATTATGACAACAATCCGTTTTGCCTCGTCATTTGCGAATATCTCTCGGCGGATATCAGAGAGGCTGGCCATGACTCTCGTGCAATTGCAGGCTATGTAACGGGAGTCGAAGATGAAAACACTTATAGAGAGGTGACGAAGTTGGGTTGCTAAACAGTAAGAATTGCTGGGGAGGAAAGTTAGAATTGGATCCCTTCTTATACCACGCGCCATTGACTCAGCGAGAGAGAACGGTACCTACATAATATTTGATGTTCCGAACATAGGATAGCCAAGACACCTGTTGATTTACTAAATACTATATAAGCATAGCTTGGGGAAAAGGCACATATGCTGCGCAAGCTAAAGAGACTGTTAGTCCTCCTACTGCATTCTGAGTTCCTTTGATGGCTGAAGTAATGAGATAATATAATAGAGCCACCAAAAAGTGAGGCCTTTCACAAATCACATGAGAAACACTGCATAGTTAGGTTGAGGTTATCTGATTATGGGAGATTTCGTTCGAATCCAAGCAAGTAAGAGACATTGAACCATTGGGATGTCAGCCCTTACATTATTAGGGTGTTCAGCCCACAGCATGGAGGCTACGTATTCAATCCAATTGGTCAGAGATGTGTGCACTAGGTAGTCACATAGTGAGAGTGTTGCAACCACCCCCGCTTTCTTTCCTCTTCCCATGCCACCATTCTGAAGCGGAAACCAATCCGATTTGGCAAAGCCGTCTTAGATTGGCCGTCCAGTCCAGTCCTACCTATTCATTTTGCGGCAATGAGTGGCAGTCTGGAGTGTGTGCAGATGCTAGTTCGTGAGGGGGCCAATATCCATGATGTCAATAGGCATGCGAAGACGCCGTTACACTTTGCAGTGGGGGAAAGGAGTGTATGGGCTGGGGAACAGAGGGCTGAGGAAGATGAAACAGCACTACTGAAATACTTTATTGCCGCAGGGGTAGATGTTAATGTTTTTTCATCCTCTGGCACGAGCCCGCTATGGTACGCAGTTCAGTCAGATAATCTTCCTGCTATCAGAGAGCTACTTGCTGCCTCGGCGGATATACAGCTCCGCAACCTCTACGGGGAAACTGTGCTGCACGAAGCGGCGTACCATAGTTGTCTGGCTGTGGTGCAGGTGCTGGTACAAGCCGGCACAGATCTCCATGCCCGGAGCAAGACAAATGCATCGGTTCTCCACCGAGCGGCAGAGGCTGGTCGTGTAGATACTCTACAGTGGATTCTGGATCATAGCCGCTTGACTGTGAACGAAACTGGTAGCCATGGCTGGACCCCGTTGCACCATGCTGTCTTCGCCGGCCAAGCTACTATGGCCAAGTTCCTGCTCGAGCACGGGGCTGACCCGACGATCGGTTCAAGTCCCGGAGGCCACGCGGCTTTACACTATGCCGCGCGTTCAGAGCGAAACGAAACCGGTGAGTGGAAAGAGGATTCCACACTGGTGCGCTACCTGGTCCAGTATGGCGCTGATGTCAACGCACCTGCTGATGCGGGCTGCTGCTCATCCGGCGGGGAGACGGGGGAGTATCTGCATGAATGGTTCTTTGATGCACAACCAGACGAGCCACCTGAGGAACTTGTCTATCCAATTCACTGTGCTGCTTCCTCAGGTATGCCTAGCAGGGTGGAGGCTCTGCTAGAAGCAGGTGCTGATATCCAAGCAAGAACAAGTATATATGGCAGTACTCCTCTCCACCTGGCCGCGAGGACAAGTGGACCAGAGATGGTTCGCTTTCTCCTTCGCAATGGCGCGGACCCTGAGGCAACAGACACTGCTGGTTGTAAGATGGCGCATCATCTGGTGTTTGCGATGCGGCGGACGCCGCGGAAAGCAATGGAGTTTCTGGTGGAGAATCAGTTATGGGATGCGTCGACAGTGGAGGAAGATTTAGAAATGATCAAAGTATATGAACAGATGGCCAAGTGCTTAAGGACAAGGAATTTTACCAACATAGTGGGCTGATCGAATGAGATCAATCTCACCAAAAGGATCTCCTCGCAGATGAATACGTTGCAGGGTCATAATAGGTTTCCTTGATTGCCTTGCAGTGATAATAGGGTGGTGACAGGGGCTGATTCCTACTTGAGCAGAGCATACTGCTATTGTCTGATGTCACCACTATACTCTTTCATCTGTTGATTGTTCAGTACCCCATATATACGGAGTAGTCTAATCAGGGTCTCAGCTCTTGAACGCATCCATCCCACGCATCCGTGGGGGCAGTATTTGCGGAGGCGTGGGGGTGCAATGTGCAAACTCTGAGAATGCGGGGGACTTTTCCGGGGACTCGACAGGTGAATATCAGTCGGATGGAGTACGTACTGTATTAGATCGACTTGACTCTCTGTTAGCTCAGCTGATTCAATGGCCGGCTAAGCTCGGACCGTATGAATGGCCCAGACTGTGTGCCGAAAGCTTCAACCCCGTGGAGAAAATCAAGGACAACGCGTGGGGGTGCATACGCCTACTCGATATAAAGAGTTCAGATCGTCCTGTTGACTAGAACTTTCCGTCAGCCGAGCATCTGGCCTTCTCCTGCTCAAATCACCGTTCACAATGACCTCCAAACCAGCTTCCTTCCACGATGAAGGCCAGGAATTGGCCAAACCCACCGGCCTCGACGCCATTTACACCGTTCGGATTCCCCTCACAGAAGAAGACAGCAAGCGTATCCGTCGCAAGACCGACCGTGTTATTCTCGTCATTCTGGTCTGGGTATACTTCCTTCAGATTCTGGACAAATCTGTGCTGGGCTACGGCGCCACATTCGGCCTCCAAACCGACACCCACCTCACGGGCAACCAGTACTCGCTTGTGGGGTCAATCTCCCCTATCGCTCAGCTGGCCTGGCAGCCATTCTCTTCGTTCTTGATCGTCAAAGTGCCGCATCGAATCCTGATGCCTGCGTTGGTGCTCGGGTGGGGGATCGCGCAGACATGCATGGCGGCATGCCATAACTTTGGCGGCTTGATGGCCACGCGGTTCTTCCTGGGTCTTTTCGAGGCCGGCTGTTTGCCGCTGTTTTCTATCATCACGAGTCAATGGTATCGCCGTGCCGAGCAGCCGATTCGTGTCGCGGCCTGGTACAGTACCAACGGGTTGGCGACGATCGTGGCCGCCGCCCTATCCTACGGCTTGGGACATATCAAGTCGGATCTGCTAAAGGAGTGGCAGATGTAAGCTGCATCACAGAACATCGAAATCACAAGCTAATTGGCCCAGCATCTTCCTCTTCGTCGGCCTCCTCACGGTCCTCTCCGCCCCAATCGTCTACTGGCGCCTGGACAACGACATCGTCTCCGCCCGCTTCCTTACCGAACAAGAAAAGCTGCAGGCGATGGAACGTCTCCGCGCCAACCAGACCGGCGCCGGAAGCCGCGAGTTCAAGCTCTCGCACGTCGTCGAAGCCGGCCTCGAACCAAAGACGTACCTGTGGATCGCGATGGCGATGCTCCTCAACATCGGCGCCAGCGTGACTAACGTCTTTGGCCCGCTGATCCTCAAGGGCCTCGGCTTCAACAAGTATACCACCACCTTGCTGAACATGCCGTTCGGCGCGCTGCAGTGGATCGTGATTCTGCTGGCTAGTTACCTCGCGCAAAAGGCCCGGTTGAAGGGCGCGGTCCTGGCGGCGTTCATGCTACCGGTGATTGCCGGGCTGGCGATGCTGCACGCCCTGCCGCGCAACGGGTCGGTTCAGGGCGCTCTGATGGCGGGATACTATCTGCTCTCGTTCCTGTTTGCCGGGAATCCGCTGGTGGTGTCGTGGATGGTTGGCAATACGGCCGGTATGACGAAGAAGTCGATTGTGATGAGTCTGTACAATGCGGCGAGCTCCGCAGGTAATATCGTCGGACCGCTCCTGTTCAGCTCGGCGGATGCGCCGACGTACCATCCCGGTCTGCAAGCTTGTCTGGGGATCTTTGTGGCGCTGGTCGCTGTCGTATTAATCCAGTGGGCCGATCTGGTCCTGCTGAACAAGCTACAGGAGAAGAAGCGAGTGCGGAATGGGAAGCCGGCCAAGATGGTGGATCGCTCGATGCAGGATCAATATCATGGCGCAGGGGGGGATGAAGAGGATATGCAGCAGGAGATGGGCAACAACGGACTGCTGGATGTGACTGACCGGGAGAATGATGAGTTTGTATATATCTATTGAGATTTGCAGAAAAGAGTTCCCATCAAGACCATATGTGGCAGCCTAAGATCTGTCTCAAACTCGTAGAAGTGATTGGCCGCCTCAATTGCCGGATACGGGCAATAATGAGCATCATGATACTTACACTTTGCTCTGCCCCACCCATCACATGGAGGAGCTTACCTATTAATAAAGGATCTCGTTCCCTTTCACCAGATCACATCAAGTCAGAGAGTACAATCCACCCAAAGTGAGTTGCAAATATCCAACGTGCAATTATGAGGTTCTCTCAAGCCATGTCAAAGGCAGCATCTACAGTAGGACAGACCGCTGCCAGATACATTTATCCCGCAGAAACCTCCCGTCATATCGCAACCATCTTGGGATTCCCGTCCAAACACTCGATCGCTTCAGCCTACTATGACAGTGCTTGTACCGACATCGCCAATCTCGCCTCCGCAATCTCAGCCTTCGAGCCAGTCCGGTTGTATTCGCGACCTGAAGATCTCCCAAAAGCCCAGTCGATGGCCAGCCAGGCCATTTCAAAATATACCGGCAACACCTCGAATATCTCCTTCATCCCCTTTCCCACGAATCATCTCTGGGTTCGGGATACGGGGCCCGTATATGTCCTCGGCACTGAAGCAGATGCCCGCTCGAGCCGGTTCGCGATCAACTTTCGGTTCCGCGAGTGGGGGAAGAAAGACGAGATTGAGAGCCACGAGCGCGCCGCCGATGGGCTTGACTGGCCGATCATGAATGCTGAGCAACTACACGAGAACGCGACTTTCGCCCGGAGAGTCATAGAGTCTGATGTCTCTCCTGCTCCAGTGACACTCGTCGAATCCAGAGTCTGCCTGGAAGGCGGCGCATTAGTCGTGGACGGGGACGGTACCCTCCTGGCTACAGAAAGCAGCATCATCAACGACAACCGCAACCGGGGCCTTTCGCGAAGCGAGATCGAAACAGAGCTACGCCGCTTGCTGGGTGTTGAGAAAATCATCTGGTTCCCAGGCAGGAAAGGTCTCGATATCACCGATGTCCATGCTGACGCTGAGGTCAACTTTATCCGGCCTGGTGTTGTTGTTCTTTCGAGGCCGCATGCGAGTGTGCCTCGGCCGTGGCTTGAAGTTTACGAGGAAATCCGAGACATTCTTTCTCAGTCAGTGGACGCAAAGGGTCGTCCTTTCGAGATCCATATGGTGGACGAGCCGGACCCTGATGTTCTTGGGCATCTGTCCTACGAAGAACCGGCGACCAACTATGTGAACTTCTACTTTGTCAATGGCGGCTTGATCCTCCCTCAGTTTGGTGATGAAGTGAGAGATCGGGAGGCTGTGGAAACATTTCGAAAGCTATGTCCTGGCCGAGTGATCCGGCCTGTGTATGTGCATGCACTTCCATTAGCTGGTGGTGTGATTCACTGTGCGACTCAGCCTGTGATCGCTGTGGAAGAGGACTAAACAGGTGGTAGAATAGGAGTGACCTGCCCAATTGTAGATGTTTCGAGTACGAAAGGACGTTGGAATGGCATATGATTCAATAAATCCCCCGGAAAGAAATGGCTGTTTGTTCTTGTTCCTCCTTGTGTTAGAATTCCAGCATCGCCAACCTTTGACACTGACCTCACCTCTTGTTAGGATGGCACCAAACCGAGAGCCTTGTCTCGGAGATTACTCTGTGCTGTTTCTTGAGTGACCAAAGAGATTAGACCCTGTTCTGATCATCCCCTGTTCCCATTCTCACCCTCATAACCAACCTGAGGCTAGGCAGCAAGACTACAAGACTAGCGACTCTAGCCGACATAAATATGAGTCACGTAATTCAACAACACAAGTTTCCTCTCCCTTCACAATCCCATATTCCCTACAATTATGAAAACAGCATCTCTCCCAACTAAATGCCTCCTGGAACCCGTCAATTTCCACGACGCAGACCAATTCGCCGAGCTACACAGACAGCGCACAATCTGCGGCTGGGACTCCGACCCCCAGACCTTAACAAAATGGAAGGGAAAACAACAAGAGAACCTGAAAGCCCTCTTCTGGGTCACCATCCCCAATCCCAGCACCGGTGATGAGAACAAGAATGACAACGCCATCGCCATCCGCGCAGGCCACATCGCCCTCGACGCATACTGTGACCCGCCGGAGCTCGACCTCGCGCGCGCAGACAAGTCCGTGCTGGCAATCAGCTCGTTCTTCATCCTACCTGAATACCGCTCGTACGGGCTGGGACGACGTGCCATGCGCTTAGTCGAAGAAATGGCCATCGCGGAGCCATATGGCAGCCCGCGCTGTCGCTTCATTGCGCTCACTGCGCTGAGCAAACGGTATGTGTATGACGAGGGGCCCGAGTGGCGGGGTCTCTGGGGGAGACTGGGCATGTCGCCGCCGTCGTTTAGCATTCAGGAGTGGTATGAGAGCCTTGGGTATGTGAGCTGGAAGGAGGAGCCGCTTTATGAGGAGAGGACGCTGGATGGTGAGGTGGTTAAGCTATGGGAGGCGTTTATGAGGAAGGAGGTGCAGTCGGAGTCTTCTGTCTCGTGATGAGCATAGACTGCAGTGCTCAGGGGAATGACTCGTTCAATTGGTCTTCTCGAAATCTGTGAAGTAAAGGTTGGTTTCGTATATCCCTATCTTAATATTGTCATAGCCTCCGCATTTGGCTATTTGGCGTGCATCAAATCTTGGGAAAATGACAATCAGCAAATCACGGCATGAACTTTGATATAGCCGAGAAACTTGTCCATATGCAAGCAAGACGCGATGTGTCTCTCTCGAGTATCGCTTAGTCTTAGATACAATGCATTGTTCGTTCTCCCATGTATCGGCTGAGACAAAGGATGGGTAAAACAATGCTTTAATGTCTAGAAAGAGGTCTCACCGTCTCACCGTAACTATTGAATTCTATTCAATTGCTTGCTCAAGCATTGTTTTCTGAGGTCATGAGAACAAAGAACAGGGCATTCTATTCTCCCTACAGTTCATGATTTCTACACATCGGCGGTGCCGACGCAATGCGGCAGCTGTCTCATGCTCAGGCATGACAAACTCAAGACAGGTGATGCCATATCTAAGACAATTGCAGAAGTAAGCTCTATAAATCTTCCCTGCCTTCTCAAGATTAGTTGACTTTCTCTTCGACGCCTTTCTGCAATCATCCACTCTGTTCAACTCAGTACCTCTCTCAAGGCTTATTCTGCGATTGTCATTCGGCACTGAAAATGTCATCAGAACGGTACAAAATCTCCCTGTCCGGTCTGAAGTATCTCGAGTCTCCGGAACTCTGGAAGATCATCGAGTCAGACGGTGAGCTTGCACCCCATGCCAAAGACATTGTGCAGAAACGCTTCATCGCCAACAACATCTACACCGTACCCAGCGCCAAAGCCTTCAGAAATCTGACTGACCACACATCCGACCCCATCGCTGACATTATTAGGTACGACCGTGTCAAAACCCTGAAGAGTCTCGTCGACGCCGGCCTCAGCCTCCAGCACTACAGCCGCAGCGGCTGGAAGCTCCTCGGCCTGGCTCTGGCCTCCAAAGCCGAACGCATCTCCCGGTACATCATCGACTCGTCCTCTCCGGAGGACCTCTGCGGACGCATAGGCGCCATCAACGACTGCGAAGAGGGCACGTTCCTCTCTCTCGCCGCAACCTGGGATGCATCGATCTTCGCGCAATTGTGGGACCGCATTCGCCACCTCCCCAGCAACCAGCGCAGATTGTCCGACGACGCCATTTACGCGCTGTGCAGATTCTGCGATGCCCGTTTGGCGGAGTGTCTGATGGCTGATGGGGTCGATCTGGCTGCGTTTGTTCATGGCACCTCGGGCGAGACGGCCTGGCATGCGGCGGCCGAGTGTGCCACCGATTCGGAGTTTCTCGAGTGGATTGCGGTTCGGTCGCCGGAGAATATCAATAGAAAGACACTGGGTGGTATGACGCCTCTCATGAAGGCTGCCGTCTTCAATCGTTTTCCGGAAGTCGCCGTCTTTCTGCTCTCGTGTGGCGCCGATCCAACACTTGTCAATGATGCGGGTGATACGGCAGCCAGTCTGGCGCGGCAGTATGGTAACCAGGCTTTGGTGGATTTGCTCATGAGTGAAGAGTAGTTGTTGGTTTGTTTTCTGTTGAAGCTCGCTGTATGGTGCTGAATCTGTCGTTTGCCGTCCTATTTGCATTGAGTGGTGTTTTTTATTGTCTCGTGAGTGCGTTGTCATTCTCATCCGTCTGTTGTCTGTCCCTGTCATATCCAATTTGAAAGCATATCGCGGTTCATCAACATAGCTTCAATGTATCACCGCAATTGGCGTAGGCGTAGTCGTAGTACCTGGACTTTTGATGCATGTGCAGGGATGATCCCACCCTGATTCGCCATCAGGCATGGCTTTGATGCATGAATATGCGTCTCGCCCCTCGGTTCAGTCGGTGAACTGGAGGTGATCCATCGACCCTTACCCCGCCATGCCTGCATACCGAAAGACTGAAAGATGACAGTCGGTGACTCAGTTTTCATCGAAAACTTACCTTTATACACAGTTACAATCATACCCGACAGCCTCGTAACTCACAGATGCATGTCATTATAGTTGGCGGGGGAATCGGCGGACTCGCCGCCGCGACAGGACTCCGTCGTGCCGGCCACAAGGTCCAGGTGAATATCTGTTAGCACAGGTTGATTCTAAGCAGAAACTAAGCATGGCAGATCTTCGAACGCTCCTCGTTCCTCCGCGAAGTCGGTGCCGCGATCCATGTCCAGCCAAACGCCGCCCGGATCCTCTTACACTGGGGGTTCGACCCTAGAAGAGCCCGCTTGGTGACAGCTCGTCGGACAATGGTAATACCAGGAACATCGCTCACGTCGAAAGTCGGAGTAGATTGCTCCCACTTTGCTGAAACCTACGGTGCACCATGGTATCTGGCTCATCGGGTCGACCTGCACTCGGAACTGCGACGCTTGGCGACAACCCTGGACGCGCCGGGAATGCCCGTGGAGATCATGCTGCGATCTGAGGTTGTGAGCTTCGATGCTGAGAATGGGTCGGTCACTTTGTCTGATGGGTCAATTCATCGGGCGGACCTTGTTGTCGCTGCAGATGGTGTGCATACTACCGCCATTCACCAGGTCATCGGCCATGCCACGCCGGCTGTCTCTACGGGCTCCGCTGCGTTTCGGTTTCTGATTCCGACGGAGGAGATCCAGCAGGATCCAGAAACGGCGAAGCTTCTGGAGGATGGTGTGATGAGGATATACGTTGCGGAAGGTGTGCGACGACTGATCTGGTATTCGTGCGCCGAGTAAGACCATGAGCCGTTGACTATTGTGACGCGTCAACTCATGAGGATCAGTAACACCGTAGAGAATTTCGTGGGCTTACATATGGATGATCGTAACGATGGTCAAAAGGAAGGTTAGTATCGATATCTGTGCAGTTCGCCGCAGGTAACTGACCGTCTCTGGGATAGACTGGGACTTGTCTGCAGATGTCAACGACGTTCTGGCTCAGTACCACGACTTCCACCCAACGCTTCTCAAAATCATCAAGTAAGCCTGCCAGCAGCCAGCCCATCTGGCACACTAACCAAGTAACAGAAAAGCAACAAGCATCAAACGATGGCCGCTTCTCTACCGCGATCCCATCCCAACCTGGACTCGCGGACGCCTTGTGCTAATTGGCGATGCAGCACACCCAATGCTCCCTCGTAGGTCCTTTGCCCGTGCCCCGTTGAAGTGCTCTGACCTCTCCAGACCAGGGTCAAGCCGGCGCCCAGGCGATCGAGGACGCCGGTGCCTTGGGTGAGCTCTTCGCTAGCATGCCGGATCACCCGACACAAGACGAGATCCGGACCCGTCTAGCGCTGTTTGAAAAGGTCCGTATCAACCGTGCATCCGTGATACAAATCTTCTCCAATGCCGGACAGGACGAGGGCTGGAAGGTCAAGGAACGCGCGCAGCAGTACATGCCGGAAGGCGCCAAGGTCCCTTCGTCCCCACCGGAGTTTATGGAGCATAATGCGATGTGCTGGAGGATAGCCGGCGTCAGCTGAAGTTGTATCTGAGTCATTTGGATGTTTGAGTTACTCGGACTATACACCTATACGTATGTGAGTTCATTCACATATTGGTTGTAGGCCTGTGAGCTTGGTCTTTGCTTGAATCTATCAACAACACTACTATGGAATCTCTTGTGCTTTAGCAGCCCTTACACTCCTTCACCCAAAGAGGGGCATTCTGGAACTGGCCGTCTTCCCCACCAACCCAGTAAACCTCCTTGCTCTCTCCAGCATCAGCCAACACGCCGAATAGAGTCTCCCCCCCAACGGTGAAGTATCCCTCGTCATTCACCCCAAAGCCGGTCAGGTTGGCTCCGGCAGGAGTGGCGCCCGAATGAGGAACAGTCAAAGCAATAGGCTCGTTGGTGTCCTGGACGACGTACAGATTCTGCCAGCCGGTCGGGGTCTGGTCTTGTGCTGTGTAGCTGACCATGCCGTTGCTAGCTGGTCTCACTGTTGTGTCGTTAGCTCTGGTATCTTCAGCCGGTGTGAAAACGTACAGAGGAGGATGGGATGGGTGGTCGCGTCGGCGCCAATAAAGGCATTGGCTAGAAAAGCATTGTTAGTCCGTTTGTCATTGAGTGATGGGATATCGACTTACTTCCATCAGTGAGGACAGTGTATCCGCCCTCTGCGACTAAGGTGAAGGCCTCTGGGAGGGTGGCTGCGACAGTGGCTGCGATGAAGGAGGAAGCAGCAGCGACAGAGAACTTCATTTTGATGACGGGAATAGCTTGGTTGTAATTCTCAGTGAGGAATGGGCCTCTGGCAGGTTTATATATGTAGTTCAGGAGGCATTGAAGTGTCGGTCAATATATGGTGGAGCATGTCTCACATATTCATAGAAACTATGACTTCACACGCCAATCTGCTGCCATTACAGTAATGATCGTGCTGCTAATGTTGAATAGTATGAGGAAACGTATCAATAGGGGCTTTCCACAGGTGTCTTTGACATATCTTCGAGCTGCTGAGGTAGACCAATCTGGCCATCTGTTGTCTTGTAAGTCACACCTGTTGCCTGTTTGCTTTATGTTTCTAATGACACACCCCTAAATCTCTTGCCACCTCATGAAATGCCATAATTATTGCATGACTTATCAGTGAGGGGTCTGACGAGCTAGTTTCACATCCCCAGTTGGCGCCCCGCAACGATGTCTTGGATTAAGCATCAAAGTACGGGTGGCAGCCGAAGATGAAAAGCACCTCTCGGGGCAATCATGCAATGTAAGGGAAAGGAAATGTGTCTGAGCTGAGCCGGGTTAAAATTCAGTAACGCAAGGCCTTTAACTGTATGGACTTTGGAAGTGCGCATCCACGTACATATTCTAATGAGGAGAAGCCTGCTTGGATCGATCACCTTTCCGTGAATGATGAACATGTATGTACGGCGAATATACAACCTGCTTTTTCTCCCATTGTGCTATTACTCGGACACAGCAACAGCAGCTTCATTTCAGGGTATTAAATATTCGAGTATCAAAGTCTCTCGTCGACATCAAAGAGACACCTTCACCAAGCCCATCCATATCCCAGCGTCCAGGTACGGGGGAGGCATGGCAATAGGATCTTGGTACTTGATAACCGGAAACAGGAGATAAGTATGTCTGCTCAGTTTTTCAACGATCACAGCGCTCATATGTCTGGCAATGGCCACTACTCTAACTCAATCAATCCCGTTCTCGAGTGCAGCGATGGGTCTAGCCATCGCATCAACGATCCTCAATCAGAGGCTCAAGAGTGAGCTGCGTCCTGTTCTTTCGGCCAATAGTCGCGTGCATTACTCGAAAGTCCCAATATCTCTGGACTCTGTCTCCGATGCTACAGAAACGAGGCGGGAAGATATTCGTGGATAGCTATCAGCTGCAGTTTCAGGTTATGCTGGCGTTTGCAGTCTTGCAGACAACGATGGGTGCCATTATCTTGTTATATAGTAAACTAGGCAACATATTTCAGCCAATAGGACTGGTAGCTCAGTGGTAGAGCGTGAGATTGCAAATCTTAAGGTCGCGTGTTCGATCCACGCTTAGTCCTATTTTTTTTTTTTCCCACTCCACGTCCAGAACCGATTTAACCATAGTCACGTCTCTTTCTATTTTTCTGAAGAGAGATAAAAATAATCGATTCATAGAACAGGAGTCTCTTTTACGTATGTCCTACAGACAGTTGCGACCATAAATGTCCACTTAATAGAATCTCATCCGATTGCCTGCCAAATACGTACTTGGAAATGATCAAAGACTATGACCAAGTCTCCTTGATCAACTCCGCACATTTTTCACCAATGCCATACGCAGGCATCTGGGTATGTCCCCCATGCAGCGTCGGCATGACACTGCAATCCGCCACTCGAAGACCGGCCACTCCCTTCACCCGCAGCTTGTTATCCAGCACCGCCATCGGATTATTGTCTTTGCCCATTGCGCAAGTGCCGGCGGCGTGATAGCCTATCCTGTTAGTTGCAGCTTTGACCACCGATCTTGAGTGACTCACAAGTTGTCGCATGCTCCTTGACATACGGAATCCACTCCTCCCTCGTCTTGTATGTATGATGGTTGAGATTCGGCGGCCACGAGCCCTTGACGATATCCTTCGTCCCCGCACCGTTCATAACAATCTCGTTGCCGAAGCGGCACGCCTCGGTCAAGACGAGCAGATCCAGCGGGTCGGCGAGATAGTTGCAATCGATCACGGGGTTCTCCATTGGATCCTTGCACTTGAGCGTCACTGTGCCGCGCGACTTGGGCGCGAACAGCTCGGCGATCATGGAAAAGGCGTGTTTGTGGTCGATGGGGAACTGATTGTACTGCTTTGGTCCGCCGTAGCACTCCGTCGTGAAGAACTCGATGTTGGGCTGTTTGGGGGTGAGGCCCATGGGGTCGCGGCCGGGTTCGCGGGGTGCATCGCGCCAGAGCGGCTCGTCCTGGAGACGGTCGTCGAGTCGGGCAAATGCAAAGGAGCCGAAGGGGAAGGTGGAGAGGAATCCGGACTTGTGTTCTTTCCACTGCTGGTAGGTTTTGGCGAAGTTGTCATCGTGGTAGACGTGGAAGTCGGTCGTGAGGCCTTCCTTTTCGGTTTCGTAGAAGATGAAGACGATCTGCGACGTGAGCATCGTGTATACGTCCCCAGAGGGAATGATCTTACCAGGTGGTCCAGGAGATTCTTGCCCACGCCAGGGAGATCCACTTGGCAGGGAATGCCGTGCTGCTCCAACTCGTCGCGAGCTCCAATCCCCGAGCGCATGAGGATGGCGGGACTGCAGTATGCTCCCCCCGACACGATGATCTCCTTGCGTGCGTGGAATGTGCGCGGCGTCCCGTCTGCCAGCTGAGTGATGACGCTGGTGGCTCGGAGCCCATTGGGGCCCTGTTCGAGCACAACACGGTCCACAGTGGTGCTTGTCTGGATCGTCACATTATTGCGGTGGTATTCCTTGGTGATGAAGTCCGCCGCGGTGGACCGAATGCCCTTGTATACCGTTCGAGGGACGTGGCCGCATCCATGTGGTATGTCACCGGTGCTGAACATGTCGTGGTGTAGAGGCAGACCCTGTGAAACGAACGAATCTAGCAGGAGATTGGCGATAGGGGCCAGGTCATGGGGCTCGGTGTGCAGCGGGCCTGAATACCCGTGGCTCTTCTCGTCCGCTTCAAACCAGGGCTTGGGGTGGAAGGTTTCCGCCTGTATAGTCAGTATATCCCACATCTACTTTCTGTTGTGAAAAGCTACCTTTCTCATGGCAGCAAAGAACTCCTCGCCACTCCAACCCTCCAGTCCCCAGTCATCGTAATCCTGTTTGGCACCTCGAAGGCACAGTGTGCCATTGCATCCACTAGAACCGCCGAGAAACCGACCACGACTCAGTTTCACCTGGCGATTGTCGACTCCGGGCATGGGGGTTGTCACGAGGTTCCAGTCGGTCTCCGAGTCAAAGTTGTTTGACCATCTAGACCGAGCGTCAGCGAGGGGACGATGAGATCAACTTAGTACACCACATACCCCCCGGCCATGTGTACATTTTCCAGGTCGCGATTGTGTTGTCCGGCTTCGATGACGAGGATTTTGATATCGGGATTCTCGGCGAGACGGCCTGCGACTACACAACCGGAGGTTCCTCCTCTGGAAAGGGTGAGTTAGTGGCAACGAGCGGTATACGTGATGGTATACTCACCCACATATAATGTAGTCATATACGTCTTGCGTGTCCACACACGAACCCATGATGTCTCTAACCGTCTTTCTTGTTCGAAGAATTGAGATTGAGAAAAGTGACAAAGTCTGGTTGAAGCAGCATCTCGATGAACAACCCCCTTTATTATCATGGACGACGGCGTTCATGTAAAGGAGGGGTAAAGGCGCAGCTAAGTCTCTGTGTCACCAAGCCATTCACTCCTGCCACTCCTGCGAAGACTCAGGAGAGCCACTGTCTAACCATGATTAGAGGGGAAGGATGCAGCATGTCCAAGCGGGGTCGACGCGGAGGAGACCTAAGCTGTCAACGACTCAAATGGTGCTGCTCATCCGGAAAACTAGATCCAGGCCGCTGTGTGACGACTGAACTCTATTAGCCTGATGGACGAATATGGTCGTTTATGATGGTCTCTCATTGGAGCTTTTTCGGGAAACCTCGACGCATTAACGATCCCTCTTCTGATGAACGGGTCAACAACCAGAGAGATTGGGGCCAGAACTCGTCCAGCAGCAACACGGGATTCTGGCGAGAAATTGCTCCTGAGAGAACTAGTCTGTATCTATTTCTGCATCATCCCTGCTGGACTCCTCTCGGCGGAAAGAACCGGCGATCGTTCCCACGGACAGACAGCTTGTGACACGTCCTCGTCCATGGATGTTCTGTAATCTTCACCATTGATATTCGGTCGACTCCAGAAGTGGAAAAGGTAGAAAAAGAAATGCTATAGTCAATCGGATGGAATCTTCTCTGCAGAACACAACCCCCATGCATAATCCAGTTCTCAGAGCCAAGAGTGCACACACATATGACAGGTCGCCTCCGTACACCTCCAAGTTCAACGGGCTTGACTGATATTGAGACGGCTGGAAATCACCCCAGAAAAATAGTGGATCCGATCTGCCCCTGGCCAAAGACGGGCTGCTCCCCGAGAGTGCCATGCTGCTCTTTTACTGGTTCTGGTAACCGGTTGTGCCTTGTCGCTTGGACACCAAGGTAATAGGCCTAAATCACCCGCTAGAGTCCACTTTCCGAACTCCGACGGTGTCAATCTAGTAAATGTACTTTGGAGCCAGAACCGGAAAACAGTTACCTAACTTGTGAGGACACGGGGCTGGCCATTTCCAATTTCTCTCACCCATAGAAAGCTACGGGCATATACGGTACGTAATGCACTCTGGATAATTTTATACTACAGACTGTTGGGGAAGCTGACGCCGCACCAATACAGGCCAATCAACTCTAAAAACGAGCATGGGACGTTAGCTGAATGGTCATTGAGTCTAGACTCTCTCTTCAATTGCTCGTACCATTAGTGTGTAGATAGATACGCCGTAGTAGGGATGCGATGCGTTTCCTTGCTCGGGGAGAAGGCAATCGTCCGCCATTAAGATCTCGCAGATTGCTCACTTGCAGTTATGAGGCAGAAAAGAACAAATCCCCTATCACGCAGAGTACTGTAGTCTGTAAGAGCCCCGAAGAGATATGGCATTATTAAAAGCAGCGGATTTGTTCAAAGCGCCACCTCCTCCGGGATGGGGACAGCCTCGTATTTCTCTTTCCGGTCCCACATCAGCCAACTCGATTTCACTTGCTGCCCTCAGGAAGCCAAGACAGTGTAGAAAGTACGGACATTATGTTGGTTCCTTCAGATAGCAATACTCCTGTTGTGTCAGTCTTTATCAAAGAACGTACAACAGCAGAATCACTCGAGTGGAGCGCCACTTAGAGCAACGACTTTGTCGACAATGGCATTCTTCCAGCAGTTGCCACCTGGAACTCGTTTGTGAACCCTAAATGCAACTTTCTCTGAGTAAAACCCCGGTCAGGGGTGCTTTAGACTTTCGACGATCGCCATCAGCCAAGGAGACTGGACTGCAGGCTAGAGAATAATGGTATGGAAGCTTCGATCATCCATGCTGCACTCTTGTTGCACCATTGACCAACATCCTGGAAGGTCCTCCCGGCAATAATCCAACAAGACATTGTCTCATACTCGAGACAGGGCGTCGACGACTAATCTTATTGATCTGCAGATCATCCCAAACGAGTCCCTTCGTCTCGCTAGATTTTCCGCTTTTGCGAGAGGTACCCTAAATCTATCCACCTTACCAGTCAACGAGAGCCCACAGGACTGGATCGGGAGCCTGCAAACCTAGATGGCCGTTCTCGGAACCCAATTCTTGTCTCGACGTCTGGGTTCCTCCTGAGGTGCACCTCCAATGCCCTGATGAAGACAAAGCTTGAAGGTATACTTCACCGGACGCAACACCACTAACTATATCTGCAAGTGGACCTGTCACTTCCTGGTGCATGGGTGGCAAGCCCCATCCGGGACAAGTCGTGCTGGGGTTCATTTAAGATACAGCATCTAAGACATCAGGCATCGTACGATCGCTTGGAATCGTCCCACGCTCTGTCCTTGCTCATTTATCCAGTCTACCAAGATGGGACAGGCAACTCCATTCCAGAAGGAGGCTTGGACGGAATACGGGATCGGGGTTTTCATCATTCTTGGCCGGATATTTGCACGATGGAAGGTGGTTGGAGTGAAGAACTGGCAGGGCGATGATTACTTTGCCATCGTCTCATTGCTCTTTTGGACGGTGGGTTCTCGCGCCTTTGGCAGAATGACATATCGGAATACTGACGGAGATGTATGCAGGCCGAGCTCACTATGTTGGAACTCATCGGTAGGTGACCTGGACCAATCTGCGATGTTTAATTGACTGACTGTGCAGGCCAACATGGTGCCAACATTGGCCTCAGTGCTGCTCAGCGAGCCGCCATGACTCCGGAGCAGGTCAAGAGTCTTGTCATCGGCTCCAAATGTCTGCTTGCCGGATGGACCTGCTACGTGACGCTCATCTGGTCGCTCAAGGCCTGCATGCTGTTCTTCTATAACCGCTTGACGTATGTTTTCCTGTCACCCTCCAGACGAGATGCTGACCTTGGTAGACTGGGTCTTATGCAGCAGAAGCTCGTCAAGGTCAACGCAGTGCTGTGCCTGTGTACCTATGTCGCGGTCATCTTCACCATCTTTTTCCACTGCCACCCGATACAGAAGCATTGGCAGATAAACCCGGATCCTGGAGGTAGGTAGCAACACTGAAGTTCTGCATATGACGATGGGATGCTGATGCAGGATAGCCAACTGCACCGTCGACTCCATCAACTACATCGTCATCGCTGTAACCAACGTCTCGTACGTCTCATATAACGAATCAAGCCGCGAAGAGACTAACCAAAGCAGAACGGATGCCATCCTTGTCACGATTCCGATTCCCCTATTAGCCAAAGTCCGATTAGCACTGCGCCGGTACGCGAATCACCTCCTAACCTGCAGAGCCGAGCACTAATGGAAACAGAAAACTCGTCATCGGCGTCCTCCTCTGCGGCGGTGTCTTCGTCATGTGCGCAACCCTCCTCCGCTGCATCCTCTCCCTACAGAGCATCGACAGCATCAACACGAGCACCATCTGGGCCATCCGCGAAACCGTACTTCCCCTCCCCAAGCAACTTCCCTCCTCTGAACACCAACTAACCCAGCCAGTTCGTCGCAATCATCGCCGTCAACGCCCCCTGCATCAAACCCCTCTTCAGCAGCTCCGTCTGGCTCGGCTCCTCCAAGGACCCCTCCTCCAAGAACGCGCAGCGCTACGGCGCAAGCGGCAGCTACTCCCTCTCCGTCTTCGGCAAATCCAAACCGGATCCCCTCACCTCGCACACGAGTAAACTGGGCGATCACGCCAGCGACGAGTTCATCCTTCGCGAGCAGAGTGCGCCTACCTTCGTCAATGATGTGAGTGGCGGCCATGGTCGGCAGGCGGATGAAGAGTCGGGCAAGTTCACCGAGGGAGGGATACAAGTTACCACTATATATGAGGTGAAAAGGGGGACGGCGCAAGGGCAAGGGCAATGGGAGTGATAAGGCGCATAGAAAGATGGGCTGTTTTTGGGCGGGGGATGTATATTAGTGATACCGGCTGCCTCGGCGGCTCATTTCATTTGTATGTCTTGAACGATGTTTTTCTCTGCATATTCAACTTTCGTCTTTGTAGGATGATTATGGGTTTGTCTCTGTTGTCTCTGGCAAGAATCAAATTTGTGTTGAGAGGAGGACGAGGAGATTTATATGCGAGCTTTCTCGCTCGTGTTTCATTCCACCGACCTCGTATTTTCATCAGATTGTTTCTTCTCGTTTCTCTTCGATCTGTCTTGTATATTATCCAGTCTCCACTTCCTGGACAAGGATATACCACGCCGCGAGTAACCGAAGGATCCGGACAGCCTTGGAGGGTCCCGCTCGCAACAGCCTTGATTTTTGTAGCCCCAGCAAATCACGACGAGAATGAAAATAATTTGGGGGAAATAAAGAAAAAGTACTCTGGAGAGACCGGGGACAAAGCAAACAGCCTGCAGCAAGCAAAAGGAAGGGAGGAAAAATATTGTCAAAAAAGAAAGGACTAAGCGTGGATCGAACACGCGACCTTAAGATTTGCAATCTCACGCTCTACCACTGAGCTACCAGTCCTGGTTGGGAATGAGTGGCGAAATTTATGTTACATCAGCATAAGCCAACTAGCGGGGAGGGGGCTTTATGGAAAAGTCTGGCCTTGTAAAAGTCACGCGATCACTACCATCTAGTGTAGTCATGGCAGATCCTGTACAATCATCTTGTTTGGGAATGATCATGAGATAACTACATCTTGTCCTCATCATGATCTCTTGTCCTTTTGAAGCTCACAAAGACACTGGTACAATGTTGCTTGGCAATGCTTGACGACTGATCCACCTCACGTCCAAAGAACCTCTACATACCGTCTCGAGGGCTACGAAAAGTCAAGCACTCAGCTTTCAGTCTTCACTTGCGAAATCAAGCCTGTCCACTCATAAGATCTCGAGACCATATCGTGTCGAGTTGCCTTTTGTACCTGACCATAGCGACAGGCTGTCTCTCTTTTACATAATAGTTTGCCTCTTCCGGTGGATGCACCCGTCAATTTCTGACGTTTGTGTACTTTGGGTCCTGCAAATTCTCCACTGCCGCCAGGCCAGGCACGGTCCAGAAAAATGGAAGGCAAAAAAGAAAAGAAAAGAAAAAATGGGACGGGCCATGACACAACTGAGGGGCAGAAATTTTCATTTGACACAATCTGCCATCCGCTGCTGCGCTTTTGCTGCGACCTTGAGTGCTGTTCAACTGCGCCTACATACCTGACTGGGCAACATGGCCCCTCAAGATGAAATAACCTCTGATGCCAAGGGCCTGGAGGTTTCCACTGAACAACGCCGCAGGTTGCCAGATAAGGTCCGGTTTCGAGCGCATAATGTGAATGCGCTGCGAGGCGACCACCACAGCGATGAGGAGAGCAATGAGGAGGTACAGGCGTCTGAGACGCCGGATTTGAAGCGGCAGTTGAAGGACAGACATTTGCAGATGATTGCCATCGGTCAGTATCTGATCTTCTGCCGACAGCAAGTCTAGCAAGTCTAACAGCGACCAGGAGGAACAATTGGAACTGGTCTGTTCATCAGCAGTGGAACGGCCATTGCGCACGCTGGTCCAGTCGGGGCTTTGATCGCCTATATCTTCGTTGGATCGATCGTATACTCGGTTATGACATCGCTAGGAGAAGTAGCGACGTACATCCCCACTGCCGGCGCCTTCACCTCGTATGCAGCACGACTGGTCGATCCCAGTCTGGGATTTGCCATGGGATGGGTCTACTGGTTCAACTGGGCTTCGACATACGCCGTGGAGTTGACGGCCACCGGGATGATCATTCAATACTGGAACGAGGACTTGTCCATTGCCATCTTCATTGGGGTGTTCTGGGTGTTCATCTCGTTGATCAATTTCCTGCCCGTCGGCTTCTACGGAGAGCTCGAGTTCTGGTTCTCGGCCATCAAAGTGCTTACAGTACTGGGCTTTATGATCTTCGCCATCTGCATCGATGCCGGCGTAGGCAAGCAGGGCTACCTGGGATTCCATACCTGGAAGGAGCCCGGCGCCTTCGCACCATACCTCATCGAATCAAATGAAAACACTGCCAAGTTTGTTGGATTCTGGGCTGTACTTATCCAAGCTGGGTTCTCCTACCAAGGCACCGAGCTCGTAGGTGTCGCTGCCGGAGAGACCGAGAACCCAGAGAAGACGGTCCCCTCCGCCATCCGCAAGACTTTCTTCCGCATTCTTGTCTTCTTTGTCCTGACGATTTTCTTCATCGGTCTGCTGGTCCCCTACGACAACCCCAACCTCGTCACGGACACCTCCAACGCCTCCGCTTCCCCCATGGTCATCGCCGCCAATCTGGCCGGTGTCCAGGTGCTGCCCGGCCTGATCAACGCCGTGCTTCTGACCGTCGTCCTCTCCGCCGCCAACTCCAACGTCTACAGCGGTAGCCGCGTGCTTCTCGGTCTGGCGCGCGAGGGCTTCGCACCCCAGTGGTTCGCCAAGGTCACCCAGCGCGGCGTCCCGTACATCAGCGTGGCCTTCACCGCCGCCTTCGGGCTCCTCGGCTTCATGAACGTCTCCGAGTCCGGCGGCAAGGTCTTCAACTGGCTGGTCAACATCTCCGGCGTGGCAGGGTTCATCTGCTGGGCGTCCATCAACGCCTGCCACATTGCGTTTATGCGCGTGCTGGCCGCGCGGAATATCTCCCGGGATACGCTGCCGTACAGGGCGATCTGGCAGCCCTGGCTGGCGTACTACGGGCTCTTCTTCAATGTGCTGATCATCTTCACGCAGGGGTTCACCGCGTGGATCCCCACCTTTGATGTGTCGGATTTCTTCGTCGCCTATGTCTGTCCGATTCTGTTTGTGGTGTTGTACCTGGGCCACAAAATCCTCTTCCGGACACAGTTTGTGGATCCTCTCGAGGCCGATCTGGATACTGGCCGGGTCGAGACGAAGAGTACCTCGTGGGAGACCTCTGCTCCTAACAAGGGGTGGTTCGAGAGGGCCAAGGGTCGGTTTATTGGCTAGCTTATAGACGACACGCTGTCACGGTATATATATATATATATATATAGATAGATAGATAGATGGATTAGACATGACATTGTTAAGCTTGTTTCTGTACTATATGCTTCTATTTAGAATACTAGTCACACCATACGCAACCCAGTCCTTTAGTATAGTACACCAACACACGATTGCCACGCAACACCTCCCTCAAATCCACCGAAACATCCTCGCCATCGACGCAAACCCGCCCAGAAACGCCGTCACACCGGTCAGCACCACCAAAACCCCATACTCGGTCCCATACGCCCCAAAGGCCTCCCCCCTCCACCC